TGACGTGGTATTTTATATCAACTCAAGATCATCTTTGAGACTGAACTATTGTAGAGCTGTTGCTGTTGTGTACTCAAGCAACTAGCGAAATGAAATAGACCATAGAGACACCTGCTTTAGGCATATGTAGCTATCTATGTATTTCAAGACAATTGGAAGTACAGTAGACAGAATATTGTAGTACGGAGCATCTTGAGCAGTTATCCCATTTTTGCATGGTCTGGTCATGAATTAGTCATCACAGGTTTGCCAGTAGCTAGACTTCTGTTTAGTTTCTTGGCTCTCACTTAACCATAGTGGTTAGTATAACTTATAGTACATACAATGTAACAGCAGAGATATGGCCCAGTGGCAACCCACATCCTGTAGTGCAGGGTTCTTCAAATCCGGTCCTGAAGGGCCGAAACACCTCTGTTTTTCATCCTCTCCTTCTAATCAGGGGCTAATTCAGACCTGGGACACCAGGTGAGTGCAATTAACTACCAGGTAGAAATAAAAAACAGAAGTGTTTCGGCCCTCCAGGAACGGAATTGAAGAACCCTGCTGTAGTGGCTCAAATATTTTCCTAACAGTTTGTGACTTGTTCATAATGAATAGTTTGTGTTAGCAATTCTTAAGAAAAACCTATACATCTTGAAAGCTTGAATTTGACCTTTACTTGCACAATGTGCCAGCGCCTATATGTTTGCATGCACAAACTAACCACTGGGTACATTACCCTAAAGACACCAGCATGCTTTGGCTCAGGGTCACAGTATGTATTAAAATAAGTGTAAAGGGTGAGTGTCTGTGTCCCATCTGCCCAGGTGGAATTATGTTTGTCTGTGTGACATACCCCACTTACCAGAAGAACCTTCATTCAGTCTAATTCAGTATAAAAATAGATAATAATTCACCAGCATAACTCTCACAGTGTGTCATAAAAACAAAGCTTTTAACAGAGGTAAAGTGGCTGAGTGGAATGACGGCCAGAAAAGCAAACTCTTCTCTCATCTCGTGTCATCCTCAGGAAGGGCAATCAAAATGAATTAAAGCTAATGGAATAACAATACTAGAAGGGAAGGTATTATTGTAAAAACTCACAATAAAATGAAACACAATTAAGTTGGGCCATATTGTGCTTATAATAGCCTTAGTATTTAGGTGAAAACAGATTGCATAACTTAATACATTAGTGATATTGTGGGTGTTTGTTTGATGAACAGATCAAATTATTTTGTCATAACTTAACAACTTAAATTGAGAATTCTATTCTCAGATATTACTTTAAGACCATGCTTGAGATACTTATGCAAATGAGCTGCTTAGAGGCTGAAACTTGTTATTTTGGGCCACCACCTCTGCACTCTCTACAGTCCTTTGATGTTCCAGTTGACTACATTACCAACTTAAACCTGCTCTTTAAATACCATAGTAGGCATACAGTGCCCACACACAGACACACAGACAAAAAAGAGGACTGAGCACGCCCCCATTCTCATCGACGGGGCTGTAGTGGAACAGGTTGAGAGCTTCAAGTTCCTTGGTGTCCATCACCAACGAACTATCATGGTCCAAACACACCAAGACAGTCGTGAAGAGGGCACGACAAAGCCTATTCCCCCTCAGGAGACTGAAAAGATTTGGCATGGGTCCTCAGATCCTCAAAAAATTCTACAGCTGCACCATCGAGAGCATCCTGACTGGTTGCATCACCGCCTGGTATGGCAACTGCTTGGCCTCCGACCGCAAGGCACTACAGAGGGTAGTGCGTACGGCCCAGTACATCACTGGGGCCAAGCTTCCTGCCATCCAGGACCTCTATACCAGGCGGTGTCAGAGGAAGGCCCTCAAAATTGTCAAAGACTCCAGCCACACTAGTCATAGACTGTTCTCTCTGCTACCGCACGGCAAGCGGTACCGGAGCGCCAAGTCTAGGTCCAAAAGACTTCTCAACAGCGTCTACCCCCAAGCCATAAGACTCCTGAACAGCTAATCATGGCTACCCGGACTATTTGCACTGCCCCCCCCCCACACCCCATCCTTTTTACGCTGCTGCTACTCTGTTAATTATTTATGCATAGTCACTTTAACTCTACCCACATGTACATATTACTTCAACTACCTCAACTAGCCGGTGCCCCCGCACATTGACTCTGCACCGGTACCCCCCTGTATATATAGCCTCCCTACTGTTATTTTATTTTACTTCTGCTCTTTTTTTTCTCAACACTTTTTTTGTTGTTGTTTTATTTTTACTTTTTTTTTTTTTAAATAAATGCACTGTTGGTTAAGGGCTGTAAGTAAGCATTTCACTGTAATGTCTGCACCTGTTGTATTCGGCGCATGTGACCAATACAATTGGATTTGATTTGATTTGATAGTAACAGTTAGGCTACTGCCATATACAGTATGGGGACAACTGACTGGGGTCTTTATTCTGTTGTTCAGGTTGCCTTTAGTTTTGATTGCATTCGGAGTACTTACTTACTGTATATTTTCTCTAATATGAAAGAAGTGCATAGATAACATGGGTCCATAAAGTATTTTACTATTCCAATGGCTTTGTTACTGTATCAAATTAGACTTTCGACTTCAAAGGTCATAGTTGTTTGTGAAGTTTAGTTTACTGACAATGGAACAACCACGCTAAATGAACTTAATTATATACAGTATAGGCTTATCACACCATTGTATTATTTTGAAGCAAATCTATCCAAATGTGGGGCAGTGCATATTTCTCTTCAATGGCACATGCAGCTTGGACTAAATGCCATTTAGTAAATGGTCTAAAGACATGGGCGTGACAAGTTGTTCTTAGTGTTCTGAGTGTGCACATACTTAGCCTTTGAGTTCTAAATGGGAGGGTGTCACTGCACTTTATGGCACTAAAGGCGTGCAGGAAGTGGCCTTGTGTTCACTGCAAACCACTGATGTTAAGAAAAGAGAGCGGTCTTCTTCTGCAGGTCTCAATGGGTAAGCACCATATTCATGTCAAATAAACAGAATTTAGCAGCTGATTATGTTAATAGTCTGTTTTATGGAAATATCTATGGAACAGTGTTTTTCCTTTAAAATCTATAAACTGTTATTGCTTAAGTATTTCCTTGGAAACTCAGAGGCCATGCTAATACCATAAGCTAACCTCCTGTGCTACCAGCTACAGTGGGGGAAAAAGTATTTAGTCAGCCACCAATTGTGCAAGTTCTCCCACTTAAAAAGATGAGAGAGGCCTGTAATTTTCATCATAGGTACACGTCAACTATGACAGACAAATTGAGGAAAGAAATCCAGAAAATCACATTGTAGGATTTTTAATGAATTTATTTTCAAATTATGGTGGAAAATAAGTATTTGGTCACCTACAAACAAGCAAGATTTCTGGCTCTCACAGACCTGTAACTTCTTCTTTAAGAGGCTCCTCTGTCCTCCACTCGTTACCTGTATTAATGGCACCTGTTTGAACTTGTTATCAGTATAAAAGACACCTGTCCACAACCTCAAACAGTCAAACTCCAAACTCCACTATGGCCAAGACCAAAGAGCTGTCAAAGGACACCAGAAACAAAATTGTAGACCTGCACCAGGCTGGGAAGACTGAATCTGCAATAGGTAAGCAGCTTGGTTTGAAGAAATCAACTGTGGGAGCAATTATTAGGAAATGGAAGACATACAAGACCACTGATAATCTCCCTCGATCTGGGGCTCCACGCAAGATCTCACCCTGTGGGGTCAAAATGATCACAAGAACGGTGAGCAAAAATCCCAGAACCACACGGGGGGACCTAGTGAATGATCTGCAGAGAACTGGGACCAAAGTAACAAAGCCTACTATCAGTAACACACTACGCCGCCAGGGACTCAAATCCTGCAGTGCCAGACGTGTCCCCCTGCTTAAGCCAGTACATATCCAGGCCCGTCTGAAGTTTGCTAGAGTGCATTTGGATGATCCAGAAGAGGATTGGGAAAATGTCATATGGTCAGATGAAACCAAAATAGAACTTTTTGGTAAAAACTCAACTCGTCGTGTTTGGAGGACAAAGAATGCTGAGTTGCATCCAAAGAACACCATACCTACTGTGAAGCATGGGGGTGGAAACATCATGCTTTGGGGCTGTTTTTCTGAAAAGGGACCAGGACAACTGATCCGTGTAAAGGAAAGAATGAATGGGGCCATGTATCGTGAGATTTTGAGTGAAAACCTCCTTCCATCAGCAAGGGCATTGAAGATGAAACGTGGCTTGGTCTTTCAGCATGACAATGATCCCAAACACACCACCCGGGCAACGAAGGAGTGGCTTCGTAAGAAGCATTTCAAGGTCCTGGAGTGGCCTAGCCAGTCTCCAGATCTCAACCCCATAGAAAATCTTTGGAGGGAGTTGAAAGTCCGTGTTGCCCAGCGACAGCCCCAAAACATCACTGCTCTAGAGGAGATCTGCATGGAGGAATGGGCCAAAATACCAGCAACAGTGTGTGAAAACCTTGTGAAGACTTACAGAAAACGTTTGACCTGTGTCATTGCCAACAAAGGGTATATAACAAAGTATTGAGAAACTTTTGTTATTGACCAAATACTTATTTTCCACCATAATTTGCAAATAAATTCATGAAAAATCCTACAATGTGATTTTCTGGATTTTTTTTCTCATTTTGTCTGTCATAGTTGACGTGTACCTATGATGAAAATTACAGGCCTCTCTCATCTTTTTAAGTGGGAGAACTTGCACAATTGGTGGCTGACTAAATACTTTTTTCCCCCACTGTATGTCTTTTATTAGGCTATTGGTCTTGGGTCTACACAGGATGTTGATCAAACGACACTAGAAAGTAAGAAAGTAGTTAGTGTTCTTACTGTGTAATATGTATATATTTTATGGTTGATATACTGTATTACTCTCCAATGCACGTGATATGGATGCACACTGTAGAATACAGGACAAATGGTGTTCTGCCTATAGGTCATAGTGGCACTCAGGATATTTTGTTTGTGTCTGCGACGGTGTGACCCATTTCATTGTTCCATGGTGCTGGAGGTGGAAAATCCCTCCAACACTCAGCACTGTGGCCCTGTTGGGTGAGGGGCTAAATGCATGAGGGTGTTGTCCAATCAGCCACTCCGCCTCCGAGAGTGGGAAGTAGCTGCTCAGGTACGTCGGCCAATGTGGAGCGTGGGCCCTGAGACGAGGCCCTCTGGAAATTAGTTGATGCGTCTCAGCAGGCAGGCAGTTCCTCAGACCACAGACAGACTGCCACTCCAGGCTCTATCAGGAGCATCTATATATCTGTACGGCAGCACACTCTGGCGGTCTGTCCGTCTGTCCCTGTCTTCCGTCTGTCTCCTCGACCTGTCAGAGATAACATGGTAGCGAGGAGTGCCCTGCACCGCCAATGGATGTGTCAGTAAGAATAAATAAGTTGTTTCTCCTTGCAAGCGAGCCCAGCGTGAGAATGCGTTGGGAATGGGATAGCATGTAAGTGGTGTTAGTCTTTCTGACTTTCCTACCTACTTTCTTACAGACTTTACAACCTACTTTCCTACCTACTTTCCTACCTACTCAGTTTTTGAGTATTTGGTGATACAGTGAAAGAGAAAGACTTGAAGTCAGGTGTCGTTGAGGTCAGGTTGATCTCCAGCTCCTGGCATTGATGACAAGTACCCCTACTGGTGTGGAAGAGGATGGCTATGATTGTTTCAGCTATCAACCTCTCCCAACAATGACTTTATGATGGGCAACAAACACACTGATATGTCATCAATTTAACTGCTGGACAGCTTATTTTATTGGGAGTTTATTGGGAGTTATAAAGCGTTATTTTGTGTGTTCAACTGTTCACATCCAACAAATGGTGTGCTAGTCATATTGAGTCCTGTTTACACGAAACAAGATCACATTCTCACAGGCACTCCCAGTGCTTAATTTGTAAATCGGAAGGTGCCGGAACAAAAACAGAGCGTGAGGGGGGGGGGGCGGGGGGGGGGGGGGGGGGGGGGGGGTGACCTAGGGAGCTCTGAGGTACCGGAACGCATGAGAAAAAAAATCACCTTTATAATAAAGCATTGCATGAATATCATCACATTTGCGAAGTGGCACTTACAGAAGTTGCACACATTGTCAAAAAAATTTGTGGCCCAGGGTCCGGGAAATGTTTGCCCTTTTATAAACGTATTTCATGCAATTCTACGTCCTTTTACATGACTGGAGACTTTGGCGTAATCTTTTTTTTAAATGTCGCGTTCAAAACAACTGGGAACTCGGAGCTGGGAAATCTCCGACTTCCGGCTTCAGTGTGTTCAAGACAACTGGGAAATCGGGAGAAAATTAGTTTTGAACGGTCATCCAACTCAGAATTCAAAGTGGGGAACTCTGGACTCTTTCTAGAGCCCCGACTTTCCAACCTGAAGATCATTGATGTCATGATTCAACCTCGGTTTTTTTCGAGTTCCCAGTTATCTTGAAAGCACCATAATACCGCACAAATGATCGAAATGACAGGCTACTTTGACACTGACAAACTGAGAATTTGAGATTGATGATCAATAGCCTAGGCCTAGGTGTGTGGAGACACATATTGTATGCTACAATATAATGAGGAAATTATAGTCCTAAAAATACTTTCTAGTTTCACTGACTCTCCCAATGATGTGCAGCTCACTAGCTGGTGATGGCCTATGCGCTCGTGCCAAAAGCCTCCCTCTCTTGTTTTACTTTGTAAAACAATATTTGGAAGTTTATCAAATATTTTGTTAGCCTACAGCTGACATATTAGAGTCTTCTCTTTTCAGCAGGAGCATTCCCGACTGTAGATTATGCGTTGTTATTGATCTACACTCCACTAGGCAATTTTTTAAATAAGCTATTAATCCTTTGTGGTACAATGTTTGTCTTTCTCATGGTGTAATAGGCTATTCTGAATTTTTTCATTTATTTCTGAACAGACAGCAGTAACTCTATAACTTTGGCAACTTTTGCAATTTGGGGGGAGGGGGGGGGGGATTACTGAAGAGGCAACTCGAATGAACTTTGATCGCGTTTATTATAAGTTTTACATTGCAAAAAGTGACAATTAGTTTTCATACAACGAGAGGTTCCGGAACGAAACGGAGAGGTGTAAATAAAGCACTGGGCACTCCTATATAGGAACGTGTACTTTCACTTTATCACTTTCTTACTCTCTGATTGTGATTCGCATGTTCAGGAAAGTAAAAGAGACACATACCCTAAACTAAAGCTCTTAGTCCTGAATCTCCAATGAGAGGAGCTGGTTCTTGTTTTGTCCTGTTGCTGTATTTTTTTAAAAATATTTTTTACAGTATTTGTTATTCTGGGCACACACTGCCTCCCTCTTTTTCCTTGTTTTATGAAACTGCGTGGGGTCTGTAATCAGAGTGAGAGCCCATGCTCATATTAAGAGACAGGAAGTGATGCGGGAGCAAGCCAAGCTCCCCACAAAAGTTGTTGCTGCTACGGCGTGGACTGCCATGATTGAAGGCTGAAAGAAATGCAAGTACTATGTGTTGTCGGAAATTTGGTTGACCAGGGAAACAGAAACCCATTCACCTGTGAATTCTTCTATTTTTTAAACAGAAACTCATCACGTTCCCCTGTATGGCCTGTGGAGTAGGCCTACACCTTAAAGAAAAATAACACTCAAAAACTATATTTTGGTATTTGTTTCATTAGTCCACTGTTAATACAGTCCCACAATGTAACATTCTGTGACACTTTCTGTATTTTGAAAGTTCTATATCTTGAAAACTTGATTGCTGACATGTAACATTTTGGGACTGTATCAACAGTACACTAATGAAACAAATACCAAAAGATCGTTTTTGAGTGGAATTTTCATCTGTGAGTGTTGTACACCTGTGAGACTATGCTCTTCAACATTCTTCATATGACAGTGGTGGATCCACCTGCATTTCGTTATTGTTCACCAACAGCTGGGAAGACATCTGCAAAACCAGAGATATACTCATAAAGTTGAATTTGACAACACTGTGGCTGGAAAATGTACGTCAAAGGATATGATACAGATCTTTTGCTCGCTGTACCTGTTATGAGTTGTCATTCAGAGAATGTGTCTCATTGTACTTTTGTGAAATAGTGTTGAGTAGTGTGCCTGTGGATTGTTCGTGGCAGCTGTAGGAAGTAGGTTTGAATAATAACCTGGTATGTTATACTTGCCACTCCTGTTAACATTTCAATTCCTGGCTAAAAGGAATTCTCCATTCCTGATTAGCATCTCTGTCTCACTACTATGCAGTGAGGTTAAAGCATTTCGAACCGTAATTTCAACGTGGAAATGTAGGTAATATTTGGTTGAGATGTTGATCAATGAGATTTCAACCTTTATTTACCCACTCAAAAAGACAGCCAGAAGATTGTTGAATTCTCAATGTGTTATCACTATGCTTTCAACCATCAGAAAAGCACAACCAAATTCCAATGGAAAAACAATGTCAGATATTTGTATTTAAACAACAATTTAATGTGTTACTAAAGTGGTTCTTCTAATAGTACAACCAACTGACCTGGATTGCAGTTGAGATTACATTAAAATTACATAGTGCAAGTGATCAATGCTGTTCGAGATTCTGTGCAGATTATTATAGCAGTTGTGAAGATCTCCACAGAGGGCAGACCGGTGACCTTTGCATGCTATCTTGAACATGCATGCTTTCTATGACTACATAAGAAGACATTTATAGTTACAGTAACCTCAAAATGTGGCCATGGATGTGTTACTCATTTTAAGGTTGAATAAATACTGTTACATTAGTTTGCAAGATAACCTTAACTTTAGGCTATTTACTGTATTATTGGTTGACAACTCAACCAAATATCAACATTTAAAGGTCCAATGCAGCTGTTTTTATCTCAATATAAAATCATTTCTGGGTAACAATTAAGTACCTTACTGTGATTGTTTTAAATTAAAATGGTAAAAAAAAGAAACAAAAATAGCTTCTTAGCAAAGAGCAATTTCTTAAGCAAGAATTTTGCTAGGATTGTATGGGAGTGGTCTGAGTGGGGAGGGGAATACTATCTGAGAGGTTTGGAACTCTCTTTCTTATTGGTCTATTATCTAATTTAAAGGCTGGTGATGTCACCAGGCAGGCCAAAACGCCATCCTACCAAAACAGGCTGAAATTTCAGGCACTTTTAAAACAGTTCTTACACTAGAATTTTCACAATTTCACAGTATTATTCCAACCTCATAGTGTGAAAATATATATAAAACACAGGAAAATCACGTTTATGATGGCACTGTGCCTTTAAAGACTAGGACTAAATCAAATCAAACTTAATTTAAAGTGCATTTAAACTTAGATTTGATTTAGTCCTATTATTTTGATTTTTGGTTGAGATGGAGACATGAATCCAACATATCAATTATTAATTTGAAGACAAACTGGAATTCAAACCAGATAGTGTCACAGATGGAAATATGCAAGCAGAAGATATATCTCCTTCAAATGTTGATGTTAGGTTGCATTGACAACCAAACATAATTCAATATCCAGTTCATCTACAAATTAATAATTGATATGTTGGATTCACGTCTCCATGTCAACCAAAAGTCAAAGTTAAAGAATATGACTAAATCAAATCAAACTTTAAATGCACTTATTTTGATTGAGATGGTGACGTGAATTTAATTATTAACTTTAAGATGACATTTGAAATCAACCAAAGCTTGAAACCCTAGGCCTATACAGTTGAAGTCGAAGTTTACATACACCTTAGCCAAATACATGTAAACTCAGTTTTTCACAATTCCCGACATTTAATCCTAGTAAAAATGTCCTGCTTTAGGTCAGTTAGGATCACCACTTTATTTTAAGAACATGAAATGTCAGAATAATAGTAGAGAGAATTATTTATTTAAGCTTTTATTTCTTTCATCACATTCCCAGTGGGTAAGAAGTTTACAAACACTCAATTAGTATTTGGGAGCATTGCCTTTAAATTGTTTAACTTGGGTCAAAGATTTTGGGTAGCCTTCCACAAGCTTCCCACAATAAGTTGGGTGACTTTTGGCTTTTGGTTTGTAGGCCTCCTTGCTCGCCCACACATTTTCTATAGGATTGAGGTCAGGGCTTTGTGATGGCTACTCCAATACCTTGACTTTGTTGTCCTTAAGCTATTTTGCCACAACTTTGGAAGTACGCTTGGGGTCATTGTCCATTTGGAAGATCCATTTGCGACCAAGCTTTAACTTCCTGACTGATGTCTTGAGATGTTGCTTCAATATATCCACATAATTTTCCCTCCTCATGATGCCATCTATTTTGGGAAGTGCACCAGTCCCTCCTGCAGCAAAGCACCCCCACAGTATGATGCTGCCACCCCCGTGCTTCAAGGTTGGGATGGTGTTCTTCGGCTTGCAAGCGTTCCCCTTTTTCCTCCAAACATAACGATGGTCATTATGACCAAACAGTTCTATTTTTGTTTCATCAGACCAGAGGACATTTCCCCAAAAAGTACGATCTTTGTCCCCATGTGCAGTTGCAAACCGTAGTCTGGCTTTTTTATGGCGGTTTTGGAGCAGTGGCTTCTTCCTTGCTGAGCGGCCTTTCAGGTTATGTCGATATAGGACTCGATTTACTGTGGATATAGATACTTTTGTACCTAGTTCCTCCAGCATCTTCAAATCAAATCAAATCAAATTTTATTGGCCACATGCGCCGAATACAACAGGTGCAGACATTACAGTGAAATGCTTACTTACAGCCCTTAACCAACAGTGCATTTATTTTTTATAAAAAAGTAAAATAAAACAACAACAAAAAAGTGTTGACAAAAAAAGAGCAGAAGTAAAATAAAATAACAGTAGGGAGGCTATATATACAGGGGGGTACCGGTGCAGAGTCAATGTGCGGGGGCACCGGCTAGTTGAGGTAGTTGAAGTAATATGTACATGTGGGTAGAATTAAAGTGACTATGCATAAATAATGAACAGAGTAGCAGCAGCGTAAAAAGATGGGGTGGGGGGGCAGTGCAAATAGTCCGGGTAGCCATGATTAGCTGTTCAGGAGTCTTATGGCTTGGGGGTAGAAGCTGTTGATAAGTCTTTTGGACCTAGACTTGGCACTCCGGTACCGCTTACCGTGCGGTAGCAGAGAGAACAGTCTATGACTAGGGTGGCTGGAGTCTTTGGCAATTTTGAGGGCCTTCCTCTGACACCGCCTGGTATAGAGGTCCTGGATGGCAGGAAGCTTGGCCCCAGTGATGTACTGGGCCGTACACACTACCCTCTGTAGTGCCTTGCGGTCGGAGGCCAAGCAGTTGCCATACCAGGCGGTGATGCAACCAGTCAGGATGCTCTCGATGGTGCAGCTGTAGAATTTTTTGAGGATCTGAGGACCCATGCCAAATCTTTTCAGTCTCCTGAGGGGGAATAGGCTTTGTCGTGCCCTCTTCACGACTGTCTTGGTGTGTTTGGACCATGATAGTTCGTTGGTGATGGACACCAAGGAACTTGAAGCTCTCAACCTGTTCCACTACAGCCCTGTCGATGAGAATGGGGGCGTGCTCAGTCCTCTTTTTTTTCCTGTAGTCCACAATCATCTCCTTTGTCTTGGTCACGTTGAGGGAGAGGTTGTTATCCTGGCACCTCACAAGGTCCTTTGCTGTCGTTCTGGGATTGATTTGCACTTTTCGCACCAAAGTACGTTCATCTCTAGGAGACAAAACGCGTCTCCTTCCTGAGCGGTATGATGGCTGCGTGGTCCCATGGTGTTTATACTTGCATACTATTGTTTGTACAGATGAACGTGGTACCTTCAGGCGTTTGGAAATTGCTCCCAAGGATGAACCAGACTTGTGGAGGTCTACAATTTCTTTTCTGAGGTCTTGGCTGATTTCTTTTGATTATCCCATGACGTCAAGCAAAGAGGCACTGAGTTTGAAGGTAGGCCTTGAAATACATCCACAGGTACACCTCCAATTAATAATAATAATAATATGCCATTTAGCAGACGCTTTTATCCAAAGCGACTTACAGTCATGCGTGCATACATTTTTTTTTGTGTATGGGTGGTCCCGGGGATCGAACCCACTACCTTGGCGTTACAAGCGCCGTGCTCTACCAGCTGAGCTACAGAGGACCAGAGGACCAATTGACTCAAATGATGTCAATTAGCCTATCAGAAGCTTCTAAAGCCATGACATCATTTTCTGGAATTTTCCAAGCTGTTTAAAGGCACAGTCAACTTAGTGTATGTAAACTTATGACCCACTGGAATTGTGATACAGTGAATTATAAGTGAAATAATCTGTCTGTAAACAATTGTTGGAAAAATTCCTTGTGTCATTGTAGTATCTGAACATTCCAGAACTTGGCTCTGCTTGCGGAAACATCTGGAAAACATTACTATAGGGGCCCCCTAAAACAGAGGAGAGTCTGTTATGTGAAGGCCAGGGATTGGTCTATAAAAAACCACCCATATTATGGTACATATTATAAATACCATGGTTGGAACAAAGGACGGGGAGAAATAACATATTAGAGATTGGGTCAGTTGTTCTCCAGATGTCTGCAGAAATCTGTAAATTGATACTGTTATCTTTGATGTAATAAACCATTATAATCAAGGACAGTGTCAGCGGATTTCTTGTCATCACAGCATATCAGCATCGTTGTCTCGACACTACATCATGCACAAAGTAGATGTCCTAACCGACTTGCCAAAACTATAGTTTGTTAACAAGAAATGTGTGGAGTGGTTGAAAAACGAGTTTTAATAACTCCAACCTAAGTGTATGTACTTCCGACTTCAACTGTATGTGTTGTCTATTTTTAATTGAATCCTGGGTTGAATTTAAACAATAGCTGTTAATGACTTTGTAAATGCTAAATAGGCCATGTATCATTGATGATATATGACTTATAAAGTATGGTTACATTTCGTTTGCTTTGTTAAACCTACTCTTTGGAATGACTTCGATAGCAACAGTAAATCTATTTAGATATTAAGAGATCTCTCAAAAATCATTCTCATGATAGCACATTGGTAGTAGTCAGTGACAAATAACAAAGCTAAGCAGGGCTGGGTTTGGTTAAAACCCTGGCTGTGAAACCAAATGGATAGCTGTAGATAGATCAACTCTCCAGTAGGAGGTGCTGTCCAGCTTACTGTTATTTTTTCTGATAGTGGATAGAACGTTGAACACGTTTCAAAGGTGGAAATTCAACATATTTTATAAAGGTTTGTCTTGTTGAAAATTGGTTACCATGATAACATAATTATGTGGTTGAAATGTTACCCTTGATGACTTTTTGCAACTCCAATGTATTTTCCTTGTAGATTCCCTTTAATAAGGTTTGTTTTGTTGATTATTACTGATATCAGAAAAATCAGAATGTTGTAAGAAACCATAGCTCTGATAATGCATTTCTCTTCCCTATTATAGATCAGATACTATTAACTGCAATGCGTTTGGCATTATGCAAACTATCCTTCACACAAAGGGACCATTCTGTTCATGCAGTCTTCCATTGTAAATAAGAGCCCACTGCCAGCTCTGTGATGTGTAATGTGGTATTAGATGTGTTATTTCTCTCTCTCCCTGTCCTCCTCAGAAACATGGCTTCAGCAGAGATCTCCTGGCCCATCCCGATGAGGGCCATCGGGGCCCAGAACCTGCTCACCATGCCAGGAGGAGTGTGCCACTCTGGGTACCTGCACAAGAAGGGAAGGAGCCAATTCAGCCTTATGAAGTGTGAGTAGCCTTACAGTACATAACATTACATTACATACAGTACATACCTTTCATGGCACATTAATGTGTACTGTACCAAAGGATTCTGACAAAGGTCTAAGATGAGTTGCACTGCATACATTCATCTCATCCCAATGTTTAGTTTATCAGCCCTTGAGCGGGGTTGGAGATTCATAAAATTAGGAAGAATATATGAAGAGTTTATTTCCAAAACGCTATATCCACCTATTTTTCACATTTGTGTTTTTTCATCAGAAATGATTGCTTATGGGTACCTTCATGTGTGTGTAAAATATTACTGTTCTCAGATATTTTATTAATAGATTTTAGATATATATTCATTTTTTATCTGGAATGGAATGTTCGTATCCTGTATTTTTGACTGTGATATGTGGTTGTCTCACCTAGCTATCTTAAGATGAATGTACATAATTACTGTAAGTTGCTCTGGATAAGAGCGTCTGCTAAATGACTAAAATGTCAAATATAAATGTTTTACATACAGGTCTCATATTACTGTATTTAATTTATTTAAACATTTTTTAAATATTGATGTCACAAATGTATAATTTGTACATTTTTTATGATGTAGTTATTTGTTACATTTGACTGTATAAAACCTAGCAGTACTACTTATTTTTTCGGATATATAGCATTTTGCAAAAAAAACTAGATTATTTGTCTCTGAAATGAAATCATCAAGTGATAGATTTTAATCAAATACATGTCTCTCATTGAACAACCCCATGCCATGATTGGATAGTGAAGAAAAAAAACACACCAATCTCATTCCTGATTTCTTTAAACAATAAAAGCTAAATTTACCAACATGTCTGAAAATGGATATATAGCATTTTAGAATGAAACTCTTCATATTTGCTATTATACCTAGGTTACTGTATGTGTGAGTCCTTTCCTTATGTTATCTTTCTTTCTGCTATCTGACAGGGCCCCTTCGCTACATAATCATCCACAGGGGATGTGTGTATTACTTCAAGAGCAGTACCAGTCCCACACCGCAAGGAGCTTTCTCTCTCAATGGCTACAACAGGTAAGTGTCCACTATTGTCATGCAGCTGTCATTTGCACATGAATTTGAATAGACAAAACATGTTGGCATTCTCAGATAGGCCTACATATGATTATCAATGTTTGAAATACAGCTGGCATTGTCCGTTGCAATCAGTTGTTATGCTGAGAAATGAGAAAGTCTGCTGACAATGAATGCATTTCTTAAGTGTTGGTGTGCCACTTCCTGCTAAATGAGATCATCTCTATAAAGAGCTTGAGTTTTCGCTTACGAATACCTAACATGGGGGACTTGTCATATTAATTCCTACATAGGTGACAAGTCAGTAATAGAGACGGCACTGTTAAACCATCTCTTTTCCATATTTGTTTGACATTTGGAAAAGTGAAAGTGGATACTGAAGTATCCTAGCCTGTGGTGTTTCCATTGAGTTCCTCCTTCTACTGCTTCCCTAAAGGTGCATGCTGCAGTACCATGGGGGTAACGTTATAACTGTGTAATTACACATCTGGAGTCTCCTCTATCTGCTTTGGCCTGGCATAAATAGAGCTTTAATATAGCTGTTGTGAGGGATTAGCCTCCTATTTGATTGGTCTGTGACTCATTGAAAACCTTTCCCAGTCAAAGGAATAAAGCAACCTCACAGAGAGTTAACATACGCAGGGAACTTTATTGCCAAATAGGGGTATGGACATGGAAATGGTCTGAAAGGTACAGAGAAAGAGAAATAATGAAAAAACTATACATGTAATAACATGGATATAAACAGTGCAACAGTGCAAAGTAATGACCACAATAGCTCAAGTAGAGAGAATAATCAATTAAACAAAGGACTGTATAGAAAATGACTATATATATATATATATATATATATATATATATATATATGTAAACATAAACATGTTACCTGAACATGCAACATTGTAAAAAAGGCCGGCCCTCTTAACCTGACTGGCCTTCAGACCTGTCAGTCACCTATCTCAATTCCAACCAATCAGGGCGCTTGGACGTACTCCAGGGATCCCCCCGCGCACCTCATGTCAGAGCATGTTCACCTGCCGTCTCGAGAAGATGCAAGTTGTGTAGTGATGGACTCTCAGATTCTGGTTTTCTATCTTGAAGTGTTGTGCGTCCATCGAACATAACCACAATCATATAAACATCTTCACAATCTTACTAGCAGCAATATCCTTGCCTGTGAAGCCCTTTTGTGCAAAGCAATGATGACGGCACGTGTTTCCTTGCAGGTAACCATGGTTAATAGAGGAAGAACAATGATTTCAAGCACCACCCTCATTTTAAAGCTTCCAGTCTGTTATTCTAACTCAATCATCATGACAGAGTGATCTCCAGCCTTGTCCTCGTCAACACTCTCACCTGTGTTAACGAGAGAATCACTGACATGATGTCAGCTGGTCCTTTTGTGGCAGGGCTGAAATGCAGTGGAAATGTTTTTTGGGGATTAAGTTAATTTTCATGGCAAAGAGGGACTTTGCAATTAATTGCAATTCATCTGATCACTCTTCATAACATTCTGGAGTATATGCAAATTGCCATCATAAAAACTGAGGCAGCAGACTTTGTGAAAATTAATATTTGTGTCATTCTCAAAACTTTTGACCACGACTGTACAGCTGAGCAGTCTGGCACACTGAAACATGGCCAGACCAGCAGGCCCATACAGCTCCAACAGCACACAATATGACATAGACAGCATTACATGTTGTTATAGCAATATTGTGATAGTAATAGTAATAAATGAATGAACTAATGATACAGCTGCCAGATGGTTTTACCCACAAAATGTGAAATCGGATTGGTCAGAGTGAGGAGGCTTACTGCACTGTATTTTCCTATGCCTGTGTATCTATTATACTGTATGTATAGATATGTGGTGTTCTCCAAGGTGTGGTTTCAGTTTCTATTCCTCTCGTTGCCAGGGTGATGAGGGCAGTAGAAGAGACCACCTCCAGTAACGTGTTTCCCTTCAAAATCGTCCACTTCAGTAAGAAGCACCGGACCTATTGCTTCTCAGCAGCCAATGAGGATGAGAGAAGGGTGAGGGGCGATGCGTACAGAACCTCTCACATTCCTAGTAACATTACAGCAATACATAGATAATGTTTTAATCACATAATGTAATCCCAATTATTTTTGTCTACTAACAGAAATGGATGCGAAACCTGCGAAAAGAAATTGATCACTATAATGACAGAAGGGATTCACATATTCCAAAGTAAGTCAGCACATCCCTTCACACAAACATATAATCTGTGGTCACTTGCTCTTTCCGATAAATGGTAGACAGTTTGGCTGCATGCTCTGATTAACTTTCTGAGCCTGCAGGTTTTATCTCCTAGGATATCTCTTGCTGTGTGTGTTACAAAAAGTATGAATGGGAGTCAGTGAATGCATGATCATGTCACGCTCGTCATACACAGAGGACCAAGGCGCAGCGTGGAATGCGAACATACTTTTAATTTGAATGATCACACGACCAAAACAACAAACGATACGAAACGTGAAGTCCTTGGTTACAATACAAACCATACGGAACAAGATCCCACAAACACTGTGGAAAAACAGGCTACCTAAATATGGTTCCCAATCAGAGACAACAAGCAACAGCTGATTCACGTTGCCTCTGATTGAGAACCACACCGGCCAACATAGAAACAAACGAACTAGCCAATCACCCTAGCACACAAAACACATAGAAACCACACACCCTGGCTCAACAAAGGCGCGGACTGCGACCGCGCCAAACATAAACCGAACAGGGGAGGGCCGGGTGGGCATTCCTCCTCGGAGGCGGTTCCGGCTCCGGGCTTGACCCCCACCCTCCAACCAACCCCCCAAAGCGCCCCTGGTCCGGTCTGGCCCTGCTTGCCGGAGCTGGACTGAACACTGGTGGAGCGGATTGCTCTAGCTCCGGAGTGGAGCAGCTGACCGGTGCTGGACCAGGCACCGGTGGAACAGGCACGGGCTGTGCCGGACTGACGACGCGCACCACAGGCTCGGTGCGGGGAGCAGGGACGGGCCGGACCGGGCTGACGACGCGCACCATTGGCTTGGTGCGGGGAGCAGGGACGGGCCGAACCGGGCTGACGAAGCACACCACTGTCTTGGTGCAGGGAGCAGGAACAGGCCGGACCGGGCTGACGACGCGCACCATTGGCTTGGTGCGGGGAGCAGGGACGGGCCGAACCGGGCTGACGAAGCGCACCACTGGCTTGGTGCGGGGAGCAGGAACAGGCCGGACCGGGCTGACGAAGCGCACCACTGGCTTGGTGCGGGGAGCAGGAACAGGCCGGACCGGGCTGACGACGCGCACCACAGGCTTGGTGCGAGGGGCAGGAACATGCCGGACCGGGCTGGCGACGCGCACCACAGGCTCGGTGCGAGGGGCAGGAACATGCCGGACCGGGCTGGCGACGCGCACCACAGGCTCGGTGCGAGGGACAGGAACAAGCCGGACCGTACTGGGGACACACACCACTGGCCCTACGCGGGGATCAGGAACGGGCCGGACCGGACTGGCAACACACCCCAGTACCTCTCGCCGTGCCTCTACATTCTCCTTCCCCCTGGTGACCAGTGACTCCCGTAACCTGGCGGCCTCCTTTGCCAACCAGCTGAACCACTCTATCCCGGCCTCCTGCTGCCCCGTCGTCCACGGCGTGAGCCCCCCCCTAAAAAATGTCTGGGCGTCTCTCCTCCCCGTGGGCCAGGCCTCCATGGCTCTCACCAGACTCTTGCTCCTCTGCTCCAAAGTCCAGCCTCTCTCCTCCTCCCGCGGCTTGATCCAGTCGAGGTTGAGATCCTTCAGAGTCACCTCTGGCGTTGGCTCCTGGACACGCTGCTTGGTCCAGTTATGGTGGGATCTTCTGTCACGCTCGTCATACACAGAGGACCAAGGCGCAGCGTGGAATGCGAACATACTTTTAATTTGAATGATCACACGACCAAAACAACAAACGATACGAAACGTGAAGTCCTTGGTTACAATACAAACCATACGGAAACAAGATCCCACAAACACTGTGGAAAAACAGGCTACCTAAATATGGTTCCCAATCAGAGACAACAAGCAACAGCTGATTCACGTTGCCTCTGATTGAGAACCACACCGGCCAACATAGAAACAAACGAACTAGCCAATCACCCTAGCACACAAAACACATAGAAACCACACACCCTGGCTCAACATAACAGAGTCCCAGAGCCAGGGCGTGACAGATCAGTGAATCAATTCAATGGAAGGTGATTGATGTGGTCCTCTCTCTGTTGATATAGTGACTCTGAATGTGATGCGGACAGTTTCTATGGCCCGATCGAGTGCCCCATGGACATAACCCATGCCCATGATGACCCAGGAGGCAGTAAGTGACAGCACTCACTTCTGAAGCAATATGTCTCAGTTTCATAACATTGTTTCATACAATTAACGAACAATTTGTTTTGCGTTTTCTTGCCTAGATTACATGTTAGAGGATGAAGAAGATGATGATGATGAAGATGACTATGAAAAACCAGATAGCCCACCAACTTCTACAGGTACTCAAAAATAAATATATTTGAGTTTGGTGCTGAAAGGTTCTATAACTGTGATAGACCATTGATGGGACTGGCATGTCATCACTATTCAAGCTAATGATCCCAATTTGGCTCCATTTGAGACCGTAAACCTTATATACACTGCTCAAAAAAATAAAGGGAACACTTAAACAACACATCCTAGATCTGAATGAATGAAATAATCTTATTAAATACTTTTTTCTTTACATAGTTGAATGTGCTGACAACAAAATCACACAAAAATTATCAATGGAAATCAAATTTAGTCACCCTCAAAATTAAAGTGGAAAACCACACTACAGGCTGATCCAACTTTGATGTAATGTCCTTAAAACAAGTCAAAATGAGGCTCAGTAGTGTGTGTGGCCTCCACGTGCCTGTATGACATCCCTACAATGCCTGGGCATGCTCCTGATGAGGTGGTGGATGGTCTCCTGAGGGATCTCCTCCCAGACCTGGACTAAAGCATCCGCCAACTCCTGGACAGTCTGTGGTGCAACGTGGCGTTGGTGGATGGAGCGAGACATGATGTCCCAGATGTGCTCAATTGGATTCAGGTCTGGGGAACGGGCGGGCCAGTCCATAGCATCAATGCCTTCCTCTTGCAGGAACTGCTGACACACTCCAGCCACATGAGGTCTAGCATTGTCTTGCATTAGGAGGAACCCAGGGCCAACCGCACCAGCATATGGTCTCACAAGGGGTCTGAGGATCTCATCTCGGTACCTAATGGCAGTCAGGCTACCTCTGGCGAGCACATGGAGGGCTGTGCGGCCCCCCAAAGAAATGCCACCCCACACCATGACTGACCCACCGCCAAACCGGTCATGCTGTAGGATGTTGCAGGCAGCAGAACGTTCTCCACGGCGTCTCCAGACTCTGTCACGTCTGTCACATGTGCTCAGTGTGAACCTGCTTTCATCTGTGAAGAGCACAGGGCGCCAGTGGCGAATTTGCCAATCTTGGTGTTCTCTGGCAAATGCCAAACATCCTGCACGGTGTTGGGCTGTAAGCACAACCCCCACCTGTGGACGTCGGGCCCTCATACCACCCTCATGGAGTCTGTTTCTGACCGTTTGAGCAGACACATGCACATTTGTGGCCTGGTTGAGGTCATTTTGCAGGGTTCTGGCAGTGCTCCTCCTGCTCCTCCTTGCAAAAAGGCGGAGGTAGCGGTCCTGCTGCTGGGTTGTTGCCCTCCTACGGCCTCCTCCACGTCTCCTGATGTACTGGCCTGTCTCCTGGTAGCGCCTCCATGCTCTGGACACTACGCTGACAGACACAGCAAACCTTCTTGCCACAGCTCGCATTGATGTGCCATCCTGGATGAGCTGCACTACCTGAGCCACTTGTGTGGGTTGTAGACTCCATCTCATGCTATCACTAGAGTGAAAGCACCGCCAGCATTCAAAAGTGACCAAAACGTCAGCCAGGAAGCATAGGAACTGAGAAGTGGTCTGTGGTCACCACCTGCAGAACCACTTCTTTATTGCTAATTGCTTATAATTTCCACCTGTTGTCTATTCCATTTGCACAACAGCATTTGACATTTATTGTCAATCAGTGTTGCTTCCTAAGTGGACAGTTTGATTTCACAGAAGTGTGATTGACTTGGAGTTACATTGTGTTGTTTAAGTGTTCCCTTTATTTTTTTGAGCAGTGTATATATATACAGTACCGGTCAAAGGTTTTAGAACACCTACTCATTCAAGGGTTTTTCTTTATTTGTACTATTTTCTACATTGTAGAATAATAGTAAAGACATCAAAACTATGAAATAACACATATTGAATCATGTAGTAACCAAAAAAGTGTTAAACAAATCAACATATATTTTATATTTGAGATTCTTCAAATAGCCACCCTTTGCCTTGATGACAGCTTTGCACACTCGTGGCATTCTCTCAACCAGCTTCACCTGGAATGCTTTTCCAACAGTCTTGAAGAAGTTCCCACAGATGCTGAGCACTTGTTGGCTGCTTTTCCTTCACTCTGCGGTCCGACTCATCCCAAACCTTCTCAATTTGGTTGAGGTCGGGGGATTGTGGAGGCCAGGTCATCTGATGCAGAACTCCATCACTCAACTTCTTGGTCAAATAGCCCTTACACAGCCTGGCGGTGTGTTGGGTCATTGTGCTGTTTAAAAAGAAATTATAGTCCCACTAAGCACAAACCAGATGGGATGGCGTATCGCTGCAGCATGCTGTGGTAGCCATGTTGGTTAAGTGTGCCTTGAATTCTAAATAAATCACAGACAGTGTCACCAGCAAAGCACCCCCACACCATAATACCTCCTCCTCCATGCTTTACGGTGGGAAATACACATGCAGAGATCATCCGTTCATCCACACCGCATCTCACAAAGACACGGCGGTTGGAACCGAAAATCTACAATTTGGACTCCAGACCAAAGGACACATTTCCACCGGTCTAATGTCCATTGCTCGTGTTTCTTGGCCCAAGCAAGTCTCTTCTTATTATTGGTGTCCTTTAGTAGTGGTTTCTTTTCAGCAATTCGACCATGAAGGCCTGATTCACACAGTCTCCTCTGAACAGTTGATGTTGAGATGTGTCTGTTACTTGAACTCTGTGAAGCATTTATTTGGGCTGCAATTTTTGAGGCTGGTAACTCTAATGAACTTATCCTCTGCAGCAGAGGTAACTCTGGGTCTTCCATTCCTGTGGCGCTCATCATGAGAGCCAGTTTCATCAGAGCGCTTGATGGTTTTTTCGACTGCACTTGAGGAAACGTTCAAAGTTCTTGAAATCTTCCGTATTGATTGATCTTCATGTCTTCAAGTAATGATGGACTGTCATTTCTCTTTACTTATTTGAGCTGTTCTTGCCATAATATGGACTTGGTCTTTTACCAAATAGGGCTATCTTCTGTATACCACCCCTACCTTGTCACAACACAACTGATTGGCTCAAACGCATTAACCTCTTAAGGATCTGACCATTTTTTTCAATTTTCGCCTAAAATGACATACCCAAATCTAACTGCCTGTAGCTCAGGACCTGAAGCAAGGATATGCATATTCTTGATACCATTTGAAAGGAAACATTTTGAAGTTTGTGGAAATGTGAAATTAATGTAGGAGAATATAACACATTAGAACACATTAGATCTGGTGTTTATTTATTTATTTTTGTTCCATCATCTTTGAAATGGAAAAGAAAGGCCACAATATAATATTGCTGTTTAGGCACAATTTAGATTTTGGCCACTAGATGGAAGCAGTGTGTGTGTGCAAAGTTTCACATTGATCCAGTGAAGCATTGCAATACTGGACTATTTTGTATCAAGTCTGCCCAAATATGCCGAATTGATCAATTTATACATTTTCAAGTGCATAACTATAGGGAACATACAAAAATGATATGGTAATACAAAATGTAAGTTTACACACTCCCAGGAATGTCATACCTGATGGATCATTAGCTTATACACTAACTTTCACACATCTAGATGGCCGGGCGAGGTGGGTGTGGAGCCAGAGACAGCAAGTGTTCAAACTGTAGAACCCAGTTCCTACATTTGAATATTAAAATGGATTTTATTAAACAAAACTATGCTACATTTTATCTCTGGGACCCTCAGGATGACAAATCAGAGCAAGATTTCCTGAATGTAAGTACATTCTTACCTTCAGAGGTGAATGTTTCAAACCAGTTGCCGTGATACGTTTTTTGTTGTTGTGCACTCTCCTCAAACAATAGCATGGTCTTTTTTTTACTGTAATAGCTACTGTAAATTGGACAGTGCAGTTAGATTACCAAGAATGTAACCTTTCTGCCCATATAAGACATGTCTATGTCCTGGAAAGTTTGCTGTTACTTACAACAGTCATGCTAATCACATTGAGCGCACGTTAGCTCAACCGTCCCGTATACGGGACACCGATCAAGTAGAGGTTAAGAAGGAAAGAAATTCCACAAATTAACTTTTAAGAAGGCACACCTGTTAATTGAAATGCATTCTAGGTGACTACCTCATGAAGCTGGTTGAGAGAATGCCAAGAGTGTGCAAAGCTGTCATCAAGGCAAAGGGTGGCTATTTGAAGAATCTCAAATATAAAATATATTTTGATTTGTTTAACACTTTTTTGGTTATTTTATAGTTTTGATGTCTTCATTAATAATCTACAATGTAGAAAATAGTACAAATAAAGAAAAACCCTTGAATGAGTAGGTGTTCTAAAACTTTTGACAGGTATACACTACCATTCAAAAGTTTGGGGTCACTTAGAAATGTCCTTGTTTTCGAAAAAAAATCATTTTTTTTGTCCATTCAAATAACATCAAATTGATCAGAAATACAGTGTAGACATTGATAATGTTGTAAATGGCTATTGTTGCTGGAAACGTCTGATTTTTAATGGAATATCTACATAGGCGTACAGAGGCCCATTATCAGCAACCATCAGTCCTGTGTTCCAATGGCACATTGTGTTTGCTAATCCAAGTTTATCATTTGAAAAGGCTAATTGATCATTAAAAAACCATTTTGCAATTATGTTAGCACAGCTGGAAACTGTTGTGCTGATTAAAGAAGCAATAAAACGGGCCTTCTTGAGACTAGTTGAGTATCTGGAGCATCAGCAATTGTGGGTTTGATTACAGGCTCAAAATGGCCAGAAACAAATAACTTTCTTCTGAAACTCGTCAGTCTATTCTTGTTCTGAGAAATGAAGGCTATTCCATGCGAGAAATTGCCAAGAAACTGAAGATCTCGTACAACGCTGTGTACTACTCCCTTCACAGAACAGCGCAAACTGGCTCTAACCAGAATAGAAAGAGGAGTGGGAGGCCCCGGTGCACAACTGAGCAAGAGGACAAATACATTAGAGTGTCTAGTTTGAGAAACAGGTGCCTCACAGGTCCTCAACTGGCAGCTTCATTAAATAGTACCCGCAAAACACCAGTCTCAACGTCAACAGTGAAGAAGCGACTCCGGGATGCTGACCTTCTAGGCAGAGTTGCAAAGAAAAAGCCATATCTCAGGCTGCCCATCTTCATCTTTTCTTTTTATTGGCCAGTCAGAGATACGAGTTTTAATGACTCCAACCTAAGTGTATGTAAACTTCCAACTTGAACTGTAGCTAAATGATACAGTTGAAGTCGGAAGTTTACATACACTTAGGTTGGAGTCATTAAAGCTCGTTATTCAACCACTCCACATATTTCTTGTTAACAAACTATAGTTTTGGCATCTACTTTGTGCATGACACAAGGAATTTTTCCAACAATTGTTTACAGACAGATTATTTCACTCATAATTCACTGTATCACAATTCCAGTGGGTCATAACTTTACATACACTAAGTTGACTGTGCCTTTAAACAACTTGGAAAATTCCAGGAAATGTTGTCATGGCTTTAGAAGCTTCTGATAGGCTAATTAACATAATTTGAGTCAATTGGAGGTGTACCTGTGGATATATTTCAAGGCCTACCTTCAAACTCAGTCCCTCTTTGCTTGACATCATGGGAAAATCAAAAGAAATCAGTCAAGACCTCAGAAAAAAATGGTAGACCTCCCCAAGTCTGGTTCATCCTTGGGAGCAATTTCCAAATGCCTGAAGGTACCACGTTCATCTGTACAAACAATAGTACGCAAGTATAAACACCATGGGACCACGCAGCTGTCATATCGCTCAGGAAGAAGACGCGTTCTGTCTCCTAGAGATGAATGTACTTTCGTGCGAAAAGTGCAAATCAATCCCAGAACAACAGCAAAGGACCTTGTGAAGATGCTGGAGGAAACAGGTACAAAAGTATATATACCCACAGGTAAAACGAGTCCTATATCGACATAACCTGAAAGGCCGCTCAGCAAGGAAGAAGCCACTGCTCCAGAACCGCCATAAAAAAGCCAGACTACGGTTTGCAACTGCACATGGGGACAAAGATCATACTTTTTGGAGAAATGTCCTCTGATCTGATGAAACAAAAATAGAACTGTTTGTCCATAATGACCATCGTTATGTTTGGAGGAAAAAGGGGGTTGTGCAAGCCAAAGAACACCATCCCAACCGTGAATCATGGGGGTGGCAGCATTATGCTGTGGGGGTGCTTTTCTGCAGGAGGGACTGGTGCACTTCACAAAATAGATAGCATCATGAGGAAGGAAAATTATGTGGAAATATTGAAGCAACATCTCAAGACATCAATCAGGAAGTTAAAGCTTGGTCGCAAATGGGTCTTCCAAATGGACAATGACCCCAAGCATACTTCCAAAGTTGTGGCAAAATGGCTTAAGGACAACAAAGTCAAGGTATTCGAGTGGCCATCACAAAGCCCTGACCTTAATCCTATAGAAAATGTGTGGGCAGAACTGAAAAAGCGTGTGCGAGCAAGGAGGCCTACAAACCTGACTCAGTTACACCAGCTCTGTCAGGAGGAATGGGCCAAAATTCACCCAACTTATTGTGGGAAGCTTGTGGAAGGCTACCCAAAACGTTTGACCCAAGTTAAACAATTTAAAGGCAATGCTACAAAATACTAATTGAGTGTATGTAAATTGCTGACCCACTGGGAATGTGATCTGCCTGTTCCATGATCTCGCCATCACGGTTGACAACTCCGTTGTGTCCTCCTCCCAGAGTGCGAAGAGCCTTGGCGTGACCCTGGACAACACCCTGTCGTTCTCCGCTAACATCAAGGCGGTGACCCGATCCTGTTGGTTCATGCTCTACAACATTCGGAGAGTACGACCCTGCCTTACACAGGAAGCGGCACAGGTCCTAATCCAGGCACTTGTCATCTCCCGTCTGGATTACTGCAACTCGCTGTTGGCTGGGCTCCCTGCCTGTGCCATTAAACCCCTACAACTCATCCAGAATGCCGCAGCCCGTCTGGTGTTCAACCTTCCCAAGTTCTCTCACGTCACCCCCCTCCTCCGCACACTCCACTGGCTTCCAGTTGAAGCTCGCATCTGTTACAAGACCATGGTGCTTGCCTATGGAGCTGTGAGGGGAACGGCACCTCCGTACCTTCAGGCTCTGATCAGTCCCTACACCCAAACGAGGGCATTGCGTTCATCCACCTCTGGCCTGCTGGCTCCCCTTCCTCTGCGGAAGCATAGTTCCCGCTCAGCCCAGTCAAAACTGTTCGCTGCTCTGGCACCCCAATGGTGGAACAAGCTCCCTCACGACGCCAGGACAGCGGAGTCACTCACCACCTTCCGGAGACTTTTGAAACCCCACCTCTTTAAGGAATACCTGGGATAGGATAAAGTAATCCTTCTACCCCTCCCTTACCCCAACCCCCCCCCCCCCCCAAAAAAAAAAAATCAATAAAAAAAAACACATTGTAAAGTGGTTATCCCACTGGCTATAAGGTGAATGCACCTATTTGTAAGTCGCTCTGGATAAGAGCGTCTGCTAAATGACGTAAATGTAAATGTAAATGTAAATGAAATAAAAGCTGAAATAAATCATTCTCTCTACTATTATTCTGACATTTCACATTCTTTAAATAAAGAGGAAGGCCCTCAAAATTGTCAAAGACTCCAGTCACCCTAGTCATAGACTGTTCTCTCTGCTACCGCACGGCAAGCGGTACCGGAGTGCCAAGTCTAGGTCCAAAAGACTTCTCAACAGCTTCTACCCCCAAGCCATAAGACTCCTGAACAGCTAATCATGGCTACCCGGACTATTTGCACTGCCCCCCCACCCCATCCTTTTTACGCTGCTGCTACTCTGTTAAGTATTTATGCATAGTCACTTTAACTCTACCCACATGTACATATTACCTCAACTAGCCGGTGCCCCCGCACATTGACTATGCAACGGTACCCCCCTGTATATATAGCCTCCCTACTGTCACTTTATTCTATTGTATATATAGCCTCCCTACTGTCACTTTATTTTTTACTTCTGCTCTTTTTTTTCTCAACACTTTTTTGTTGTTGTTTTATTCTTACTTTTTTTGTTTAAAATAAATGCACTGTTGGTTAAGGGCTGTAAGTAAGCATTTCACTGTAATGTCTGCACCTGTTGTATTCGGCGCATGTGACCAATAAAATTTGATTTGATTTGATTTGATTTGATCCTAACTGACCTAAGACAGGGATTTTTTACTAGGATTAAATGTCAGGAATTGTGAAAAACTGAGTTTAAATGTATTTGGCTAAGGTGTATGTAAACTTCTGACTTCAACTGTAACTACCACTGAAACAATATTGTCTCTCAACAAAATTGTCAGCAATTTTTGAAATACATGTTTCCTATTGTTTCTAGTACCTATCACTGAATCTCTTATTTTGTTACTATTGAAGGAAGACCAACTGTCTCACCACCATCATATCCACCTCCTCCACTCCCATGCCAGTTTAGACAAGAATCAATGTCAGGATTCTGCAAAGGTCTCCCCGAACCTGCCCCCAACAGGATCCCCATCAGTCCCCTTCCAAAGAAAATGCCCCCGCTCTTACCTCGACCCAAGCTGGGTGAGATCGGCCACAACCACCATGGACACAAGGACATCCCAAACTGGGAGAGCTCAGAGAGGAGTGTGAGGGTCCCTAAGAGCCCTGCCCCTCCTCCCCTTCCCATGGCCAGCCTAAAGAAGCAGATGATGATGGGGAAGATGTCCATCTCCACCATACCTGGGGGGGACCACAGAGCCATGAAGCCCCCTGTTCCAGTGTCCCTCAAGTCTCCCGCCACCCTGCCCATCTGCATCGACCTGGACAGGCAGATGGGGCTGAATCCTAGTCCACGTGGTTGCCATGGCAACACACCCAGTCACATCCCAAGCGTGCCAAACTACTGCCATAGTACTAGGCCAGCACCAGATCTCCCACCACAGGCCTTGCCAGCACTGAACCACACGCCTGGACCGTACAAACCACCAAGACGGTCAGCACAGTAAGTGTCTGCAAAGACTTTACCTTTTGCTCTGAAAACGTTCATTTGATTTCAAGATTGTTATATTGTATTCATGTACAGCACACAAATATACAGCACCGTTTAAGATTAAGGTTAAAACACCCACTTCTTCTCAGAAGATCATCTCCAGATGGACAAATCTTCCAAACCTCAGTGGACGAGGTGCCTACCTCTTTAAGAAACAACAGGGATCCATCCAAGGACATCAACGATGACTCTGATGAAGACTATGAGAGTGTAAGCAGCCATATTCTCCATCAACTATCAATCTTGTGTACACATGCTATGAGAAAAACACCTCTGTTATGTTTTGTGTTTAGTGTCTTTACTCAGTGGTGCGTGCATGCCCTTGTTTCACTACAAATTCCATAATCTCATCGCACAATCATGTTCAGTGTACTACAGATTAGTCTTGGCCTGCTGACGCAAGTCTAACCTCTTTATGTCTGTTGTTGCTGTTTTCTTTTCGCACATGTTTCTGACCTCAGGTTCAATTACCAGATTCTGTGTTTGTGGACATAACAGAAACAAGCAGTGTTGAAAAGTAAGACAATAAATTATTTCTGTATTGAACATTTGTTAAATCCTCCTTGTTTCTTTTTGTTTAATGGTCTTTAGCGCCCACTAATGTTGAATCAGGGAATCTCTTTCTGAAAATTATGTCTCTGTTTTCTCTTGAAAGAAGAGCAGAACACGTCTGAATGCAGTCTTACTGAAATACATTATTAATGTGCTTTAATTGCAGGTTATTTATGGAATGCTCCAGAACACCGCAGGATGGTCTCTACTGCTTCAGGAACTCAGGAACAAAGACATCAAAGGTACAAAATGTGCATGCTGTGAAGCATAAACATCTTGGGATTCACCACACATCATACAATGAATATTGAAAAGAAACTGGTTTAGTAAATAATGTAAATTTGTTCTCATTGAATCAGGTGCTGGTGGTGTGGGATGTGAATCTGTGCAAGGCCAGAAACTACAGGCTCTTTGAGGAGGTCAGAACCACTCTCTTTACTTTCTCTGTCTACCCCATGCCCGTAACTACATACAAGGACACCGAGGTCCGGTAATTTTCTATCATTTGAAAAAAAAATATGATAATAAAAAACTATATTTTGTACACAATAAAGAAAATAAATTACGGGTCAACATCTAAATATTGCCCCAGCGTTGATCAAAGCTCAGGACGTTGACCAAAGCTCGTTATGTTCGCCTGTGTCCCCTGGATTTGCTTCCCGGATACGCCTTTTTTAGCAGCACATTCACCACTCTCTCAAACAGCCTGAGACGTGAAACGAACTACCCCAGGTCGGAGTCCACTCAAGTAGGCCACTAAAGACGCTGCAGAAAGCGTGTTTGCGAGATACAAAAAATTTAAAAAAATTAAACCATCCCGCATTTTAAAAGCATCCCGTGTCTCCTTCCGTGTCTACAGACATCCCCCAAACAAACAAAAAACGACTCTCGGGGAATGAGTGCACACCTGGTAAATAGTCACTCGTAGATGTCAGTCATCAGGTGGCTAACTGCCGGCAGACACTTCGATTGCAGTAACGTTGAAAAGCTCTGGCTAGTATTACTTAGCCAGCTAGAAGGATTAATTAAGGAGCTAACGTTAAACGGAGCCTACAGGAGCAAAACATACGCTAGCCTACAAAGTTATCATAATAACTTTGCTTTACAGAGAGTAGGCTACTGAGACAGACAGTGATGTGGTGAGGCCGAGGCAGGCTGCAATGCTTGCAAAGGAGACAGAGAGGGAGAGGAGCAGAGAGGTTAGTACAGTAGTTCCTAAACTTGGGTTCGGGGCCCATTGTGGGGTCCCCTGAGAAAATCGGTACTAATCTTATGAAACAAGTTAGGAACTTGAAAAAATAATATGAACATCTTCACATGGCCTATCTTCCCTATAGGCCTACATTAAAATGCAAACAATACAGTTCTAAAAATGTAATACGTCGCTGATGCTACGTGTAAGTGTGAATAATTTCTCATATTTCCTCTCTTTCAGGGGAAAACATTATATAATAGCTAATAGGCTATGCTATGTGTTTGTAGATTGACTGAGGTGAATGAACCTACAGCAGCCAAGGTGATAATGGCTGGGGTCATTTTTGCTAGCTTTTGCTGTCCTCCAAATAGCATTTTAACGTTTTTTAATTGTATACAAATTAAGCTTCCGGACCTCACTAAAACTCAAACCCTGGTTACGGCCGTGTCTACCATGTCGATTGTCTGACTAAATCAATATTACAATGAAGGATTCCAGTACCATATCTGTCTTGTTTGATGTGAATTTCATTGTGTTTATGGTTTAGGACTCCCAGTTGTTCCTGGAGTCAGAGCTGACATTTGCCACCCTGTCAGCCCTAGTGGAGCACTACCATAGCCACCCTCTACCCAATCACGACTCTCTGTGTCTGCAGCAGCCATATGGTTGCATCATGCCAAGATGACCCCGTCCTGACTCTGCCTGAGGCCATTTCTCATCCGCTCATACGGACACTCTCCATTTGGCCGTCTATTATGGTTCTGCCACAATCATGAACTACAGTCAAAACCTACTGTTCTATTATGTGAGGACTACTGCAGGACTAGTACTGTAAAGGTCTGTCATTATACTGCATAGCAGCAGTTGAACTGCTGTGGTGTTGTTCAGAATACAAGCAAATGTGAAGATTTGCTGGTTGACTGTACATTAATTTCAGAATATTAAGCACTGGTTTGCATTATGCATTGAGGACCAATTATCTGTAAATCACTTATTTATTCCATAAAGTTGATGAAATATATTTTTCAGAAAAGAAAGTTATATTTCTAGATGCTTACATAATGATAGCTGTGAAATATGGTGCACAAAATCAGTGCTATCACACTTAGAATTCAACTGTCCACAAGTTCTATTGCACTGTACAGAATTGTCTATTTGTGATAATATATTATTTCTGATTATATTGAGTTAGTTTTTTTATGTGTAACTGGATAACAGCAGAGGACAGGTGAAGATTCCATTGGGTGGCGCTGTTTAATGCCGTACCATGTAACCATGCCCCTACATAGACCCTACTGTCGACTACAGTTATAAAAAATTATGAAAAGATTGTCAGGGTATGACTCAATTTATGTTGAGTCACAGACAATAATGAACTGAAGTGACATCCACATAATTACAAGTAGACTTTTTCAGTAGAAAGTATTTAAGGTGAAATCATAGCTCCTATCACTTTACACCTACCTATATGTACATATTATCTCAATTACCTCGAATAACCTGTACCCCCCGCATATTGACTCGATACCGGTACCCCCTGTATATAGTCTCGTTATTGTTATTTTATTGTTGCTCTTTTATTTTTTACTGAAGTTTATTTAGTCAATCTTTTTCTAAACTCTTATTTTTCTTAAAACTGTATTGTTGGTTAAGGGCTTGTAAGTAAGCATTTCACGGTAAGGTCTACACCTGTTGTATTCGGCGCATGTAACAAATACAATTGGATTTAATTTGATTTATATATTCCTATGTCGTAATCTTGTGTCGTGTGTGTTGTACTCCACGTGCAGCAAAATCACACAGAGATCACTCACTGATAGTGATGTGCAGACACTGGTTCGGATAAAAGCCTACCAAAGGAATGCTTGATACAGCAGCAACACAAGCAGCAGAGAAGCTGGTTCATTAAACATACATAATAAATAAATAATTATAATGGTATCGTGATTAATATTCAATATTTCCACATCTTACTCAGAGAGGATAATTATATAACAATGTCTCTATCAGACCTTGACAGGGAAGGAAGCCAGAAGAATCAACACTCTAGCTAAATCACTTCTTATCTCTGTCTGTTGTATATTCTCTCCTTCTCCTCTCCCCCTCCCTCCTCTACTCTGCCACAGCCACATCACCACTAGCATCACCACATTATCAGCACAGGATATTAGTGCACTGTTCTTAAACTGGTTCATTAAATGGGATTCAGTGAGAACGAACACTAATGCAAATGAGAATTTATGAAGGCAGGATTACGAGAATCCATCGCTGTGAATTAATTAACAGAGAATATTGGGCGCTGTGAATTAATTAACAGAGAATATTGGGCGCCTACAGACAACACTGCAAGAATGATAGCATCCAATATGTCAAAATCCATTAAATTGAACATTTTAAAAGCTAGTTGGCAGTGGAAATTGACGCCATGAAATTATATTTGATGTTAAAACTACAGATCTTTTGGTTATGTCTCGCAATTTAAAAAAATAACTTTTACCCCTTTTTCTCCCAAATTTGTAGTTACAGTCTTGTTCAATCGCTGCAAGTCCCATATGGACTCGGGAGAGGCGAAAGTCGAGAGCCATGCGTCCTCTGAAACAAGACCCTGCCAAGCCGCACTGCTTCCTGACACACTGCTCGCTTAACCCGGAAGCCAGCCGCACCAATCACCGTACTACTGGCGACCGAAGTCAGTTTGCAGGTGCCCGGCCCACCACAAGGAGTCGCTAGAGCGCGATGTGACAAGGACATCCCGTCCGGCCAAACCCTCCCCTAACCTGGATGACGCTGGGCCAATTGTGCACCGCCTCATGGGTCTCCCGGTCACGGCCGGCTGTGACACAGCCTTGGATCGAACCCAGGGCTGTAATGACGCACTGCGATGCAGTGCCTTAAATCGCTGCGCCATTCGGGAGGCATGTCTCGTAATTCTTGTAGAAAATGTTATATCACTGGAGTTAGGGGAGTATTAACTTGATTCAGAATTGTGCACACACACCATTTCACCTTCAATCTAAGATAGCACAACTTTTCCAATCCATACTATTTAACCTGAGTTTACTTGTTTGCTACACTGGAAATGTACACTGAGTGTACAAAACATTAGGTACACCTTCTTAATATTGAGTTCTCTACAAGGTGTTTTTTTTATTTTATTTCTATTTTACCTTTATTTAAATAGGCAAGTCAGTTAAGAACAAATTCTTATTTACAATGACGGCCTACAACGGCCAAACCCGGACGACGCTGGGCCAATTGTGCGCCGCCCTATGGGACTCCCAATCACAGCCGGTTGTGATACAGCCTGGAATCAAACCAGGGGTTCTGTAGTGATGCCTCAAGCACTGAGATGCACTGCCTTAGACCACTGCGCCATTCGGGTGTCAAAGGCATGACACAGGGATGCTAGCCCATGTTGACTCCAATGCTTCCCACAGTTGTGTCAAGTTGGCTGGATGTCCTTTGGGTGGTGGACCATTCTTGATACACACAGGAAACTGTTGAGCGTTAAAAACCCAGCAGCATTGCAGTTCTTCCTATACTCAAACCGGTGTGCCTGGCACCTGCTACCATACCCTGTTCAAAGGCAATTAAATATTTTGTCTTGCCCATTCACCCTCTGAATGGCACACATAAACAATACGTCTCAGTTGTCTCAAGGTTTAATACACTGATTGAAGTGGATTTAACAAGTGACATGAATTAGGGATCATAGCTTCACCTGGTCAGTCTATGTCATGGAAAGAGCAGATGTTCTTAATGTTTTGTACACTCAGTGTATGTGTCGATGGTACAGTATCTGAACATCAAAGTCTGCAAATAACACTAAATCTTGGGTTTATGTTTTCAAATAACACTAAATCTTGAGTTTATGTTTGCAAAACAACACTAAATCTTGGGTTTATGTTTGCAAATAACACTAAATATTGGGTTTATGTTAGCAAATAACACTAAATCTTGGGTTTATGTTTTCAAATAACACTAAATCTTGGGTTTATGTTTTCAAACAGCACTAAATTATGGATTTGTAATTATGGAGAGCGAGAGAGAGTGAGAGAAAGAAAGAGAGAAGGAAAGAGAGAGATCCCATGATGATGCACAGTATTACAGTTTTGTTTTGGGCTGCCTGAAGAATCTAGGACAGAAAGTGCCTCCAGCAGTGTTACCGGTACACCACTACTATTACAGAACAGGCAAGTTGCAGGGAGATTCATCAGCAGGCCAATAGTCTTCATGATAAAAAACAAGTGGATGGATAACAAGAAGGAGATATCTGCAACTTCTAGGCTAAACACAAAAGCTGGTCCACATTGACCCCTGTAGTGGCTGGCTTTCATTGCACCCTTTCACTTTTCATACAGTATGTTCAATTGATCTGTAAATTGACTGCAATTACTGCAATTATGTCCCATTATTGGTTAGATAATTGATTTTATATCAACAGTCCCATGAAGTCTGGCCAGTGATATGTCCCACTCACACTAAATTGCCTGGTAATCAATCAATTAACCAATTAGCAGAATCAATCATTCAGCTAACCACAATTGACGCTTGACAATCATACAGACATTTTCATCTAGGCTACAGTTATTAAATGTAATATCATATGAATCAAAACAATTTCCATCAGAATAGCATTACACAAAGCCTAACATCACTCGTGGGCAGGGAAAGGGTTACTTTTTTGTAAAATGGAATTTTTAAGGGGGAAAAAGCTCACACACAGCTCTGCTGGCGCGGTTGTTTGGTGCAGGTTGACGTTATCAGTAAATTAGGACATGGCTTGCAGCTCGATGACCAGCTTGAGAGGAGGGAGAGCCTGAACGGTGTTGCCTAAATGAGATAAAAAAAAGCGCGTGGTTGGCGCTGGTTTCCGTTTGCTCCAGATAGGCGTCTTATCCTTAGCAGTGTGAATATCCGCGCAGAACGACGAGGCCAGCTCACACTGCCCGGCTACACCGCGAAATGGTCACGTCTATTCTGGGGCTCCTTATCCTACCAATATGTCTTCAGCAGTGTGGTTTTGTACACGGTAAGTAGCCTAATTTTAGATTGCAAAACGTTTTGTGGTTATTAATCGTGGTGTATCTCAATGTGACCGTACAACACCGGGTTGGTTATGCCCATTACACCTGCCTATGCTTTATTTACACAGGAATGACAGCGGCAATTATAATACTCAATCTTGCTTTCGTTCTATGAATATGGCCCAAGACGTACACACGGGCAGACGGGTTTTCATAGTGCCCTCAGCGTATTGTTTTATTCCAACATTTGCAGTTTCCAATAAAATGCCAAGGTTTGATTGAAAAACTCTTAATAATTGCTTTCAGTCTGGAGGAGTCGGTCATTTAAATGCGGTCAGGCAAAAGGCCTTTGCCTGTGTTTATGTAGGCTACGCCGTCGTTATACTTGGAAAAATATAGCATATTCTTTTAAAAATGTTCAGTTTGGGTAATTGGTTTGGTTACAATGAACCTGAAATTGATATATTAATGTAGGAACATTGTTTATTTGGACTCTTCTCTTTAACATTCGCGCTCTGTAGGCTACAGAATTTTCCACCGGTGATAATTTATTTATTTATTCCTGAAGATTGGGGCGAGCCTTCAATGGATTGATATGGTGTGTGTGAAACACTAGGCAGTGGGACAACGTAGCAACACCGCATTCTCCACTAGGGGTGGGGGGTGTAATTTATAAAGAACAGATGACGGTGATTATTTGCGGACTCCTGCTAGATTGCGGTGCATGGCATTGACGATTAAGCGCTAGTCTATATTAGCCTACCCTACCGGTATGTAGGCCATCTATGAAGTGTGTTTAGATTTGTCATTGAGCATGAAGGGAAATGTTTTGCCACAGCGTGAAAATGACATTTGTTAGTGTCAGCTGAGGGGCTTTTGTTGTTGCATCTCACAGATTGTTTTACTTCGTGAATTGAGTGTGACTGTACGCAAATTTAGATTCTCGTTGACCTAATTAAAATGGAGCTGTATCCTAGGACCTAGGCTTTATTCTCTATTTTGGTTGTGATACTGAGACCAATAGTGCTCAAAGGCGCGTTGTCGTCACTGTAGGCTACCACAGGGGACGGGGACTACAGACGGCCAAAGTAAGTGGCGACTGGAAATTAACTTATTTTCAATCAAATTAGACAATAGGCCTAAATGAAAGAGATGCACATTTTTGAAATGTCAATTTTCTTACTCAATTAAAAGTGGTCTAAAATTAAATATAAAAGTAGCCTAGGCCTACCTACACCAGTTTTAATGTTAATGTTTGCGCTCTAGCTTTAATTATGAAACGGGTTAGTTGAGTATTAACCATACATTTCACAATAACATTGGTCTAACACAAATTACGTATTTCATGGAGTGTTTCTCAGACTCTCTGCTATTAATGATTTGCACAATTGCAAACACTTGATGAGAAGTCTACAATTCATTTGAAACTGGTGAAGAATGAGACCGATGATCAGCAAGATGCCAATTGGCGTCAGTAGGCCTACTTTTAAAAAACGAACCTATATACTTATTATGGACACAGCATGCCCTACGTTAGTTATCTGGCTGTTATTCGTTTTTAGTTATTAGTCCAATCCTTCAGCTCCATTCAACACCTCCCATCTGTCTCTTAACACATCCATATTGGATTTATATTTGCCATATATTTTTAAACTGTACTGTGATGTTTCACAAAAGTTCTGAAACCTTCTATTCTCATTGTTTCTACAGATTGTAAATTGAAAATAAACATTTTTGCTAAAAGTATTATTATGTTATTGATCGATTGACTGACATTTCAGATCACCCAGTAGTGCTATCTGCAGGGTAAATATTACAATCCTTCAGCCATTCTTGGACCTGTGACCAAAAATAAGCCACAAATGGACAGTACCAAAACAAATGATCTAATGATTCTGTCTCTTCGCAGCCAAATCTGCAGAGCTGGGAAGATGGAATCCCCCATATAAATTCAAAGTTTTGAATCCGGCGTCGTTTTGCGTATCAGTTCATAAACACTATGCCATGGAATCGGTACGTCAAAAATGTCTCAACTTGAGGGAGGTCCTCTGTAGCTCAGCTGGTAGAGCACGGCGCTTGTAACGCCAAGGTAGTGGGTTCGATCCCCGGGACCACCCATACACAAAAAAAAAAAAAAAAAATGTATGCACGCATGACTGTAAGTCGCTTTGGATAAAAGCGTCTGCTAAATGGCATATTATTTATATTATTATTATTAGGGAGCGTGCAATTGGCATGGTGACTGCAGGAATGTCCACCAGAGCTGTTGCCAGAGAATTGAATGTTAATTTCTCTACCATAAGCAGTCTCCAATGTTGTTTTAGAACATTTGGCAGTGTCCAACTGGCCTCACAATCGCAGACTGTGTGGGCAAGTGGTTTACTGATGTTAACGTTGTGAACAGAGTGCCCCAGTGTGGCGGTGGGGTTATGGTATGGGCAGGCATACAGACAACGAACACATTGCAAATTGCATTTTATCTATGGCAATTTGAACGCACAGCGATACCGTGACGAGACCCTGAGGCCCATTTTTTTTTAAAGGTATCTGTGACCAACAGATGCATATCTGTATTCCCAGTCATGTGAAATCCATAGATTAGGGGCTTATGAATTTATTTCAAATGACTGATTTCCTTATATGAACTGTAACTCAGTAAAATCTTGTTGCGTTTATATTTTTGTTCAGTATACCTCCAAGTTATTGCCTACTATCACCATGATAGTAAAAAAAATAATCAACATTCAGTAAGCACAGACCCGCTGCCCCAGGCTCGCTGACACGTTCACTTTTCAGTGAAGCAACCGCAGCACAAAATGTGGTACAATAGCAGAGACTCATCTGATGAGTTTACTCCTGCTGTGAACTGTCCTTGCTCCATATAACAGATGAGCAGTAGGACCTATACAGTTGACTAATATTCACATGATTAAGCCTCCATAGTGTGTGATTATGCAAGTCTCCATTTGTTTTGGCTTGGGACATCATTTTGTTGATGCCCTGCCACTCAGGACCAGCCTTATTATTCTGGTGGCGGTTTGGGGGTTATGGGTTTAGCTGTAGTGTAATCCACTCCAGTAGCACTGCTGCTGTGCACCAGTCCTTGCCTTCAGCCTTGAACTATCATTGGAAGGTTTGGGCATGAGTGGCACTGATTAATGTAATCTCTATACTATGTGTAGGCCTGAGTGTATGTGGACCCATATCAGTCTCTTGTTTGGTAGTGCCCCTGAGACTTATGCTAATGTCCACACTGCAAGCGCTCTGCTTTATATAACCCTCTTGATCATTCTTTGGCATTCTACCCTTCAAGAGCCTGATCTGCTGGCTTGTTTAGAAAATGGCTGTGTCTGAAAATGGCACCCTATTGCTTATTTAGGGCACTACCTTTGACTAGCGCCTCTGTTCAAAAGAGGGTGCACTATTTAGGGAATAGGATTCCATTTCGGACACATCCTATGGCCACTGCCCAGGACAATTACTACTCAGTCCCAGGCAGACTTTTGTGCTGGTGCTATTGGCCTCCCATCACACAGGTCTGTTAGCTCCCTGCTGCAGAAGTATCCCATGCTGAGCAAATGATCACTCAGGCACACTCTGAGGAGCAGGGGGTTATTAGACATGGTATGGCTGTACTTTCTCCTCTCTGCACAGGCTCGTGGCTAGCTGGCAACAGCCACTCTGTCATACAGGAGCCATATACCATGTTTTACTGTAGCTGGCTGGTACCTACAGCACATTGGGTCATTGGTGATGTCAAATGAACTCCCTATCAATATTAACCCATAGACAGTCATTTAGAATTTCAGTCATGGCTTAACCATGTGTCCATATAGTAATGGCTTATTTTGTTTTCTGTGTCCTACAAACACAACGCAGGTCAGAGGACTTTCAATTTAGTGACAAACAAGATGGAACATTGTAGTCCTTGAGGTCTGGAGCCGTGTACGCTAGTTCTACATGATGGTTTTGTTGTGTAATCTTTATTTCCTTGTTTCCTTGTTCCTTCCAGGATCAAAGACAGAATGTGAGCCCAGTCAGTTCCAGTGTGGGAACGGCCGCTGCATCCCGTCTGTCTGGCAGTGTGACGGGGATGAGGACTGCTCCGACGGGAGTGACGAGCACACCTGTGGTGAGACACACACAAACCGCATTTCACACAATTTCATCAAATCAGTGGCATAGCCTACTGTGTTAGAAAACTTCCCTCGTTATCTTGGCCCCATTGGTGCTGTGACTGAGTCCACCAGGGTTAACATGACCTGGTCTAAGTGGCAGCGGTTCTGGAGAGCTAAAAATGGCAGTGACGGAGACGCACAAACGAGCCCCATCTGGGCAAACTGAGTTTCTCCTTGATTCTCTGTGATATCTGGGTCATGGTGGATGAGACTGCGAGTGATTGAGGGAAAGAAGAGGTTGCCATAGAAAGGGATGTGTGGTGCGGTCTCTCAATTAAATCTGTGCTGACATAACCGTCTCAGTGTTTGGGTTACTATGGATTACCTGCCCATCTGTTTCCTTTGTCTCTCTCTGCCCTGGCTCCCTCTTTGGACTGTATACATTACCAACACAGCCGTGGTGACATTAATGTTGATGTGACTTCCATAATAGTAAGATGGGCCTCTGCCACTTATTGCCATTCTAATCACAGGGAGGAATGGCCTGTGAGGAGGCCCTTTAACACAGTGGACATGAAGTGACTGAAAATAGGGTGGGGTAAGTGGGAGGGTGAGTGGCTTGCCATTGTAGAGGTCTGTTTGCCAAATAATATTATGCTCAGTGCAATAGACCATGGTTTCCCAAACTTGGTCCTTGGGCCCCCCATGGTTCACGTTTTGGTTTTTGCCCTAGCACTACACGGCTGATTCAAATAACCAATTAATCATCAAGCTTTGATTATTTGAATCAGCTGTGTAGTGATGGGGCACAAACCAAAACGTGCACCTGGGGGGTGGGGGGGGCCCAGACTGTGTTTGGAAAACCCTGCCGTGTTTGGAAAACCCTGCAATAGACCACTATACTAAATATACACTATAGTGACTAGGATTTAAAGGGCACATTGTCAGTCCTTTATATTGGTTCAGTCTGGATCTTCTGGCTCTTATTTGTGGTACATGGTTGGCAGGAATCTAACTTGGGAGCTGATTTTGGCCTCACACTGAAAGACGAAGATGTTTCACTTACTGTTGGTTTTCCATTCTGAAGCTAGCATACTGTATCTAACGCACTCGATGCCTTTGCAGTTCGGAAGACCTGTGCGGAGGTGGACTTTGTCTGTCGCAATGGCCAATGCGTCCCCAAGAGATGGCACTGCGACGGTGAGCCAGACTGCGAGGATGGCTCTGACGAGAGCGTAGAAGTGTGCCGTAAGTCATCTGGAACCAGCCAGTCCCAGATTGGGGCTCCTTTTCCTTCAGATCGTCATATTCAGTTTGTTATATTGAGAATTGTATGCCTGTCTAAAAGAAATGTTTAAACTTTTTGCCTTCACTTGCAGTATGAGGAAGAGCTGGGTTAAATGGCCTCTTCCATAATAAATGGATCAGGTTGTCAATCTCACTCGGAGGCATTTAATCACAGTTTCACCATGTGCTTCCCACTGTCAGCCAATGCAACAGCTGTGTCAGTTTGTGGATATGGCTTTGGATCAAGATTGGATCAGGTTACTCTGGCTCTTTCCACAATACTGCTTTAAGTGCATGTCCTCCATTCACCCTCTCACACTTCACATAGTTCGACTTGCATAGAGACACCAGGTGGCCACATTAAGAACCTTAATTTAATGTTCCAAATGGGATTGTTCCCAATGATGTAGGCAGCAGCAATGTATTCCACTGAAGTACACAATGAGCAGGGTGTCAGTCATATTTGGGGTGGTTCGTGTGTACGTGCAGGTCAAGACGTCATATCACTGGTTTGTTTGACCAGCTGTTGGAAAGCTGTCTGTCAGTACGCATGGAAATGTTTGTGTGAGAATGTGAGTCACCACTCACCACACTTAAATACACCATACTAGAGGAACTCTTAAGTCTTCCGAATTTTATTTCGTTTTCTTAGAAGCAGTTGGCTATTGAGCAATTCCCTCCCAGAAGTGCATTAGGTTAGATGAGACGTTAAGAATATTTCCGACGCAGCATGTCTGTCCTTTCATCTGCCATCATACATTACTCTGTCTGAGCCCAGTGTATGTGATGTTACATTAGGAGCAGTATGGGTTGGCTTCTCTGATGTGGATCTAATGCTTCACAAGCTCTGCTGACTGATACAGCCCAGCATGCTTTCATGTGCATTCCTCAGAGAAATTGAGTATCATTGATTTGGTAGCAAGCACTCTTACCAGACCTTTCCATGTCCAAGTTACGTATTAATCGTCTGTTGTGTTTCTCCTCTGCTTCAATGGTATGATTAGTAGATCAGTTCCTGATGGATTGAAATCTGTGATTTAAAGTATTAAATTCCTCCAGGTTTGATCCCTAACCATCAGGCATTGTCAATAGCCACTCTAGATAGAGGCTTGTAAATGTTTTCAATGGGCTCGAAGACATGCTCTGGACTCCAATAGCCTAGTTAAGGAAGCATTAGTAATCAGATCTATATAGTACAGACCCTGTAAAGAGTGATGGAGTGTACACACTGATCATCAATCTAATCTTGTTGAACATATCGAGATCAATTGACATGGGTATCCAAAGCACTTGGGAAAGGACTAAAGGTCTATAAATTAACTCCCTCTCCATCCACATGCTCTGCAGACACCAGGACCTGCCGTGTGAATGAGTTTAGCTGTGGGGCGGGGTCCACCCAATGCATCCCAGTCTTCTGGAAGTGTGATGGAGAGAAGGACTGCGATAACGGAGAGGATGAAATTAACTGTGGTGAGTTGATTTTCCATGTAGCCATAGGAAGAGCGGTGTCCCTCACAAACCACTAGATGTATTTCCTTACTGTGTTTTGGAATGAATCCAAGCAACACGTTAATTTAGGAGTACATGGTTGTTGATTCCTACATTAGCATCACAGTACTGAGTACTCCGTTCACTCACACAGGTAACATCACGTGTGCCTCGCTGGAATTTACCTGTGCAAGCGGCCGCTGCATCTCTCGTAACTTTGTGTGTAACGGCGAGGACGACTGTGGTGACGGGAGTGACGAGCAGGAGTGTGCCCCGTCGTCCTGCGGCCCCAGCGAGTTTCAGTGTGGCAACGCCACCTGTATCCCTGGCAGCTGGGTGTGCGACGATGACGTGGATTGCCAGGACCAATCGGACGAATCCCCTCAGCGCTGTGGTCGCCACCCCACGCCACCGGCTAAATGTTCACCCAGCGAGATGCAGTGTGGGTCTGGGGAGTGCATCCACCGCAAGTGGCGTTGTGACGGGGACCCCGACTGCAAGGACGGCAGTGACGAAGCCAACTGTCGTAAGTGTGGAGAGACTTAATCAGACCACCTGCATGTTCCAGCAGGCCAGCCGATGTACATTGTTTTTGGTTACTTCTGTTTTTCTGCTGCACATGTCAGAGATTGCACTGGTTTCATATAGTCATAAATGGAGCCTTCTATTGCAATTATACTATATTGCAATAAAAGGATCTGGTCGTAAAATGCATCCTTGTCTCTATACTCAGTGTTCATAGCAGCTGTCAAGAGTTTATCTGTTTTTCATGGTTATGACTGTGGTGTAGGCATTATGATAGTGCAAATAGAGTAATGATGGTGGTTGGCGTATATGGGCTGAAATGTGAGTGAGTAAGGGTTAATGGTCTAACTAACAGTTCTGTGTGTCCTCTCCTCTCCAGCTGTTCGTACCTGCAGGCCAGACCAGTTCAAGTGTGAGGACGGCAATTGTGTCCACGGCAGCAGACAGTGCAACGGCTTCCGTGATTGTGCAGATGGCACCGATGAAGTCAACTGTAAAAACTGTGAGTGTTCAACCAGAAGTAATGTCATTCCAAATGAATGTACTTAAAAAATAAATAATTGTTGCTACACTACAGAACATTTCCTAAACAAGGTAATTTTTGCTTCAGTGTTCAGTTATTCCTGTATGAATTGGATTAAAAGATGCTCAATAAATACTATAATTTTATATTCAGACTACAGTAATGTGGTTATCGAAGTATTGACTTTAAACCCTCAAATTAATTGCTTTGGTTGCACCTGCAATTAAGCACACCTCCATGTTCCTATGGGGGACATGCACAACATTTGCAGATGGTTGAGTCTCAAACTCCTACACCCACTTCCATTATACCACCTGTACCTCTTTGTGTAACATTCCAGTATCACCAGTTTGTAATGTCACTTTCTCTTTCACGACCCAGTGACGCAGTGCAACGGCCCTGACAGGTTCAAGTGTCGGAGTGGAGAGTGTATAGAGATGAGTAAAGTGTGCAACAAGGCCCGGGACTGTCCTGACTGGAGTGACGAGCCCATCAAAGAGTGCAGTAAGTGGATGAGAGGAACCAAACATGTTTTATTAAGCAGTAGAAGTGATGAGCGGTTGAGTTCAGTTAGTATGTTGTCTTGTGATTTTGTTTATTCACGATGAAGAACCATGAGTGCATTCACTAAAGTGGGTTAGCTTGCCTTGCAAGTTGCAATAATGCGCTGGTTGTAGGCTGCTGAACATTATGGGATTGATACAAGTATTTTGGCTATTGGTGTGTAAAATACTATACATCTTTGACCTGTCCCATGGAGGCTACCTCATATTATCCTTGTCCAACTCATCCTACACTACAGCAATCCCATTAGTTCACTATCATTCAGCCAGCCAAAGCCAGTCCACTGATGTCATTGATTTCAGGCAGGCCTTTGTTTGTGAACGAAGGGCATTAGTAACCACCGTTCTTCTGTTCACGTTTCAGACCTGAATGAGTGTCTGCTGAACAATGGAGGCTGCTCCCACATCTGCAGGGACATGGTGATTGGCTACGAGTGTGACTGCACCCCTGGACTGCAGCTCATAGACCGCAAGACCTGTGGGGGTAGGTGCCATATCCAATGATTAACCCATACACTATTTGATATTAACTCTCATACGAAAGAAAGGCATTTTCAGTTGATATTTGTAATGGGGTATTGAGACTTACTACATTTTAAGATCCACCCTGATCTCTTTTACATTTGACTTACTATTCACAACTAAATTAATTGACCTCCTACTCTGTGGGTGACTCTTCCTGTTTTTCCCTTCCTTCAGACATCAATGAGTGTATGAATCCTGGGATCTGTAGTCAGATCTGTATCAACCTGAAGGGAGGGTATAAGTGTGAGTGCCACAACAGTTACCAGATGGACCCCACCACAGGAGTTTGCAAGGCTGTGGGTAAGTTGGCTCACCCTGTCAAGTATACGCCATACTGTACCACCAGGAGCACACGGTAGAGGGATGCGTAAGCAGATGTTGGCGCGCTAGAGGGAAGCAGCATCACTAATGGGTGCAGTTTTGTATCCGATCCAACGGACTCTGTACTCTTCCATGTCGCTCTGTCCTGATCAATGCATTTTAATTCTCAAGCTGCTTCAAATATATATTTTACAAAACACCTATAATGGAATCCAAGTTCAAATAGAATAGCAATGATATCGTTTACAACAACCTTGATCTGAGAAGTCCAGCTGGGATGTTTTGGTGCTGTCTCTGACTCAGTGACTCATGATTAGTGTTGTTCTAACACGAGGACAGACTTAAAAGGCTCCATTGTATTGTCATTATGAATGAGTGTCTGTGGCTCCCTCTCCCCCTCAAGGCACGGAGCCCTGTCTGATCTTCACTAACCGGAGGGACATCCGGAAGCTGGGTCTGGAGAGGAGGGAGTACACACAGATCGTGGAGCAGCTGCGGAACACAGTGGCACTAGATGCAGACTTCACCCAGCAGAGGCTCTTCTGGGCTGACCTGAGCCAGAGGGCCATCTTCAGGTAGCTACAGGTCTCATCTTCCGGTCAAAACATGTCCCATCACACCCACAAGTCTAAGCCCATAGATGGTCTATTATCATGAGGGAGTCTGTGTTCACCTCAACCTTGACCTGTTATCACTGGTTTCTGACAGACGTATGAAAGCATTTGTACATGGTAATCAGGGCCAAAGTTCACTGAGCATATGTTTGCTATACTTCCCAGCAATAAACCATTCAACCCTACAACCTACGTTTTTGGGTCAATATGAGTCAACTCAAACCGAATACCAAAATGTTTCTCACCCCCATATCTTTCCAGCACGGTGTTGGATAAGCGAGGAGACGTAGGAAGTCATGTGAAGGTGATAGACAACGTCCAGACACCAGTGGGGATCGCAGTAGACTGGATCTATAAGAACATCTACTGGTCCGACCTCGGCACAAAGACCATAGCAGTGGCCAACTTCAGCGGCACCAAGCGAAAAGTTCTCTTCGACAGTGGTTTGAAAGAGCCTGCGTCCATCGCTGTGGATCCACTCTCTGGGTAAAGTTTTCTGGGGTCCACATTTCTCTTGAACAGTTTCTGAATGCTTCCACCTTTTTGAACCCTCATAATGATTGGATCTCCTCTCTGCTGGTGTTCTAGATTCCTGTACTGGTCAGATTGGGGTGAACCAGCAAAGATTGAAAAGTCTGGCATGAATGGGGTTGACAGGCAGGTCCTGGTCGAGACTGATATTCAGTGGCCCAATGGAATCACCCTGGGTGGGTAAAGCTGGTTTGATTGTCCTGTCACTGCATTATACCTAATGTGCATTTACCCTTTGAACAGGTTCAATTGCTTTCACGGCTACAGGGTGTGATAAACATGTATATTAATTTCCTTCTCTTAGACCTGATCAAGAGCAGACTGTACTGGGTGGACTCAAAGTTGCACATGCTCTCTAGCGTCGACCTGAATGGCGACAACCGGAGGAAAGTGCTGCAGTCCCCAGACTACCTTGCTCACCCCTTCGCTGTCACTGTGTTCGAGGTACGGCTATGGAACTTGATGAGGTGCTGGGCGGTAGGGGTGGTGAAGTGTGTGTCTATATATATATATAAAGTGTGTGAAAGTTGCTTTGTGTAACTCCAGCCTAATATACTGGCAGGTAAATTGATGGTTGATTTGTAGTTTGTTTTGCGTCTACAATTTGATTGTTTCTCATGTTGTTAATGCTACCTAGCAAACGCATGCTTTTATAGACATTCATAATTGGTAATTTGCTATGTCTCTGTTCAGTTGGTTTCACAAAAACTGGTTTCTGCATACTGTAAAGCCCATGATTTGCTCCAAATGTGTGGGGATCAACGGCATTGACCCCTGGTGGCGTGTGACAGTAATTCTGTCAAACTATTAGAATAAATAGCTGTTCAGTTTCAAAGTCTTTCCTTCTCTGAAGCATTAGTCCCAAGCCATTTCTACTGGCATCTGCTCTGGGGTTTAGTGTGTGACTGTGATTTGTTTCAGGATCGAGTGTTTTGGACAGATGGGGAGAACGAGGCGATCTACGGAGCAAACAAGTTCACAGGCTCTGACGTGATTACCCTGGCAAGCAATCTAAACGAGCCACAGGACATCATTGTTTACCACGAGCTAATCCAGCTGTCTGGTAAGGCTGCCAGATGTTAGCCTGATCACTGGGGTTTGGGAGAGACAGGGCTATATTAGTTAGCCTAGACCACAGTGGCTTGGGAGAGAGGGCTGTGTTTGCTGCCTCTGTGAAATTCACAGCTCCACACTCCTAAGTAACCCTCATAAGTCAACTCCACTGACCCCTGTAACCCTCAGTGCATGGAAGGATCCTTGTTTTTGACATTTCCCTATCTAACTGGCTAGCCTCTAAATGCCAGAGCACTGTTTAAAAAACAGACTAGGACATTTTAGGAGATCAAAATGCTGTCATGTAGGAGTGACTAAGTTGATCTGCCTTTTTAGAGGCAAAGTATCATAGGTCTTTACGTAATGTATCCTAGAAGTACGGGGCACAGGCAGTGGCTAACTGGTTCCCTCCATTTTGATTCCACACAGGGACAAACTGGTGCAATGAGAAGGGTCAGAACGGCGGCTGTGCTTACATGTGCCTGCCAGCTCCACAGATCAACAAATACTCCCCCAAATACACGTGCGTGTGTCCGCAAGACCAGGCGCTCGCTTCAAATGGCCTTTACTGTAGACCAGGCAAGTACTGTAACGTTAACAACATCCGATCGGGCAGTGAGGTGTTAAACTGTCTGATGCTGTGGGCGTTTTTTTTTCTCCTAAGAGCCCTCTCTCTTTAGAGGCCTTTAATTCCCGTTCTGTCACCCAAGCATTTCTTTCCCCTCCCTTTGTGTGTGTTGACGTTCAGATGTGTTGCTTGTGAAGCCTGACAGCTGTAGCCAGGTTGTCTGTCCCTCTGTTTGCCTGCTTTCTGCTCCTTCCCCCTGCCCTGCTGAAGCCTCTGTTTGCCTGCTTTCTGCTCCGTCCCCCTGCCCTGCTGAAGCCTCTGTGTTCCGCTTTAGTCTCCAATGTGCTTTTCTTCCCCCCTCAGAGCCACTGATGTTTGGGAATATAGTTGAGATGGCACCGGGCTTTTAAACTCCCTTTGAATGAATGAACCACCCAGGGTGCGGAGGGGACTGGGGGTTATTGTAGGGGCCAATAAGAGGGACCCCTGTCACTTGATGAATGCTTTATATACAGGTTTTTAGGTTTCATCCAGAAAGCAACATGTTTTATAACCAAATAGAAGCTAACTGAATGAATTTGTCTTGCCTGGTAATTGATGGAATGCTAGGCTATAGACAGTGTGCTTGATGCTTTTCATTTGAGTGAGATAAAGGGGCCAAATTTGCTTAGTGAGGGTACTAGCGGGGCATGGCTCTCAGGCTGTGCACCCCACTGACATTAAGCAAGATCTATCGTCTAAAATACCGTTATACTTGTCATGCAGAGTGTAGTCTGCTTTTATTACTCAAAGATCTGTATTAAATTATCCATGAATCAGATACTTTTTTTTGTGGGGTGATTTAGGCCCAGTTATGAGTAAAATATGGTGATTTAATATTTTGTCTGATCTCATATAATCATGGTCTCTCCTGCGTCACATGATTCCTGCTTCATTTTGTTCATGCCATTCATACTCATACATGAGCCGCCTTCAGTTTTGGCACTACTATAGAGCACTATAGGCCCTAACATTTCCAGCTTTTTTCCCCAATTATTTTGGCCATTGAATCTCTGAACAAGGCTCTTTTGGTTAGTTATTCAGTAGTATAGAAAATAGGTGTTATTTCCCACTAGTAATTTTGGATCACTTCTGCACATTTTTTCAAACACTTCTTTGCGTCTGTGCTTCGCTTTTCCTGTTTTTCCGCTAGGAATTAATTTGTGACATCATGTAACATGAAAAAGTTCCATATGTTGCATGGTAACAAGCATTTCTGTAGTCAGAATGTGAAGCTATGATTTTAAGTTTTGCCAAAGCATTACAATACTCTGTTCTCTTATTATGACAGTGACACCTTCAGCTCCCTCAAAGGATGATGGGAAAACTCTAATACGTCCCACTGACCCCCAAGGTAAAGATGTCAACCGCCCGCCTGCCTGCCTTGTGTGGCTGGGGCTGCATGCGTGTCCTGGCTACAACCATAGCCATGAATCAGGACCCCAGTAATCTAGTTTCATGGCCTTTGGGTTCTTAATTAACAGATGTCAATTATTTAATTTCACTCTAGAATGACTCTGGTCTGGCTCCCCTGTGCTACCCATCGTCATGGTGATTAGCCTATAAGCTTGCAGCCTGCTACTAGGGGGGTTGTGAGGTGGTGTGGTGATGGGAAGTTGGTCAGTCATGTAAAGATGCCTGGAGTGTTTGACAGTACAGGAATGTCTAAGTAGATTTTGGAAGTAGCTATTATTGCCATCCACCCAGGAATGTTTAACGGCAGATTTTTAAGTGACTTCTACAATTAGCCAGTGGATGCATGCATAATGAATGACCATAATTAAAGTAACAAATATTGCATTTTATCTGTAGTGGATTTATTTGATTAGCCTGCTTTTTAAGTAATTTGTTTAGGCATTTTTTGTAATTATTATTTGCAAGATGCCTTTGTTGCGCTGATCCCAGTGTTTTTTTTGTTCAAAGTGACCACGGTGCCAAAAGTTGTCCCCCAACCTGTCCCTGCTGGTAAGCCCCAGTTCTCCTTCCCTGATTGAGCCCTTGGTGAAAAGAAGTGGTAGATTTCCTTAGACTGTGATTGTGCCAAAACACTGGTCTGTCAGCCTGGCCTTGCCAGCTCCTGGTGGCCATATAATGTTCCAGAGCCCAGCTGACCCCCAGGGGGTTGCCAGAGGGCACAGAGCCACCCCATTGGCAGACAGACAGGGAAGGAAAAAAAAGCTAATGTCCTCTTTGTTCCCCCCCTTCCATTCACCCACTTGTTTGCAAGTCATGTACCTACCAACTCTCATATCACCCATCATGTGCCATTTCCTATAAGTATTATTTACACATGACCAGTTGAGTTTATTGTACTTTAGTTATTTGTACCAAGGTTATTCTTGGTACAAAATGTGACTACTGGTTACAACTGATCTTACCCTAAATACAAAGACTAACAGAGAGAAAGACATGAACCAGTATATTACATTTCTGTGATTACATGGTCCCTCAAAGGACTGACTCTCTCATTCAGATGAACATTTTCTATTGTAGAAGCCAACGTCAGTACATCCATCCATGAGGCGAACTCTACAGCTAGAGGATCTGCAGCTGCCTGGGCTATCCTCCCTGTGTGTAAGTACCACTGTTACTGCCGTCCCCCTCTCTCCTGCAGCTGTCTATGACGCATACTTTAAAGGACACTCAACTGTATGATAAGTGGGTGGATGAGCAATACTTCAGTGGTTTTCCTAGCTGTAGTAGTTATTGATTGAATGTTGTGATTTATTCAAGTAACCCTTGAATTGTACCGATGCTATGAAACCTTAGCTCTTGCTAGCTGGATATGAACCATTTAAAACTACTCCAGTATTGCTTATGCTGATCCCACTTCTGTCTTCTGTCCCCAGTGTTCCTGGCCATGGCTGCTGCAGGAGGTTACTTGATGTGGCGTAACTGGCAGCTGAAGAATAAAAAGAGCATGAACTTCGACAATCCAGTGTACCTGAAAACCACGGAAGAAGACCTCAACATTGATATCAGCAGGCACACCTCCAATATAGGCCACACATACCCAGCAGTAAGTAGCCTCCTTAATCCGTCGAGTGGTCACTTCTGTAAATAACTACTTGCTTGTGTGAACTTATGATAGTTGTGCACTCCCAATCCCTTTTGCATTGTGACTCTTCACCTTACATTTACTTGCATACCGTCCACTAAACAGCTTATTTTAAGCGGGGGAAATCCCATTCATGATTGTTACTGGGAGCCAGACCACTCTAGCCCTTAATCGGTAAATCGTTTAGATTCTCTGCCTGTAAATGACCACTTTCCATTGTGCGTTTGTCTTCCTTCCAGATATCAGCGGTGAATACAGAAGATGACTTGTCATAACCAACCTGCCAAGTGACCCCCATCGGTTTATTCAACCTTTGGTCTCCATGCCAACGACCTCTGCTTCTTTAGCAGAGCTACAGAGCTACAACCAGATGCCTTCTGAAGTGCATAAGTTGTGTTTTCTGGGGGATTTTGTCATTAGATGTGTGATTATGATGTATGAATTGCGTCCTACTCACACCAAGTGTGTCCAAAGTGGCAATGGGTTTTGGGGCTTGGCCTCTATATCCCCACTCCTTCCCCCTCAGCCCTAAAACATTTCAAAGATTCTACTACGTACAACCTTGCGTTTAGTTCAGGACACTGGTCCTCCTGTGTGTGAAGTGAGGCAATGCAGGAGCGACACTGGTTCTGACCTTCAGTCCCCCACTTGACATGTTTCTCTGAATATTTATGAAAAGCATATTTTAGGCAGTACTGTCTTAAAAGATGCAAGTTTCTTATGAACATTACCTCCAGAAGCACATTCTTATAAAGCTTTTTTTGTGCGATTCTGTGCTGGGAAGATGAGTTCTATAAGGAATGTGATGTTACTACAGCATTTGTAAAACATTGTACATAAACCCTCTTCCCCTAAGAACAGAATCAAGACTGAAGCACTTTGATCAAATGGTCTGCTGTAAATAAGATTGTATACATTTGACTGAATCAATTTTTGCTATGGTTGGGCATAGTACCAGGGTAGGGCAAGATGTATTTAAAACTGAATTTGTTAAACTATTTTGTATGTTTGTGTGCCGTTGCTGTGACCTTTTCTAGCCTTGTACAGTGCAGGGGACTAAATGCTCTGTATCGTGAATAAAATAATTTGCAAACACTTCAGATAAAACCCTTTCATTTGATTGGAAGACCCACAAGTCATTCAAAACCCACTGCTTGACTTTCCCTGTACCACCACCATGTCTCATTCTGGTACATTCTGATTCTTTACCTTTCTCCCAAAGTGTACAGTCGTCGTCAAAAGTTTTGTCTTCACAAAGTTCACTGCTTCAGTGTTGAGATATTTTTGTCAGATGTTACTATGGTATACTGAAGTATAATTACAAGCATTCCATACGTGTCAAAGGCTTTTATTGACAATTACATTAAGTTTATGCAAAGATCTATTTGCAGTGTTGACCCTTCTTTTTCAAGACCTCTGCAATCCACCCTGGCATGCTGTCAATTAATTCTAGGCCACATCCTGACTGATGGCAGCCCATTCTTGCATAATCAATGCTTGGAGTTTGTCAGAATTTGTGGGGTTTTGTTTGTCCACCCACCTCTTGAGGATCGACCACAAGTTCTCGATGGGATTAAGGTCTGGGGAGTTTCCTGGCCATGGACCCAAAATGTTGATGTTTCGTTCCCCGAGCCACTTAGTTATCACTTTTGCCTTATGGCAAGGTGCTCCATCATGCTGGAAAAGGCATTGGTCGTCACCAAACTGTTCTTGGATGGTTGGGAGAAGTTGCTCTCGGAGGATGTGTTGGTACCATTCTTTATTCATGGCTGTGTTCTTAGGCAAAATTGTGAGTGAGCCCACTCCCTTGGCTGAGACGCAACCCCACACATGAATGGTCTCAGGATGCTTTACTGTTGGCATGACACAGGACTGATGGTAGCACTCCCGTTGTCTTCTCCGGACAAGGTGTTTTCCGGATGCCCCAAACAATCGGAAAGGGGATTCATCAGAGAAAATGACTTTACCCCAGTCCTCAGCAGTCCAATCCCTGTACCTTTTGCAGAATATCAGTCTGTCCCTGATGTTTTTCCTGGAGAGAAGTGGCATCTTAGCTGCCCTTCTTGACACCAGGCCATCCTCCAAAAGTCTTCGCCTCACTGTGCGTGCAGATGCACTCACACCTGCCTGTTGCTATTCCTGAGCAAGCTCTGCACTGGTGGTGCCCCGATCCCGCAGCTGAATCTTTAGGAGACGGTCCTGGCACTTGCTGGACTTTCTTGGGTGCCCTGATGCCTTCTTCACAACAATTGAACCTCTCTCCTTGAAGTTCTTGATGATCTGATAAATGGTTGATTTAGGTGCAATCTTACTAGCAGCAATATCCTTGCCTGTGAAGCCCTTTTTGTGCAAAGCAATGATGACGGCACGTGTTTCCTTGCAGGTAACCATGGTTAACAGAGGAAGAACAATGATTTCAAGCACTACCCTCCTTTTAACGCTTCCAGTCTGTTATTCTAACTCAATCAGCATGACAGAGTGATCGCCAACCTTGTCCTCGTCAACACTCTCACCTGTGTTAACGGGAGAATCATTGACATGATGGCAGCTGGTCCTTTTGTGGCAGGGCTGAAATGCAGTGGAAATGTTTTTGGGGGATTAAGTTCATTTTCATGGCAAAGAGGGACTTTGCAATTCATCTGATCACTCTTCATGACATTCTGGAGTATATGCAAATTACCATCATCAAAACTGAGGCCGCAGACTTGGTGAAAATTAGTATTTGTGTCATTCTCTCAACTTTTGACCACGACTGTACATTCCCCTCATTAATTCAAAAGGAATGGACTGTTGTGAGGATGTCATGCAATCATGCATGCACCAAAAACCAATGATTTTTAAATGAATGAGGGGGGAGTGAAAATGTGCACATTTCTGGAGATTGGTAGAGAATCTGAATGCAACCTACGATGTAGTTTGGTCTAAGGTAGTGGCCCTAGTAGCTATTCAAGAGTGCATTGTTTCACCATTTCATGACTGACAGCCTATTTGGACTGCAATTTCATATGCATAGAGTAGTGCCTGATATAACAATTGCAGATGGCAGTATGGATTATGTTTTGATGTACAGGAAATCCCAGTAATCACAAAGACTTAACCTCTTGAATGTTAGGGCAAAATGTAGATTTCTGCTTAATAGACATGCCTAAAAGTAATAATTTTTCATGAGATGGCCATAAACAACTGGTAATGCTGCATTGGTTTAGGTCTGGAACTCCATTTTCTGGTAAATTGTTTTATAAATTGCTGGTGTACATAGTACAGATATTAAATTATGTTTTACTATTCAACAAAAGTAGGGCAATAAACCTTGAAATGACAAACGCTTTCTAAATATAAACGCAACATGTGAAGTGTTGGGCCCATGTTTCATGAGCTGAAATAAAAGATCTCAGACATTCTCCATACGCACAAAAAGCTTATTTCTCAAATTTTGTGCACAAATTTGTTTACATCCATGTTAGTGAGCATTTCTCCTTTGCCAAGATAATCCATCCACCTGACAGGTGTGGCATATCAATAATCTGATTAAACAGCATGATCATTACACAGGTGCACCTTGTGCTGGGGACAATAAAAGGCCACTCTTAAATGTGCAGTTTGTCACAACATGTCTCAAGTTTTGGGGGAGCGTGCAATTGGCATGCTGACTGCAGGAATGTCCACCAGAACTGTTGCCAGATAATTGAATGTTCATTTCTCTACCATAAGATACCTCCAAAGTTGTTTTAAAGAATTTGGCAGTACATCCAACCGGCCTCACAACCGCAGACCACGTGTATGGCGTCATGTGGGCAAGCGGTTTGTTAATGTCAAAGTTGTGAACAGAGTGCTCAATGGTGGCGGTGGGGTTATGGTATGGGCCAGCATAAGCAATGAACACAATTGCATTTTATCGATGGCAATGTGATGCACAGAGATACCGTGACGAGATCCTGAGGCCCATTGTCGTGCCATTCATCCGCCACCATCACCTCATGTTTCAGTATGATAATGCATGGCCCCATGTCACAAGGATCTGTACACAATTCCTGGAAGCTGAACATTTCCCAGTTCTTCCATGGCCTGCATACTCACCACACGTCACCCATTGAGTATGTTTGGGATGCTCTGGATCGGCGTGTACGACAGCGTGTTCCAGTTCCCGCCAATATCCAGCAACTTGAAGAGGAGTGGGACAACACAGCCATTGAAGAGGAGTGGGACAACATTCCACAGACCACAATCAACAGCCTGATCAACTCAAAGGAGATGCGTCACGCTGCATGAGGCAAATGGTGGTCACATTTCTTTAAAGGTATCTGTGACCAGCCAAGCGTCGGCTGGAGTGGCGTAAATCTCGCCGCCATTGGACTCTGGAGCAGTGGAAACGCGTTCTCTGGAGTGATGAATCACGCTTCACCATCTGGCAGTCTGACGGACAAATCTGGGTTTGGCGGATGCCAGGAGAACGCAACCTGCCCCAATGCATAGTGCCAACTGTAAAGTTTGGTGGAGGAGGAATAATGGTCTGGGGCTGTTTTTCATGGTTCAGGCTCCTTAGTTCCAGTGAAGAGAAATCTTAACGCTACAGCATACATTGACATTCTAGATGATTCTGTGCTTCCAACTTTGTGGCAACAGTTTGGGGACGGCCCTTTCCTGTTTCAGCATGACAATGCCCTCATGCACAAAGCGAGGTTCATAATGAAATGGTTTGTTGAGATCAGTGTGGAAGAAATTGACTGGCCTGCACAGAGCCCTGACCTCAACCCCATCGAATACCTTCAGGATGAATTGGAACGCTGACTGCGAGCCAGGCCTAATCGTCCAACATCAGTGCCCGACCACACTAATGCTCTTGTGGCTGAATGGAAGTCCCCGCAGCAATATTCCAACATCTAGTGGAAAGCCTTCCCAGAAGAATGGAGGCTGTTATAGCAGCTAAGGGGGGACCAACTCCATATTAATGCCCATGATTTTGGAATGAGATGTTTGACGAGCCTGTGTCCACATACCTTTGGTCATGTAGTGTATAAATACTACATGACCAAAAGTATATGGACACCTGCTTGTCGAACATTCAAGCATGCAGGGGAAATATACAAAAGTGTTATTAGAGAGAGAGTCTTTTAAAAGCGAACCATGTCCCCTTCCCTTGGCTGTGCATGTTTCTAACAGAAAACAGCATCAGTAAGTGTCCCACACGAGTGATGACTGCTCACCTCCAAAGCTTAGAAGAGCACTTTGCGACCTACTTCCCAATCCGTTTGACTGTGATCCTGGCTCAGTTGACATGACGGTAAGTGAAATCAAATAGCTGATCGAGCTGTCATGTGACCGAATGCATTCATGGGTCACTACGGAGGAGTTTTGGTTCCTGACTCAAAGTGAATACCTTGCCGTATTCCTCTGAGCATTAATGCAGCTTTCAAAACAAATGGGAACTGGGAAATCTCAAACTTCCGACTTCAGTGCGTTCAAAACAACTGGGAACTCTAAAAAAAACGAGCTCCGACTGGGAAAAATAGTTTTGAACGGTTATCCAACTCAGAATTCCAACTCGGGAACTCTGGGCTCTTTCTAGAGCTCCGACTTTCCTACCTGAAGATCACTGACGTCCAGTAGCGGTGCGTGGGTAAAATCACTGGGGAAGCCAAGCCCCCCCCCCAACCTATGTGTTGTTATAATTGTGTTGTTTTCTCTATAACCTGTAAATTCATATGCCTTGCGACTGTGATATACAGGCCTAAAGGCCGAGACAATAAGAAGACACAGTGGCAGAATAAATTCAACCACACCTTTGTTTTATCACAAAACCGGATAGCAACCTCGGTCCAGTGAAGTCCACAAAGCATATTGCATGTACAGTTACAGACAATTACATTTACATTACATTTTACATTTACATTTTAGTCATTTAGCAGACGCTCTTATCCAGAGCGACTTACAGTTAGTGAATACATAATTTTTTTTATACTGGCCCCCCGTGGGAATCGAACCCGCAACCCTGGCGTTGCAAACGCCATGCTCTATCAACTGAGCTACATCCCTGCCGGCCATTCCCTCCCCTACCCTGGACGACGCTGGGCCAATTGTGCGCCGCCAATGAGTCTCCCGGTCGCGGCCGGCTGCGACAGAGCCTGGATTCGAACCAGGATCTCTAGTGGCACAGTTAGCACTGCGATGCAGTGCCTTAGACCACTGCGCCACTCAGGAGACGTGACCTACACTAAACAACTATTGATTTATAACCACAGAGACTTACCGCAAGTCGCAAAGAAAACAGGAGCTGCCTCCACTATTCCAGCACCATTTCAATTTCAACATCATCAAATCAGTCTAATACAGTGACAACTAAAAGACACCAAAAACAATTTAGTCCAATCAACGTAAGCTAAATATGATGTGGCTGTCCATGGTTAGGATTTTTGTGTGTGCGCGCGTTCGTGCAAGTAGAAAAACATGTTGACTCACCCTACTTGTAGAAAAACACCAATGCCATCCTCCTCTCTTTCATGTTGATGAAACGGTCTATCACTCTGTCATACAGTAGACACTTTTATTTTTTGTTGTCCTAGGCTACCTGGCTAAAATGCTTGCTCGCTAGCCTAACTTCCATTCATGGGCAACATTAGCTAGTTAACATTAGCCTTCTACATCTAGCTACATATTGAAATTCCATCCTCTCAGGCCAGGGCACAATAATGTATGAATTAATGGTTGGATCAGAATCGTCGTTGTAATCATTGACCAGTACAGAGAATGAAGTAAAACCACAAGTCCAAATCCCTATCTCCAACCATGGCTAATTTAGGAAAGGGCCAATTAACAGCTAGCTAGCCACCGAGGACAACAACACAACGAGATGCAACAATTCAAGTGTTTCTGTCAATGACGTATGCTCTCAATGGGATTTGATAGGAATGACGCCAAATCCAAGCTGGCTTCCCTTTACACTTTTTTTTGGTGCGCCAGGACCATTCACAGTTGAGCTCGCTCAGTTTAGCTCAACGCTGATTGGCTAATTTTGTATACTTTTTTTGTCAAGGGAGGCCAGATGCTTGCTGGCTTCCCTTGCCTTCAATGCTACGGGTGGCAACAATGTCAAACTCGTTTGGACCAGACAGAATCAGATAGATGGCCGACACATAGAGAGACAGAGGGGTGCTGTTTCGCTCGCTCGGACGCTTTCTCCTGTGAGATACATTCAGCCTCTTGCGAATTGAAGGAAAATTATGAAACACAGAGAGACGAAAGATAAATTATTTTATATTTTTTTATTGGTCCATTTTTTGGGGAAGTCTGGCTTCCCTTGGCATCCATGAATACACGCCACTGCTGATGTCATGATTTGACCTTGTATTTTTCAGAGTTCCCAGTTGCCTTGAAAGCACCATAAAACTCATGGTACCCTTCACCATCTCATATCTGTGTGAAGCTGGATTCAGTGCTCTCGTCTGCATTAAAACCAAATATCGAACCAGGTTGGATGTGACAGCAGATATGAGCTGCGCATTGTCAACCACGCCCCCTGACTTTGAGAAGCTCCGACGCGACATGAATCAAGCACACCCATCTCATTAGTGGTGGTGAGATAAGATACATTATTTCAGACTAATTTGCCATTGACTGTTATAGCCCCACATTACAAGTGAGTTGAGAAGACAATCAGAAATACTGTTAGAATGTTTTTCAATTGACTGCCATAGCCCCAAATAAAAAAGTTGGCTGTTAATTACATATTATTTTCACATGGTTGGGGTTACGAGAGTTTCCAGATATGTGGGCCCAAAAAGTTTGGGAACCCCTGCCCTAACCTTAACCCTTCCTCTTCCCCTAACTTTAACCCTTTAACCTAACTCCTAAACGTAACCTTTCATAACATATTGTTATACATTTTGTATAACGTGAACGTCTAGCAACCAAAAGGTTGCGAGTTCGAATCTCATCACAGACAACTTTTCAACTACTTACTACTTTTTAGCTTCTTTGCAACTACTTAGCATGTTAGCTAACCCTTACCTTAACCCTTTTAGCTAACCCTTCCCCTAACCCCTAAACTTAAACCTAAGGCCACTTAGCTAGAATTCGTAACATATTATACGTTGCCATTTCGTTACATTTTGTACGCTTTGCTTATTCGTAACATATTGTATGTTTTGCAAATTCGGAACATATCATATGAAACGGGTGATGGACATCCACAAATTAATACATACCATACGAAACGTAACATATCATACTAAATGGAGTGTCGAGGGGGGTGCTGAAAAAGAAAAATGCCCATGCTACAGATGCTATATTGGTCCGCTAATACAGGACTAGTAAAGGCCCAGCGCACTGCTTCTATTTTTTGTATTAATATATATTTGTTATGTTCGATCGTGTTAATGCCAGTAGACATCAGGCGTGTTATTGTTTTTTATCATGCCTCTAGGATTATAATACTCCACATATAAGCCAGGGGTTTTAAGACTATTAGTAGCTGCATGTAGAGGAAAACACATCACATGAGATATGACCGGAAAGATTTCCTTAGGACTTTCTGTTAAAATATTTCCATTAGATGACATAAAAAGATGGGTTAGAATCATTGAAACAAACTGGATTTATGCTGCATCCTCACCCTTTATTTTTTATTTTTTACTACCAACTAGGAGGTGAGTAATGGTCTATAATACAGCACAGAGCGTCCCCTGCTGTGGCTAGGCGATTTGATCTGTGAATGTAAGGCAAATGAAAGCCGTCAGGGTGGGAGGGTGGGGGGGAAAGGGACTGGAAGAGTGAGAGAGGGAGGAGGGGAAAGGGACTGGAAGAGGATAATGGTATTTAAAATTTTAAGTACGCAGATCCTCAGTCAGCTACATTAGACGGTCAGGGTTGTTTCTTTCAACTGGTATTCTGCTGTGAGTGACTCAGGAGAGGGTATTAGACCTGTGGTAATGCCTCCACACCACTCAGTGAGCCGCTGCGTCTGACCAGGGCCCAGCACAGGACTCGAGAATGCTCAAGAACAGGAGACAGAGCCTTTTCCCCAACTACAAAGTGGGGGGGATAGGCCCCACATACAAGGACCCAGAGGAGGACTACAATGTTCTCCTCACCCAGAACAACTTGGTGAAACAATGGAACTCCATGCAAGAGCTCAGCCAAGACATCTACGACATCTATGCAGAGTACGAAGATGAGGAAGATGTTGTAATGGCCTCCCCAACAAGAGCTCTCTCCTCTCTTGTGAAGAACTACATGCTGAACATCAACGTAGGTGGGAAGGTGTATCAGATCTCCTACAGGGTTGCTGCCAAGTATCCCAAGACGAGGATCGGCTGCCTGGCGACATACACGGACCACAACAGAAAGCTGGACCTGTGTGACGACTATATTGTCCAGAACAACAAGTTTTTTTTCGACAGGGACCCGGACATCTTCCACAGCATCTTCAACTTCTACCGGACGGGCGTGCTCTGGATCAAGGACGAGCTGTGTCCCAGGAACTTCCTTGAGGAGATCAACTATTGGGGCGTTAGGATCAAGAACACACACCGCTGCTGCCGCATCTCCTTTGAGGAGCGCCAGGATGAACTCAATGAGCAGCTGAAGATCCAGCGGGAGCTGGAGGCCGAGGTGGAGCTGGAGGAGAATGAGGACCTGTTCCATGGGATGGCGTTCGGCCAGTTGCGCTGCATCATCTGGAACCTGATGGAGAAGCCCTTCTCCTCCGTCACCGCCAAGCTCATGGCTGTGGCTTCCAGCTTCTTCGTGCTGGTGTCCCTGGTGGCCATGACGCTGAACACGGTGGAGGAGATGCAGTACACCACCCCCACGGGCCAGCTGAGCGGGAAGACCTACGGGGAGTATGTGGAAACCTTCTGCATCGCTTTCTTCACAATGGAGTACCTGCTACGTCTGGTGTCCACGCCAGACCTGCGACGCTTCGGGAAAAGCGTCCTGAACGGGGTGGACCTGATCGCCATCTTTCCCCTCTACCTGCAGCTGGTGCTGGAGTGCTTCGAGAACGACGACTACGGGAAGCACCAAGACATCGAGACGGTGGGCCGGGTGGGCAAATTGGGCCAGGTGCTGAGAATCATGCGTTTGATGAGGATCTTCCGTATCTTGAAGCTGGCACGCCACTCTACGGGGCTGAGCATTCGGCTTCACGCTGCGCCAGTGCTACCAGCAGGTGGGCTGCCTATTCCTATTCATCGCCATGGGAATCCTCACCTTCTCTGCCATGGTGTACACGGTTGAACATGACGTCCATCAGACCAACTTCACAAGCATCCCTCAGGCATGGTGGTGGGCAGCTGTAAGTCATCCCATTCTATTACATTGGTCATTCTAAGTAATTTGCTTAATATTATTGTATTACCTCATTGATTAGTTTAGTTATTTTGAAATGTTTGTACTGTTATGTTCCAGTAAGTAACTGGTGTATTATTACAATATCACTGCAAATTCTGGACTATCATTATTCAGCACACTCTGACCTTGCTCTGTGCTGACTGAGTATCTTCCGATGTGTTTATGTGGTACTGTTAAACACATACAATTGGGTTTTACACAGCATGGAGCAACATTGATTCATTGTTACCTGCAGATTCCGATATGACATTTCAATTCCACCTAGAACTAATAATAATAATAATAATAATAATATGCCATTTAGCAGACGCTTTTATCCAAAGCGACTTACAGTCATGTGTGCATACATTTTTACGAATGGGTGGTCCCGGGGATCGAACCCACTACCCTGGCGTTACAAGCACCATGCTCTACCAATTGAGCTACAGAGGCCTTAGTTACAAACATGCTGCCAGAAATACAGTGCCTTCGGAAAGTATTCAGACCCCTTGACTTTTTCCACATTTTGTTACGTTACAGCCTTATTCTAAACTGGATTAAATAAATAAAAATCCTCCGCAATCTATACACTATACCCCATAATGACAAAGTGAAAACAGGTTTTTAGACATTTCTGCAAAATACTCTTCCTAGAGCTGGCCTCCCGGCCAAACTGAGCAATCGGGGGAGAAGGACCTTGGTCAGGGAGGTGACCAAAAACCCGATGGTCACTCTGACAGAACTCTAGATTTCCTCTGTGGAGATTGGAGAACCTTCCAGAAGGACAACCATCTCTGCAGCACTCCACCAATCAGGCCTTTATGGTAGAGTGGCCAAATGGAACTGCTTGGAGTTTGCCAAAAGGCACCTAAAGACTCTCAGACCATGAGAAACAAGATTCTCTGGTCTGATGAAACCAAGATTGAACTCTTTGGCCTGAATGCCAAGCCTCACGTCTGGAGGAAACCTGGCACCATCCCTACGGTGAAGCATGGTGGTGGCAGCGTCATGCTGTGTGGATTTTTTTCAGCGGCAGGGACTGGGAGACTAGTCAGGATCGAGGCAAAGATGAATGGTGCAAAGTACAGAGAGATCCTTGATGAAAACCTGCTCCAGAGCGCTCAGGACCTCACAGTGGGGCGAAGGTTCACCTTCTAACAGGACATCGACCCTAAGCACACAGCCAATACATCGCAGGAGTGGCTTCGGGACAAGTCTCTGAATGTCCTTGAGTGGCCCAGCCAGAGCCCGGACTTGAACCCGATCTAACATCTCTGGAGAGACCTGAAAATAGCTGTGTAGCAACTCTCCCCATCCATCCTGACAGAGCTTGAGAGGATCTGTAGAGAAGAATGGGAGAAACTCCCCAAATACAGGTGTGCCAAGCTTGTAGCGTCATACCCAAGAAGACTCAAGGCTGTAATCGCTGCCAAACGTGCTTCAACAAAGTCCTGAGTAAAGGGTCTGAATACTTATGTAAATGTGATATTCCAGTTTTATTATTTGTTTTCGCAACAAATCTCAAAAACATTTAAATCAATTTTAGAATAAGGCTGTAACGTAACAAAATGTGGAAAAAGTCAAGGGGTCTGAATACTTTCCGAATGCACTGAAGATAGCTTCATCACACCCTTGTCAAGTACAGTAGCCTTTTATCACTGTTACCTTTAAGAGGCATCTTCACATTTCCAATAGCCTGTCCTGCCCTGATGTCTTGACCTTGTTTCATTAGGGCTGACTCAGCAGATGTGGAAGCTATTTTCCATTGCCTACTAAATACAATGGTATTAAAGAGGGCTGGACTCTGGTTCCCTCTCACTGCCAGGGAAAGGCATTTAGGGATTTCCTTTGAGGCACTTCAAACTTATTTAAAGGAGCTAGATGACATGGGATTTGATCTGTCGTACACTACCAGTCAAACGTTTGGTCACACCTACTCATTCAAGGGTTTTTCTTAATTTTTTACATTGTAGAATAATAGTGAAGACATCAAAACTATTAAATAACACATATGGAATCATGTAGCAGCCAAAAAAGTGTTAAACAAATAAAATTATATTTGAGATTTGAGATTTTTCAAATAGCCACCCTTTGCCTTCATGACAGCTTTGCACACTCATGGCATTCTCTCAACCAGCTTCATGAGGTAGTCACCTGGAATGCATTTCAATTAACAGGTGTGCCTTCTTAAAAGTCAATTTGTGGAATTGATTTCCTTCTTAATGCGTTTGAGCCAATCAGTTGTGGTTTGACAAGGTAGAGGGGGGTATACAGAAGATAGCCCTATTTGGTAAAAGACCAAGTCCATATTATGGCAAGGACAGCTCAAATAAGCAAAGAGAAACGATAGTCCATCATTACTTTAAGATATGAAGGTCAGTCAATCCGGAAAATCTCAAGAACTTTGAACGTTTCTTCAAGTGCAGTCGCAAAAACTATCAAGCGCTATGATGAAACTGGCTCTCATGAGGACCACCACAGGAATGGAAGACCTCTGCTGCAGAGGATAAGTTCGAGTTACCAGCCTCAGAAATTGCAGCCCAAATAAATTCCTTTACAGAGTTCAAGTCACAGACACCTCAACATCAACTGTTCAGAGGGGACTGTGTGAATCAGGCCTTCATGGTCGAATTGCTGCAAAGAAACCACTACTAAATGACACCAATAAGAAGAAGAGACCTGCTTGGGCCAAGAAACACGAGCAATGGACATTAGACCGGTGGAAATGTATCCTTTGGTCTGGAGTCCAAATTGGACATTTTTGGTTCCAACCGCTGTGTCTTTGTGAGACGCGGTGTGGGTGAACGGATGATCTCCGCATGTGTATTTTCCACCGTAAAGCATGGAGGAGGAGGTGTTATGGTGTGGGGGTGCTTTGCTGGTGACATTGTCTGTGATTTATTTAGAATTCAAGGTACACTTAACCAGCATGGCTACCACAGCATTTTGCAGCGATACGCCATCCCATCTGGTTTGGGTTAAGTGGGATTATCATTTGTTTTTCCACAGGACAATGACCCAACCCACCTCCAGGCTGTGAAAGGGCTATTTGACCAAGAAGGAGAGTGATGGAATGCTGCATCAGATGACCTGGCCTCCACAATCCCCTGACCTCAACCCAATTGAGATGGTTTGGGATGAGTCGGACGGCAGAGTGAAGGAAAAGCAGCCAACAAGTGCTCAGCATATGTGGGAACTCCTTCAAGACTGTTGGAAAAGCACTCCAGGTGAAGCTGGTTGAGAGAATGCCAAGAGTGTGCAAAACTGTCATCAAGGCAAAGGGTGGCTATTGGAAGAATCTCAAATATAAAATATATTTTGATTTGTTTTAACACTTTTTTGGTTACTACATGATTCCATATGTGTTATTTCATAGTTTTGATGTAGTCACTATTGTTCTACAGTGTAGAAAATAGTAAAAATAAAGAAAAACCCTTGAATGAGAAGGTGTGTCCAAACGTTTGACTGGTACTGTATGTCTACGTCCATTGACTGTAGACCAACCTAGTGCCTTAGTTCTGTAATTCCATTAAACAATGCTTCAACAGCCTTCAGACAGAGGTTGAATATAGCCCCAGAAACGACCTAGGTCACTCGCCCTCCTCTCGATTAATCCTCCAAATAAAGCTTTTCACATGGGCTCTCCTTGGCCTCCTCCAAGGCCTGTATTGAGCACAGTGACACGCACACACATATCACGAAGGGTCAACTCGGGGATCAGATTGCAAAGCAAAATGAAAACTGCAATGCACTGCAAGTTGAATCTGAGTCCAGGTTGTAATTTCCTGGCAATGGTAGCAAGTTCAATAGAGACTAGGTTTCTAATGTTTACAGATAACATGACCATTGGCCTTCTCCCTCCCTCAGGTGAGTATCTCTACTGTGGGCTATGGAGACATGTTTCCAGAGACCATCCTGGGCCGTCTGTTTGCTTTCGCCTGCATCTCCTTTGGGATCATTCTGAACGGCATGCCCATCTCCATCCTGTACAACAAGTTCTCAGACTACTACACCAAGCTGAAGTCTTATGAGTACACCTCCACACTGAAGGCTCGGGGCAAGGTCAGGTTCACCAAGAGGACACCCAGGAAGTTTACCAAATGCTGTGACGATGCAGTTCATAAACACACTGGTGAATGTTCTTAGAGCACTATGGGAGACTTTCCATTCAATGAACAGATATGCCATGACAGCATGAAATGATTTCTATCAAGTGGAGTTCCAAGGGAGCTAGAGTTACTATGCATCTCTAGCCCTGTTTATACCTGATTCTAAAATGCATCCTTTATCCTGATCATGTCCATATTCTGATTGTGCCCACATTTTCCGTCAGGTGTAGACGATTAAAATATGTATTGTGATCTGATTGTCATCAGATCTTCCTGACCACCTCCTGAGGTAGTCAGGCACGCTTAGAAGTGTAGACCGATATGGACAGTGAAACCATTTAAATTATCATTATGAAAGAATAGCTGTCAAATAATTTGCATACAGAGAGGGACCAAGAAATCTGGTCACAATGCAGACACAGTGGATGGATGAGAGACACATTTCTGAAAGTATGAGCACAAACAGAATGTGGACAAGATCAGTACAAAGGACACATGTTAGTACCAGGTATAAACGAGGCTTATATCTACTGTTACTGTATAACTGGTTCATTTCAGGTTATTGCTTACATAGATTTCAGCATTGCCAAACATTCTGAGATTCTATGAAATTACATGCTTGGATATTAATGCTCCCAAGGTGCGGAGGGCAACCTTGCGTTGTAGCAAAAATACTGCTGACAAAGAAATATATCAAATATGTTATCAATTTCTGTGTTTTCCCTTTCTGCCTTTACCATGTTAAAACTCTCCTTCAGTTACATTTGAGGTTTAGAATCAATTAATTCCTACAGAAGAAATAAATATAAATTTTTATACCACGCCATTCTGTTCCAATCAAAGCACGGCTGGTGGGGTCGGTCTGAAATAATATGTTAAAAATGCAACATCTGGATGAATCTATGGACAGGTTAAATACTCAGCCCCTCCCCCTTTGTATGGGAATCTGTAAGATTGAATCTTCCCAAAGCTGATTAATTAATATGGAAACAGCTTGCAATGTTCCTGCGCTAGCTAGAAGATAAAAAAAAAAAAAGTAGGTCAGTGATCTTGAATGTTCTTTTGTGTTTGGAAAACCTCACAAGTACTCTTAGATAAGAAACATTTTCTTAGGGAAAATATTCCCAAAGATTGTCTATTATATTGACAAGATAGTCAAGTGACCGCTCTAACAATGGAAATAAATTTCCTCAAAGATGGAAGGCAGGTGAGATCAGGTGGGACCATTCTAGCCAATGAGAGGGTAGATACACGTGTGAACAACAGGCCATAGAGATAGAGGACTCATCTTTGTGTCTGTGACAGACCGCATGGGCAGCGCCATTGAGGCAATCTCCATTTTAAAGTAGTAATTTTCTTCTTTATTGGCTGATTGCTCCCAACTTAGGAATCCCCACCCAGTTGACTACTTTAACATGGTGGAAGCCCTCAATGGCAATGTCCATGCTAAAATGGGTTATATCTATGAATCCCCTCTCTATGCCAACAGGCACAACTCCGATAGTGTCGTTTTTTTGTTGTTGCGGAAATGCCACGTCCGTCCACTTATATCAGTGCATTCATAACCTAACGATTACGGAACTTCTATTCGAGCAAATTAGCAAGTACACATTTTTGGTTGACCAAATCTGACACGCCATACAAAAATGTCCTTACTTCATGGGCTTATTTTCATGGACAGATTTTGGGCAGAGTAAAAAACCTCTCGCTTCTCTATGTTGTCATCCACAATGTTCACCAGCCACCCAGACATTGCTAATGTATTTCCACTTAGCAGAAAGCAGACTTTAGCTTGAACTTTGGACCTTTTGCTAAAGAGAAAGACCATCAAAATAACATGACAGCACAGCTCAGATGTTTTTTTGATTGCCTAACGGCCAAATTGTCTCCACTGGTCATCTCAAAAGAATCCTCAAAAGTAGTGCAAGTCAGACTGACGACTACAATGTGACTAAATCTCTCAAATAGTGGCCACACAGGCAGCCATTGATAATGCTCTAAACTGATGAGAAGAATGCTGGGCCTTGAAGGAAAAAGCTGTTTCTCGGCTGACTGGGTCCGTCCAAATCACAGAGACCTGGACAGATGGAATCTAAGCAGGGCCCACTAAATGAATTTGCTAGTGAGCATGCAGGCTTCTGCTTCCTTCACAGATGAATAGGCTACGAGCAGTCTGACAGGCCGGGCCACAGATTGGTGACTTAATGTGGCATAAAGGTTACGGACTGAGGCTCCCTATCAGGGTTAACATTAATGCATTTATGGCTGGATTTATATATGAAAGAATGCATCTATGACATTTGCTTACTGACAAATTCATTGGCAATTGATAGTTTCACACAAAAATAGTGTACCAATCAACATTTTTATTATTGTGCACTAAATATCTTTTTTATTTTAGTTTATTCTGGTTCCTCAGTCAGCTAGTACAACTCAAAAATACAGGTCAGTTACAAAATTATACAAAAACACTGTCTGCCAGTATTTCTGTGTCTTTTACATCTAAATACTTGCACCACGGCTTTACAAACAAGCACATCGGAATTATTTGGACAACATAAATGCAGTACAAGTAAGCGTCCTCTGAAGTAATTTTAGCAGATAAACCTGTTGTAATGAAAACCTGTTACTCCAGTTGGTGAGAGGTCACAGTAGTGGGTGGACTGTCTCTGAGTAGGTTAGACATCATGAAATACAAATCAGGCCAGTTTCTCCAAAAGAACTTCCACTCCTTTACAGTTCTGGATCTTCTGTAGTTCTGGAGCGTAGGCCTTCAATGCCCCCCTAATCTCCTCTGCAACACTCTCGTCTGCACTGTTCAGGAGACTGTAAAAAAATAAAATAACAGATATGTTGGTGAAGGTAACCTTTACACATATCCCACATTTCAAAACAAATGCCTTCCTTTCATCTCTTACTGGTTAGTAAACATTTCTACCCATACCAAGTTAACCAAGTCAAACTATTTTTGGGATATTAATAGTGAAGAAATTAGTGAACATCTAGCATTAAATCAAATAATTTGCAGTGCTTCCCCTATATGCATTTACCAGCGATGCACCGCCACTGCTAAATCGTGGCCGCCACTGCAAAAAATACAAAATGTTTTGTAATGTAGATGTATAGATATATGCCCCCACCCCCCCGCTAACTGCTACCGCTGCTGGAAAAAAATCCTAGGACAAAAACTGATTTGATATGGCAGACTACAGCTATAAATGTCAAATGTGGACTGTATAGACTGAATCAGACAAATCTCTCACTGCTTAAAGTCTTAGAGAGATTACAGAAGGACAATGGGCACAAAGACATGGCAGGAGGAGGCGGGACAGTGGCACAGCACAAGAGTGGATAGAGGGACTGGAGGAAGAGAAGAGAGGCAGAGAGACGAGAGAAGAAAATGAAAGCAAAGGAATTGAGGAAGCGTACTCTACTGCTTGTGTTGCTGTTTCACAATGGGCAGCTGTGCCGAACAGCCCGCCCCTTTCTCACCCACGTCACCGAGTGATATGGAGAATGAATACAAACACAGCCGCCCTGTAAGACATGCTTAACCCCCAGCTGACGCCTGCCTGTTCTCACTTTACACTCAATTTCACTGGCAACAGCTAGGATGATATGACAAGCAGAAAATCCATAGTGATGGGAAGATTTAAATGTTTAAATTAAGACAAATAACTTTAAGCTTAGTCTTTTCATGTTAAAGATGGTGTTTTGTATTCCTGAAGTGTTTGGCCTAAGTTCAATTACCATTTTCATGGCTCAGTGAGTTTCGCTGTCATGGTAAACATTTCAAAGCACTTCTAGTTTCAATCTGTTTACAACAGGGGTTGTTTCTTTCTGAACAAAACCATTATTTATTTCCGTTCCACTGTTCCGACCAGCAAAAGAAAGTTCTGAACCGGCTCGAACCAAAATATATAACGGTTTATATCTTTCCTTTCTGTTCCTTTTTAAACCTCAGATTTTAAAACATTTAGCTTGACATTAAATGACTTCAGATAGACCAGCTCGCTATGGAGCAGGCAAGCTATTTCCATGCTTTGGACAGACGAGTGTAGGGCGCGAGATGCGACAAATATTGCGGGTGGGGAGAGAGTGAGAGGGTGGAGGAGTACGCTTGGCTTGAAGCGCTGGGCATCTGGTTTGCATTATCTGTATTAGGCCCACAATTATACCTACAGAGGAGCGGCTTCTATGAAAGAACATTGAATGTCTAATCTTCAGATTTGGCTTAACTTTGGACCAGCTAGCAAACAAACTTCTGTGTGCAGAACACGTCTTACCTTTTTAGAGTTAATAAATCCAATGTGAAACATAACTATAGAATCCTTAATTAGCATTGAAAAGGTTAATCCATTCTTCTCTAATTAAAAATCTCTCCCTAATTTCTGAATCAAGCTTGTAACGTCAATAGGCTACTAGACTATGCTTCGGCGGGGGAGGGGCGGGTTGCCTACACATGGACAGGCAAAGAATTCCAGTCGGCAGGCAGACACTGGAATACGTTTCTTAGTGACAGAGTGAGAGCTTGGCATCGGTCACTTTATGTTTTGTTGGATTGGAGAAAAAAATGGAACGTAAAATAACGTTATTAACCAGTTCCCATGGTTTTCAAATAACAGTTCTGTTTTGGAACAGTATAGATCACTTTCGTTCGCGATTCTGTTCCTCGTTAAAAAAAACTGGTCCCCGTTTCTGTTCCCTGAACCGGTTCCAATCCCTGGTTTACAAGTTTTGCAAGGATTGGATTGTAAATAGGGATAAGTTCAAAGTTCAAATGGTGGGACTTTTTCCAATTCATAGGAAGGAGCTGGTATCATTTCTATTTTTTGTTGTTGTTGTTAAGCACCAGTTTGCTTGCTTTGCAGTATTTGTCTATTGTGCTACAGTTTGTGACAGGTTAGAGGAATTAGATCTAACAGTGTAGAGGTACTCACCAGCAGAGCACGATAGCCCCACGGTTCACTGCAGCCCACGTCTTTAGCTTGTCCATCCCCACCTTGTCCAACAGAACCCTGGAGAAACGCTCTGTAGAGACATGGCAGTCATGGTCAGGAAGATACAGAATCACAATAGAGTATGAAAAGTGTATGCACTCACTAACTAAGTCGCTCTGGATAAGAGCGTCTGCTAAATTACAAAAATGTAATGTTCAGGGGGATACAGGATAGAGTCCCAGGTCCAAACGGACACGTCTACAGCCATGTTCGTATTGTCTCAGACTCCCCTACGTATTTATATATGGACAGTGAAGCTAAAACTTTTAATTTGGCGCTATACTCAAGCATTTTGGATTTGATATCAAATGTTTCATGAGGCAGTACAGAATGTCACCTTTTATTTGAGGTTATTTTCATACATATCGGTATTACCGTTTAGAAATGAAAGCACTTGTATGCATCTAGTCCCCCCATTTGAAGGTGTCATAAGTATTTGGACAAATTCACTTATGTGTATTAAAGTAGTCCAAAGTTTAGTACTTTGTCCCATATTCATAGGACACAATGACTACATCAAGCTTGTGACTACAAACCTTGTGACTACAACCTATGTTGTGCCCAATAGAAATTAATGGTAAAATAATGTAGTGTCATTTTGGAGTCACTTTCTTTGTCAATGTTTCTGAACACTTCTACATTAATGTGAAAGCTACCATGATTACGGATAATTATGAATGAATCGTACCTAATAATGAGTGATAAAGTTAAAGGAGGCACCAAGATCATGACCCCATTACCAATAACAGGGGAGGGTTAGCATTTTTTGGGGGGTATGACATATCTAACTTTCTCACTCATCATTATTAGGGCGCTACAAAATCTGCGTTGGAGAACGTGGATGGAATCCAGACATTAAAACGGAATTCAACAAAATTCATAAATGTATTGAACTTATTAGAAAATGCATTAATTTGCCCAAGTTAATCATAAGACATGAACAAAATGCATAAGTGATTTGTATTTTCCTGCAACTTTCTGAAACTGCACAGGAATACCTGTGTGTGTGCGGTGCGCGCATATGCCTACAATGTATCCATTAGCTACCGATGATGCTAATAACAACCTTCTTCTGGTAGAGATGGAAAGGCTTTCCCAAAAACCTTCATAAGTAAATGTTAACGACAGAGTAGCCTACCTGGCAGAATGATGTCATGATTATTTGCATCAATCCAGTGGCCATTTATTTTGCAAACTCTGCAATCACATGAGCGCTACAGATACACTGCTAACCAATTAACGGTCTCTTGTTGGTGCACTTGCATTAAAGGGTAACTACAACCAAAAAGTCTTCTATTTTTCTCAGACCTCAAAAGTGGTCTCCTGATGTGGTTTAAGCATTGTTGTGGACAATTTTGGAGTTTTTCTATTAACCCCCTAGTCGCTTGTCCGTGCCCCAGCGGAAATCTAATAAGTAGAATAAAAACAATCCCCATTAAAATCTGTCTGCTTCAGCTAGAGATAGGGCTGCGTCTCAATCCACTGCATGGCTGCCTTCCGCATCTGCGGTGGAAGGTGACCGAGCTACAGCAGTGTTTGTCAGACCTTGAGACATCCCGAAAATCGGTCTTCTCATGAAAACGTCTAATGTCCGAACGGTTTGGCCTATAAAACTAATATGACCACTCTATGGAAAGATGACTCTCACCAACACGGTGGCGTTCTCCGTCTACAACCCCCAAAAGCATCATGGGACTCGTCTGAAGGTAGCCCGGTACCAGTTAAAATGTATGGAAGTATACAGTGCACATTTTGTTACGTTACAGCCTTATTCTAAAATGGATTAAACTATTTGTTTCCCCTCATCAATCTACACACAATGACAAATGACAAAGCGTAAACAGGTTTTTAGAAATGTGTGCAAAGTTATAAAAAATACAAAACAGAAATACCTTATTTACATAAGTATTCAGACCCTTTGCTATGAGACTCAAAATTGTGCTCAATTGTGTTTCCATTGATCATCTTTGAGATGTTTCTACAACTTAATTGGAGTCCATCTGTGGTAAATACAATTGATTGGACATGATTTGGAAAGGCACACACCTGTCTATATAAGGACCCACAGTTGACAGTGCATGTCAGAGCAAAAACCAAGCCATGAGGTTGAAGGAATTGTCCGTAGAGCTCCGAGACAAGATTGTGTAGAGGCACAGATCTGGGGAAGGGTACCAAAAGATTTCTGCAGCATTGACAGAGCTCCAGAGTTCCTCTGTAGAGATGGGAGAACCTTCCAGAAGGACAACCATCTCTGCAGCACTCAACCAATCAGGCCTTTATGGTAGTGGCCAGACGGAAGCCACTCCTCAGTAAAAGGCAAATGACAGCCCGCTTGGAGTTTACCAAAAGACACCTGAAGACTCTCAGACCATGAGAAACAAGATTCTCTGGTCTGATAAAGCCAAGATTGAACTCTTTGGCCTGAATGCCAAGCGTCACATCAGGAGGAAACCTAGCACCATCCATACGGTGAAGCATGGTGGTGGCAGCATCATGCTCTGGGGATGTTTTTCAGCGGCAGGGACTAGGAAACTTGTCACGATCGAGGGAAGATGAACGGAGCAAAGTACAGAGAGAATGTTCATGAAAACCTGCTCCAGAGCGCTCAGGACCTCAGACTGGGGTGAAGGTTCACCTTCCAACAAGACAACACAGGAGTGGCTTCGGGACAAGTCTCTGAATGTCTGAGTGGCCCAGCCAGATCGAACATCTTTGGAGATGTCTCAGCCTCCAGTCTCTATGCCTATGTGCCGGGGGGCTAGGGTCAGTCTGATATATCTGGTGTTATTCTCCTGTCTTAACCGTTGTCCTGTGTGAATTTAAGTATGCTCCCTCTCCCTTTCCCTCCCTTCCCGGAGGACCTGAGCCCTAGGACCATGCCTCAGGACTACCTGGCTTGATGACTCCTTGCTGTCCCCAGTCCACCTGGTCGTGCTGCTGCTCCAGTTGCAACTTTTCTGCCTGCTGCTATGGAACCCTGACCTGTCCACCGGACGTGCTACCTTGTCCCAAACCTGCTGTTTCCAACTCGCTCTACCCCACCTGCTATTTCAACCTCTAAATGCCCGGCTATGAAAAGCCAAGTGACATTTACTCCTGATGTACTGACCAGTTGCAACCTGTACAACCACTGTGATTATTATTTGACCCTGCTGGTCATCTATTAATGTTTGACCATCTTGGAGAAAAATCTGGCCTTAATGGCCATTTACTGCTATAATCTCCACCCTGCACAGCCAGAAGGGGACTGGCCACCCCTCAGAGCCTGGTTCCTCTCTAGGTTTCTGCCTTTCTAGGGAGTTTTTCCTAGCCACCGTACTTCTACATCAGCATTGCTTGCTGTTTGGGGTTTTAGGCTGGGTTTCTGTATTGCACTTTGTCACATCTGCTGATGTAAAAAGGGCTTTATAAGTACATTTGATTGATGGAGAGACCTGAAAATAGCTGTGCAGCGACGCTCTCCAGAGAGGGTCTGCAGAGAAAATGGGAGAAACTCCCCAAATACAGGTGTGCCAAGCTTGTAGCGTCATACCCAAGAAGACTCGAGGCTGTAATCGCTGCCAAACGTGCTTCAACCAAGTAGCCAGGGTTGTGATAAATGTGATATCCGGTTTTTTTAAACCAATTTAATCAATTTTAGTAAGGCTTTAACGTAACAAAATTTGAAAAAAGTAAAGTGGTCTGAATACTTTCAGAATGCACTGTATATGGAAGTAGTTTGGTGCCCTTTTTTTAATATGGGTAAAAATAAAAAAATCAGGATCCTCATATATAGGACAGACACTTAAAAAAAACTTCCTTTTGATTCAGACACTTTAAAACAAACTTCCTTTTGATTATCTGTTTTTCCTATATATGAATCTGTTATTCAATGCATTTATATGGGCTAATAGCAGCAAGGCCTAATTTAAATGTTTCATCAAATATATATATATATATATATATATATATATATATATATATATATATATATATATATATATACACAGTGGGGAAAAAAAGTATTTAGTCAGCCACCAATTGTGCAAGTTGTCCCACTTAAAAAGATGAGAGAGGCCTGTAATTTTCAGCATAGGTACACGTCAACTATGACAGACAAAATGAGAAAAAAAAATCCAGAAAATCACATTGTAGGATTTATAATTAATTTATTTGCAAATTATGGTCGAAAATAAGTATTTGGTCCGTAACAAAAGTTTCTCAATACTTTGTTATATACCCTTTGTTGGCAATGACACAGGTCAAACGTTTTCTGTAAGTCTTCACAAGGTTTTCACACACTGTTGCTGGTATTTTGGCCCATTCCTCCATGCAGATCTCCTCTAGAGCAGTGATGTTTTGGGGCTGTCGCTGGGCAACACAGACTTTCAACTCCCTCCAAAGATTTTCTATGGGGTTGAGATCTGGAGACTGGCTAGGCCACTCCAGGACCTTGAAATGCTTCTTACGAAGCCACTCCTTCGTTGCCCGGGCGGTGTGTTTGGGATCATTGTCATGCTGAAAGACCCAGCCACGTTTCATCTTCAATGCCCTTGCTGATGGAAGGAGGTTTTCACTCAAAATCTCACGATACATGGCCCCATTCATTCTTTCCTTTACACGGATCAGTCGTCCTGGTCCCTTTGCAGAAAAACAGCCCCAAAGCATGATGTTTCCACCCCCATGCTTCACAGTAGGTATGGTGTTCTTTGTTATATTTTGGTTTCATCTGACCATATGACATTCTCCCAATCCTCTTCTGGATCATCCAAATGCACTCTAGCAAACTTCAGACGGGCCTGGACATGTACTGGCTTAAGCAGGGGGACACGTCTGGCACTGCAGGATGTGAGTCCCTGGCGGCGTAGTGTGTTACTGATGGTAGGCTTTGTTACTTTGGTCCCAGCTCTCTGCAGGTCATTCACTAGGTCCCCCCGTGTGGTTCTGGGATTTTTGCTCACGGTTATTGTGATCATTTTGACCCCACGGGGTGAGATCTTGCATGGAGCCCCAGATCGAGGGAGATTATCAGTGGTCTTGTATGTCTTCCATTTCCTAATAATTGCTCCCACAGTTGATTTCTTCAAACCAAGCTGCTTACCTATTGCAGATTCAGTCTTCCCAGCCTGGTGCAGGTCTACAATTTTGTTTCTGGTGTCTTTTGACAGCTCTTTGGTCTTGGCCATAGTGGAGTTTGGAGTGTGACTGTTTGAGGTTGTGGACAGGTGTCTTTTATACTGATAACAAGTTCAAACAGGTGCCATTAATACAGGTAACGAGTGGAGGACAGAGGAGCCTCTTAAAGAAGAAGTTACAGGTCTGTGAGAGCCAGAAATCTTGCTTGTTTTTAGGTGACCAAATACTTATTTTCCACCATAATTTGCAAATAAATTCATTAAAAATCCTACAATGTGATTTTCTGGATTTTTCTCTCTCAATTTGTCTGTCATAGTTGACGTGTACCTATGATGAAAATTACAGGCCTCTCTCATCTTTTTAAGTGGGAGAACTTGCACAATTGGTGGCTGACTAAATAATTGTTTTCCCCAATGTATATACACTTTTACACCTAAAGGGGTCCTAAAATTCTGAATCAAAATAGCTAAATGATCATTGGTATGACCATCTTAAACCAATTCTATATGTTAGTTTAGTAGAACCCCCCCCAAACAAAACATTATTTTATAAAAAATGGATTGTATAGGGCCCTACATTATTCACAATGAATACCATGCTCTTGCTAGGGGACAGGAGAGAGAAACAGATTTTGCCCTCCAAGTGTTCCCGATACCAAGCCTGGACAATCATCCTGCAGTTGACCAAACAGATTGAAGAAGCAAGACCCCACGGGGTGAGATCTTGCGTGGCGCCCCAGATCGAGGGAGATTATCAGTGGTCTTGTATGTCTTCCATTTCCTAATAATTGCTCCCACAGTTGATTTATTCAAACCAAGCTGCTTACCTATTGCAGATTCAGTCTTCCCAGCCTGGTGCAGGTCTACAATTTTGTTTCTGGTGTCCTTTGACAGCTCTTTGGTCTTGGCCATAGTGGAGTTTGGAGTGTGACTGTTTGAGGTTGTGGACAGGTGTCTTTTATACTGATAACAAGTTCAAACAGGTGCCATTAATACAGGTAACGAGTGGAGGACAGAGGAGCCTCTTAAAGAAGAAGTTACAGGTCTGTGAGAGCCAGAAATCTTGCTTGTTTGTAGGTGACCAAATACTTATTTTCCACCATCATTTGCAATTAAATTCATGAAAATTCCTACAATGTGATTTTCTGGATTTTTTTTCCTCAATTTGTCTGTCATAGTTGACGTGTACCTATGATGAAAATTACAGGCCTCTCTCATCTTTTTAAGTGGGAGAACTTGCACAATTGTTGGCTGACTAAATACTTTTTTTCCCCCACTGTACGTAGGGGAGTGTATTTGTGAGGTCATATGTACGGTCAGCCCTACAGGTGATATTTGTGCAGACAGTCATACCTTCTCTCCCGGCCTCCTTCATCTTGCTGTCTTGTTCGATCAGCCACTTGAGCACCAGATGCCCAGCAGGGTGCTCAGCCATGTGTAGCTAGAGGACAGGACACAGACATGGAAAACATGTTCACAATGAATACCATGCTCTTGCTAGGGGACAGGAGAGAGAAACAGATTTTGCCCTCCAAGTGTTCCCGATACCAAGCCTGGACAATCATCCTGCAGTTGACCAAACAGATTGAAGAAGCAAACCCAATGGAGACTTCAAAACCAAGTGCAACTCTCACCTATGACACACATTCATTCTGCTACTTTAATATGACAGACACATCATGCCTCTGACCCCTCCTCACCTGCCCCTCCACTCCTCCTGGTGTGAAGTCGTCAGCAGCCAGCTCAGCCACAGCCTCCATGGCAGGACGCAGGTCCCCAATAGCGGACCCCAGAATGTCGCTAACGGTGACACTGGAGGCCTTGTTCATTGCCATGGTGCGGGCGTGGTCACACAGGTGCTGAATCAGGTGCGGAGACACCGCCTCCCGGAGCTCCTTCCGGCGAAGGGCAACATCCTTCTTACTAAAGGGACAGAGGGTCAGATGGAGACCATTTAAAGTGCAGGCTATGAAAAGCATGACACATAGATGGCATTTATTTCATCTTTTCTATCCAATTGGGTTCAAAATAGCAATTTAGGCATGTTAAGAAATGACTCTCGGGTAGGTTTGGACAGTTACCCTTCCTTTGTTCTAATCTAGCTAGCTGGTTAAGGCGTCCGCATGCTTCCCAGCCAAAACAGTTCGGAAAGGTTTGTGCATATATTATTGTTGGTTTTGGACTTCGGTAAGGATTATTTGGCTGTTCAGGCACACACATTTCTCTCGAGGCAAGCCGAAGTCGGTAGCCGAAGTCGGTAGCCGAAGTCGGTAGCCGAAGTCGGTAGCCGAGTCGGTAGCCGAAGTCTACGCCCCTTCGATTGTGATTTGTCAACAGTAGGGATACTTCAAAGTCTGTCATTCAATGACAAATGACTTGTTTTCATGCAAAAAAAATTATTGAGTAATATTGCGCCAAACAGTTTAGTTAGATGTAAAATTTATGACAGAGTTCTTGAGTTATCTTAGATAATTCTGACTATTTTGAGGAAGAGTATACTGGACAAACAATAGTATTGCCGCTTTTTTCTTGTTTTTCAAGTGAAGGACTTTTAAGCGAGTATGTGAGCACACTTGTTCGATTCACCTAGCCGAGTTCAGCTAGGCGCCAGCCGAACTGAAGCAACCTGACGCCTTTAGAATGATTGGTAGGTGGTGGCAGGACTCACCTGTGGGCGTTCCCGTCCCCCTTCTCCAGCACCTGGATGATTTCAGGTAACAGGTGGGCGGGGTCTCGCGGGCTGAGCAGGTACAGCAGCACTTTCTTTCCATTCTTATTAGTGATGACATCAGGCAGGGAAGCAAGAATCTCTGATAGGACGGCCTGCTTCACTAGCTTGGTGTCGTCTATGCAGTCAAAGGCAGCAATGAGGACTAAGAACGCATACTCTCCCTGGACAGAAAACCAACAGACCAATCAGTCAGTCACTCACATTTACATATTTGCATGTCTGACTGCGGCAATCAAATATTGTCTGTTTGTTGTTGTCTTGAGTACCATTGCAAACTTCTCCATGTATGTCTTCATGGTTTTAATGATGACTTTTCTGTCCTGAAAGATGGAACAAATAAATCACTATACATACAAAAGAACACACACTAGTCTGTGGTTGGTGAGGCTCACCTCTCTATAAGGCCCGAGTGAATACTCACCTTAGGTGTCCCATGCCACAGGCAGTGCATTGCTACTCTAGCTCCATCGTGGGTGTGGGCCATATACACCACAGACTCCCTTATTGACTCAATCATTTCCTGTGAAGTCACATGATCAAAATGGTATTAGAAAAATGGTAGGATTTGCTCAGTCATTTATGTGGTACTCTGTAGCTCAGCTGGTAGAGCACGGCGCTTGTAACGCCAAGGTAGTGGGTTCGATCCCCGGGACCACCCATACACAAAAATGTATGCACGCATGACTGTAAGTCGCTTTGGATAAAAGCGTCTGCTAAATGGCATATTATTATTATTATTATACAGCCATTGGTGGTTTTACTTACAGTCCTCTGTTTGGCTGGGGCATGCAGGAAAAAGTCCAGAAACACTTTGTGCACCAGAGAATGTTTGATCACAGCCTCTCTGTGGGAGAAGAGAACATGGACAGAAATCAAAAGCAGTATTTTGATTAATTTTCTGTTTCTCTTGTGGAGATGGAAGGGTTAGAGGTGTGTGTGTGTGCGCAATAATACCCACTTTGTGGTCATGGGGGTAAGGATCTGCTTCATCTCCTCCAAAATGCCATTAACCTTGTCCGGGTTCGCCTCCAGCACCTTCTCTAGCGTGGGGCACACTGCCGACTGTGAACAAACACGCCAACTGTCAGTAACATTCTGCATAACATCCACTCCAGGCGATATTCACAGAGACAAGCAATCAGAAAGACTGGATTATGAGAGAAGGGGTGTATGAGGGCAGTTTCTCGACTCTTAGAACTACACTATTACACTGTGCTAGTGGGAGAGGTGTGGGATGTGTCCCGACCTTGAAGACTTGGAATGTGGTTCCGTAGAGCTCCTCAGTGAGCATGAGTCTCTGGGAGAGGATGGCCTTGTCGTTGTAAGCGTATTCCACCACCGACGACGCTTCCGAGTGACGCAGCATCTGCCTCACTTTCCCCTTGAAGCCCACCATCACACCCGCAACCTGCTCTTTATTCCTGTGGGACAAATGACACACACACCTGACGTCAGATTTTCATTCAGAAACCCATGTCAGGATTACTTCTTCAAGATGTAACATCACTGCATGTCAGATAAACTAGTAGTGAGTAGAGAGACTCAATACAGAGATGAATATGACTTGAACTTTCTCCCCGGATATCATTCTCCAAATCTTACACATGGAAGATGCCAGGAAATACAGAGATGAGTGTTCACAATGTAAACCAATCAATCAAATGCTGACCTTTATATTCATCCTACAAGATATGCCTTCATAACGGGATAACATTTCCCCATCCTTTAATAATCGGAGCCATGAATTAGATTATACTTGAAACAACTTGTATCTTCAGCAAAGGTCAGGATTACAATGAGTGAAGTTTTGAATAATTTACTTCAATTCCTATTTCAATGCCTCCTAAACAAATGATCAGGGAATTCAACCACAGATCAGATCAAGCAGCACTACAATTTTGAAATGATATTGGCATGCGAGCACAAAGGATTACTGTTGAATCATGTACATACTAAGATTTACAATTCTGTGATTTATTCAACAAGATGACCCATTTATTGTTTTTACTATATTTTGGCCGGCTTTCCTGCTAGGATCTAATGCTATCAACATAAGATCGGATGATATGGAAATAATACATCTACTGCTAGTGTGACGACTATGTACAAGCAAAATGTCTGAGGAAGAAAAAGGCATACTTACCCATACATTAAAAACTTCTTCACAATATTTCTGGCATACTTTGATTTACTCAGCTCGACCATATCACCTACAGAAAATAATAACATCATTGAGATACAGAGCATTGTGATTGACATGACAAAAGCTACTGACAATATTCAGAGAACAACAACAGAATATTAGAACAACAGAACAAACCACTGACCTTTGAGTTCATCAAAAACCTCCTGTCTTTGCTTGTCGTTCCCAAACTGGATGAAACACTGGAGGACTCTGGTGGAGTCGTGAGCAAATGCTATCTGAAAAAGAAGAACAATACGATTTAATCTTTATCTGCAAACTTGAGCATTTGGATGTCATGCACTGAAAACTAATTTGAACAATTCTATTGTGCTCAATTGTTTTATTGTACTCAAGTATTGACAGTCATTGTCAGTCCAATCATTTCAGTGGATGGCAAATTCTCCATTGTGCCATGCTCTCAATTCGTACATTGTCATGATTGACAATGCACAATCTACAGTAAATTATAGATTCGAATGGCGCCTTTCAGCAGTGTAAATGTTAGACTGTACTCACTGTTTTTATCTTTCCTTTAACAAGTTCTTGAAGCTCTTTCATGAGTTTGATCCTCTTCTCTTTGTCGCAATCTTTCCTGTGTTGAAAAAGAGGGACACATAATAAATACATGTCTAAATGTTGCTGTTGCCAAATTACATTTAGTCCTGAGGTGTTGAACTATTGCACCCTCTATAACCACTGTGGTTTTCATTTGGCCCTACTGGTCATCTATGAACGTTTAAAATGGCTTGAAGAATGGCCACGTACCAGGCACAGCCAGAAGAGGACTAGCCACCCCTCTGAGCCTGGTTCCTCTCTAGGTTTTTTCCTAAGTTCCTGCTAAGGTTGAATATATCCCTGGTATTTTACAAATGTTCTATCCCGAGAACAAATTACTTTTCTCCAGGGTAACCCAGTATTTCCCGCCAAAACCAGAAGTGTTATTCAAAAGCATTATAAAGCATATACAGTGAGGGAAAAAAGTATTTGATCCCCTGCTGATTTTGTATGTTTGCCCACTGACAAAGAAATGATCAGTCTATAATTTTAATGGTAGGTTTATTTGAACAGTGAGAGACAGAATAACAACAAAAAAATCCAGAAAAACGCATGTCAAAAATGTTATAAATTGATTTGCATATTAATGAGGGAAATAAGTATTTGACCCCCTCTCAATCAGAAAGATTTCTGGCTCCCAGGTGTCTTTTATACAGTTAACGAGCTGAGATTAGGAACACACTCTTAAAGGGAGTGCTCCTAATCTCAGCTTGTTACCTGTATAAAAGACACCTGTCCACAGAAGCAATCAATCAGATTCCAAACTCTCCACCATGGCCAAGACCAAAGAGCTCTCCAAGGATGTCAGGGACAAGATTGTAGACCTACACAAGGCTGGAATGGGCTACAAGACCATCGCCAAGCAGCTTGGTGAGAAGGTGACAACAGTTGGTGCGATTATTCGCAAATGGAAGAAACACAAAAGAACTGTCAATCTCCCTCGGCCTGGGGCTCCATGCAAGATCTCACCTCGTGGAGTTGCAATGATCATGAGAACGGTGAGGAATCAGCCCAGAACTACACGGGAGGATCTTGTCAATGATCTCTAGGCAGCTGGGACCATAGTCACCAAGAAAACAATTGGTAACACATTATGCCGTGAAGGACTGAAATCCTGCAGCGCCCGCAAGGTCCCCCTGCTCAAGAAAGCACATCTGTGTTCCGTCTGAAGTTTGCCAATGAACATCTGAATGATTCAGATGATAACTGGGTGAAAGTGCTGTGGTCAGATGAGACCAAAATGGAGCTCTTTGGCATCAACTCAACTTGCCGTGTTTGGAGGAGGAGGAATGCTGCCTATGACCCCAAGAACACCATCCCCACCGTCAAACATGGAGGTGGAAACATTATGCTTTGGGGGTGTTTTTCTGCTAAGGGGACAGGACAACTTCACTGCATCAAAGGGTCGATGGACGGGGCCATGTACCGTCAAATCTTGGGTGAGAACCTCCTTCCCTCAGCCAGGGCATTGAAAATGGGTCGTGGATGGGTATTCCAGCATGACAATGACCCAAAACACACGGCCAAGGCAACAAAGGAGTGGCTCAAGAAGAAGCACATTAAGGTCCTGGAGTGGCCTAGCCAGTCTCCAGACCTTAAGCCCATAGAACATAATAATAATATGCCATTTAGCAGACGCTTTTATCCAAAGCGACTTACAGTCATGCGTGCATAAATTTTTTTTGTGTATGGGTGGTCCCGGGGATCGAACCCACTACCTTAATAATAATAATAATAATATGCCATTTAGCAGACGCTTTTATCCAAAGCGACTTACAGTCATGCGTGCATACATTTTTGTGTATGGGTGGTCCCGGGGATCGAACCCACTACCTTGGCGTTACAAGCGCCGTGCTCTACCAGCTGAGCTACAGAGGACCGCAAGAAGAAACGCATTAAGGTCCTGGAGTGGCCTAGCCAGTCTCCAGACCTTAATCCCATAGAAAATCTGTGGAGGGAGCTCAAGGTTCGAGTTGCCAAACGTCAGCCTCGAAACCTTAATGACTTGGAGAAGATCTGCAAAGAGGAGTGGGACAAAATCCCTCCTGAGATGTGTGCAAACCTGGTGGCCAACTACAAGAAACGTCTGACCTCTGTGATTGCCAACAAGGGTTTTGCCACCAAGTACTAAGTCATGTTTTGCAGAGGGGTCAAATACTTATTTCCCTCATTAAAATGCAAATCAATTTATAACATTTTTGACATGTGTTTTTCTGGATTTTGTTGTTGTTATTCTGTCTCTCACTGTTCAAATAAACCTACATTTAAAATTATAATCTGATCATTTCTTTGTCAGTGGGCAAACGTACAAAATCAGCAGGGGATCAAGTACTTTTTTCCCTCACTGTAAATAAGCCGGTGTCTGGATTTGATTAGAGCTTTGATAGAAAATTCAAGCCTGATGCTACCTGAGCCATACATTAAATATATTTTATGAGCCATACATTAAAGACATTTAATGAGCCAAAGCCCAAATGATTGTGCCGTTATCCAATACATATATGATATAGGCTACTGTAGATTATGCACAACAGAAAAACATAAAAGCCCATAGATGTAGCTAGCTATATGCTCTCTTGGCTAAGTAAATAAAACTAGTTCCAGTAGGCTAATCTTGTGTGAACTGTATTACTGTACTCTATTAAACTGTTTAATATGGACTGGAATTACTCACATCGTTCAAACCATGATAAAGTAGGGAGAGAACATGCGATTCTGATGCAGGACATGCGGCCTAAAAAGTTACAAGTATAGGCTAGCGAATGTGATTTTTTTAAAAATAGGGACTATTTGTATAATTAGTAGGCAGACGCATATCTTTCATAATATTTCCTCCAATGTTATTAGCCTACCTCCACTTTCTCTCTATTGTTGCGTCATTCCTTCCTCGCTTTCAACAGATAAATGAAATAAGTTTCGTTGTCCATATCTTCATAATTCTAATGACATCCTTGAATAATATAGGACAGTTTGCAGGACTGTCCTGCAAACGACAGCATCGGGTGAGGTTGTCTCTCTCTCTGGCGGGAGGTAAGCTTGGCTTATATGGTGTCGAGTAAAGCTTAAACCATGTATTTAGAATGTAGGTAGGTAGTTATTGTAGGTAATTATTGTAGGTAAGTATTGTATTCGGCTGAGCCCGGTGAAGCACAAGGCTAGCTAACTCACTACCTGGACCAATAAAGCTAGCTAGCTAGCGGGTAGCTACTGGTAACTACTAGCAACTGTGAATAGTTGTTTCCAATGTTATTTCACGCTTAAGAGTACCTGTAATTATGCCAGTTAGCTACCTACCATTCAGCTGTTTTTCTAACCTCATTATCTGAAGCGTTAACGTTAGGTAATTAGTAGCTACTGTACTCGAAATGTAGCTAGCTGGTTGCTACCTGGATAGCTAACTAAACAATAGCTGGAACGACCTAGCTTTAATATTTGGAGACGCTTTCTCTCCGTTGGGACAGACGCGAACTGGCTGAATCGATTCAGTGGCTAGCTTTGCACGTAACTGGCTAACAGTAGCTACTAAGGGTAAGTTATTATTTTAATTTTTTTACATACTGGTAACCAGAGTCGTTCAAGGCAATTCGGGACATGGGTGACTAGTTAACATTAGCTTGGCTCTCTGTGTGTTCGTGCCGTGGGAGGAGGGGTTAGTTCGTTGGCAGAGAGCAATGGCTAGCTAGTATACTAACTATTCTAGCTAACTAACTGGCTGAATAAATTGACGACCTACTCACTCAAACTGTCAAAACAAAACCAAAACTTTACACAACATTAGATACGGACACGAATGATCTGCTTGGCGTGTTAACACACTGGTGGTTTGTTGTAACCGAGTATTGGTGCTAAACCGTGTTATTGGAGGCTGGCATGCTAGTTGGCTTTGGCGTCATAGGATTCGGTGCCCTGTACCAAGTTAGCTAGCTGAATAAACTAAGTTAGAGTCTATTCCTAGAAAACATTGAACCACTGTAGTTTACAACAATTATAATTTCTAAAGTGGAAGTTGGGAGAGTTATATTTGAGTGTTTCAGTGAAACGTAAGTGAGGGAGGCCCCGCTCTCTCGCTTTCCCAGATGTTTAGATCATTTCATTCCGATCTCCTTTGCATTATTGTAGCCTGTCATCTATGTGTCTGTCTATCCCTGTTCTCTCCTCTCTGCACATGCCATACAAACGCTTCACACCACGTGGCTGTTGCCACTAATCTGGTGGTCCCTGCGCGCACGACCCACGTGGAGTTCCAGGTCTCTGGCAGCCTCTGGAACTGCTGTTCTGCGGCCAACAAGGCAGAGTTCATCTCAGCCTACGCTACCCTCCAGTCCCTCGACTTCTTGGCACTGACGGAAACATGGATTACCACAGAAAACACTGCTACTCCTACTGCTCTTTCCTCGTCTGACCACGTGTTCTCGCATACCCCGAAAGCATCTGGTCAGTGTGGTGGTGGCACAGGAATCCTCATCTCTCCCAAGTGGACATTCTCTCTTTTTCCCCTTACCCATCTGTCTATCTCCTCATTTGAATTCCATGCTGTCACAGTCACTAGCCCATTCAAGCTTAACATCCTTGTCATTTATCGCCCTCCAGGTTTCCTTGGAGAGTTCATCAATGAGCTTGACGCCTTGATCAGTTCCTTTCCTGGGGATGGCTCACTCCTCACAGTTCTGGGTGACTTTAACCTCCCTACGTCTGCATTTGACTAATTTCTCTCTGCCTCCTTTCCACTCCTTTTCTCTTTTGACCTCACCGTCTCACTGTCCCCCCTACTCACAAGGCAGGCAATACGCTTGACCTCATCTTTATTAGATGCTGTTCTTCTACTAATCTCACTGCAGCTCCCCTCCAAGTCTCTGACCACTACTTTGTATCCTTTTCTCTCTCGCTCTCCTCCAACACTACTCACTCTGCCCCTACTCAGATGGTAATGTGCCGTCGCAACCTTCGTTCTCTCTCTCCCGCTACTCTCTCCTCTTCCATCCTATCATCTCTTCCCTCTGCTAAATCCTTCTCCCTCCGATCTCCTGAGTCTGCCTCCTCAACCCTCCTCGCCTCCCTTTCTGCATCTTTTGACTCTCTATGTCCCCTATCCTCCCGGCTGGCTCGGTCCTCCCCTCCTGCTCCGTGGCTTGACGACTCATTGCGAGCTCACAGAAGAGTGCTCCGGGAAATGGAGGAAAACTAGACTCCCTGCGGACCTGTCATCTTTTCACTCCCTCCTCTCTACATTCTCTTCCTCTGTTTCCGCAGCTAAAGCCACTTTCTACCACTACATTTCAAGCCTCTGCCTCTAACCCTAGGAAGCTCTTTGCCACCTTCTCCTCCCTGCTGAATCCTCCTCCTCCCTCTCTGTGGATGACTTCGTCAACCATTTTGAAATGAAGGTTGACGACATCCGATCCTCATTTATGAAGTCAAATGACACCCCTGGTCCTGCTCACACTTGCCTACCCTATGCTTTGACTTCTTTCTCCCCTCTCTCTCCAGATGAAATCTTGCGACTTGTGAAGGCCGGCCGCCCAACAACCTGCCCGCTTGACCCTATCCCCTCCTCTCTTCTCCAGGCCATTTCCGGAGACATTCTCCCTCACCTCGCTCATCAACTCATCCTTGACCGCTGGCCATGTCCCTTCCGTCTTCAAGAGAGCGAGAGTTGCACCCCTCCTCAAAAAACCTACACTCGATCTCTCCGATGTCAACAACTACAGACCAGTATCCCTTCTTTCTTTTCTCTCCAAAACTCTTGAGCGTGCCGTCTCTAGCCAACTCTCCTGCTATCTCTCTCAGAATGACCTTCTTGATCCAAACCAGTCAGGTTTCAAGACTGGTCATTCAACTGAGACTGCTCTTCTCTGTGTCACAGAGGCTCTTCGGACTGCTAAAGCTAACCCTCTCTCCTCTGCTCTTATCCTTCTAGACCTATCCGCTGCCTTTGATACTGTGAACCATCAGATCCTCCTCTCCACCCTGTCCGAGTTGGGCATCTCCGGCACTGCTCACTCTTGGATTGCGTCCTACCTGACAGGTCGCTCCTACCAGGTGGCGTGGCGAGAATCTGTCTCCACACCACGTACTCTCACCACTGGTGTCCCCCAGGGCTCAGTTCTAGGCCCTCTCCTATTCTCTCTATACACTAAGTTACTTGGCTCTGTCATATCCTCACATGGTCTCTCCTATCATTGCTACGCAGACACACACAAATAATTTTCTCCTTTCCCCCTTCTGATAACCAGGTGGCAAATCGCATCTCTGCATGTCTGGCAGACAAATCAGCGTGGATGTCGGATCACCACCTCAAGCTGAACCTCGGCAAGACGGAGCTGCTCTTCCTCATGGGGAAGGACTGCCCGCTCCATGATCTCGCCATCACGGTTGACAACTCCATTGTGTCCTCCTCCCAGAGTGCAAAGAACCTTGGCGTGACCCTGGACAACACCCTGTCGTTCTCCGCTAACATCAAAGCGGTGACCCGATCCTGCAGGTTCATGCTCTACAACATTCGCAGAGTACGACCCTACCTTACACAGAAAGCGGCACAGGTCCTAATCCAGGCACTTGTCATCTCCCGTCTGGATTACTGCAACTCACTGTTGGTTGGGCTCCCTGCCTGTGCCATTAAACTCCTACAACTTATCCAGAATGCTGCAGCCCGTCTGGTGTTCAACCTTCCCAAGTTCTCTCACGTCACCCCGCTCCTCCGCACACTCCACTGGCTTCCAGTTGAGGCTTGCATCTACTACAAGACCATGGTGCTTGCCTACGGAGCTGTGAGGGGAACGGCACCTCCTTACCTTCAGGCTCTGATCAGTCCCTACACCCAAACGAGGGCACTACGTTCATCCACCTCTGGCCTGCTAGCTCCCCTACCTCTACATAATCACAGTTCCCGCTCAGCCCACTCAAAGCTATTTGCTGCTCTGGCACCCCAATGGTGGAACAAGCTCCCCCACGACGACAGGACAGCGGAGTCACTGACCACCTTCCGGAGACACCTGAAACCCTACCTCTTTAAGGAATACCTGGAATAGTATAAAGTAATCCTTCTACCCCCACCCCCCCTCAATAAAAAATATATTTAAAAAACAGTGGTTGCCCCACTGGCTATCATAAGTTGAATGCACCAATTTGTAAGTCGCTCTGGATAAGAGCGTCTGCTAAATGATGTAAATGTAAACGACTAGAATTAGATGCAGAAGCCTTTCACTTCGAAGATTGAATGGTTATGGGTCTGAATAAATAACTGCTAGCCCACCGCCATCACACATTCGCTCTTCTTTTCAAACTACCCGTGAGTTCTCCCTGACAATGGCCATGCAGCCGAAACGCGTCTGAGTTTTTAAACTTGGTTTCCATTGAACATACAAATAAAGGCATTTTAATGAATTATATTAAGAGTGCCTTGGTCCTCCTTTCTTTTTGATGACAAATGTACCCCTTTTACCAAAGAGCTTCTTCTGTCTACCAAAATCTACTATTGTGTACCTTAGCAGCGCTTCCCTTACTTCTTTCTACCTGTGAGTTCTATTGGCTGCTATATTTAACATTCAAAAAACAAAAGCTTGTTTCCCTCTTCGAATAGTCTATTGGTATAAGAAATGCTGGAAAAATATTCTAGTCTAGCTTTTCCTGCATTGGACTCCAAGAGCTAAAGAGTGTTTGTGCAAGAGACCGAGGCTATAAGTTAGAAGCTTATTATGCATAACCCCTCATTAATAAGCTAAATATAAGGCTAATACTGCATTGAATGTATTACCTGAAAGAGGTAGGCTAGGACATCTATATACAGGGCTATACCTTCCGGAGACATTTGAAACCCCACCTCTTTAAGGAATACCTGGGATAGGATAAAGTAATCCTTCTACCCCCCCCCCCAAAAAAAATTGTAAAGTGGTTATCCCACTGGCTATAAGGTGAATGCACCTATTTGTAAGTCGCTCTGGATAAGAGCGTCTGCTAAATGACGTAAATGTAATGTAAATATGTCTATCAATCAATTATCTATTTTGGATTCAATTTGAATAGAGTTAGAGCGTGCTCGTGCATGCACTGATTTAAAGCAACGATATTCGAGTGATAGGCTGTTTTAAAAAGCTGCAGCTGAAGAAAAAAAAAACGTTACAATTAAAAAATACGGTGACTCCTGAAAGTCAGACAGAGATGGGTAAATTAGACGTGCATTCGGCCTTTATATTACTGTAACATAGACTGTGCTGCAGCAAATGCAGGCCTACCTGTCACAAGAAAAAAAAAGTTACCATGAGATGATAGGTCTACATGCATTGTGAACTGCGCTCCATACTGAGATGGGTTGTCTGTCCCCACCCTGAGCGTTGCTGATTCATCATGCAGAGGCCGTAGAGAAGGCAGATTTAGACATCGCATATAACTTAACTTGCTACATTTGCACACACTGTATATATATTTTGTTGTATTTTTAACTTTATGTTTTGTTTTACCCCATATGTAACTCTGTGTTGCACTGCTTTGCTTTATCTTGGCCAGGTCGCAGTTGTAAATGAGAACTTGTTCTCAACTGGCTTACCTGGTTAAATAAAGGTGAAAAAATAATAATATATATATTCATTTAACAGTTCCATTTCACGCCATGCTGAAATTAGCCCGCCCAACTACCTCATCCCTATATTGTTATTTATTTTGCTCATTTGTACCTCAGTATCTCTATTTGCACATCATCTCTTGCACATCATTCCAGTGTTAATACTAAATTGTAATTATTTTGCACTATAGCCTATTTTATTGCCTTACCTCCATAACTTGCTAAATTTGCACACTGTATATTAATTGTATTTCTGTTGTATTTTTGATTTTGTTTTACCCCATATGTAACTCTGTGTTGTTGTTTTTATCGCACTGCTTTGCTTTATCTTGGCCAGGTCGCAGTTGTAAATGAGAACTTGTTCTCAACTGGTTTACCTGGTTAAATAAAGGTGAAATAAAAATAAAAAATATAAATAATTTACCAGTTTCTCGCACTTATTTATCCCGGGAAAAGGGAATGGTTTTGGGTGGTAAATCCCGGTATATCTCAGTAACCGGGTTCCCGGCATTCAACCCTAGTTCCAACCTTTCTATGGAGTTTTTCCTAGCCACCGTGCTTCTGAATCTGCATTGGTGGCTCTTTGGGGTTTTAGACTGGATATCAGTATAGCATTTTGTGACAACTGCTGATGTAAAAAGGGCTTTATAAAATACATTTGATTGATAAATATATGCAACTTAATCCTAAAATGGACGTTTTGTTAAGACTGCTGGTAAATAACTAATAGAGTAGCTGGTTTAACATACCTTCTGACCATCTCCCACACTTGCTTGGCTCTGCTCACTATTTGATAACTCTCCTTTTTTTCAGTCTGCTGCCGGTTCTGTTTCAGCTCCTTCTTCTGCTGTTTGAACTCGTCCCATTTGGGTTTCTTGGCCTCGGAACCTGAGCAAACAGACAGAAATCTAAGACATAGGCCTATTTCAAGAAATACTGTTAAACATTTTCAGTAAGCCATTACAAAAAGTTGCCTATTAAAAGTGTGTTTGATAATTGGCAGTTGTACATATTTCATACCTTCCTCTTCCTTGGCCTTTCCAGGTGTGAATTTTCGCTTTTTGGTGAAATTTCCATCTGTGGGTTTTTTGTTCAAGAATTTCTGTGGAGCCCCCTTTCCTCCAGTCTTCTCAAACTTCTTGCCCTTTTCTCCACTGTGTGGTTTGAATGGCCTTTTCCCTGGTGGTTTACCTGTTGGTTTAGTCCCAGGTTTACCTGTACCTTCTGAACAGAGTTTGTAGCTAGTCAGTTAGGCCTACACATTATTTTTTACCAGCATATCATTAAACCAATATTTAAAAGTATAATATTATTATTAGTAGTAGTAGTAGTAGTAGTAGTATTACTTCTACCACTACTGTTTACGTATAACTTACCTTTTCCTTTCTGTATTACGTTCTTGCCACCTTTAGGGGAAAAGGGTTTCTTTTTGGATTCCATTCTCAAGAACTCCCTATTCAAAGGAAGGGAAGAAGACAGTAGGTCAGTAGGTAGAGCATGATCAGTAGGTAGTTGCAGCTTACACTATCTACTAATCATAGTTCCAACTTGAATACTGTATGTGCTATTGCCATGTGCTTTCCAGTTAACTAGCAATAGCAGCTAGCTAGTTAGCGTTCAGCTGACTTGCTAACGTTAGCTACTAACCCTGGCAGGTCAGAGAACTACAGATAAGGTATGATGTGTAATAATGAAACATGTCTGGTAGAGATATTTTCCCTGACAAAACAGTCATGTCAACAACATTATTTTAGCATTTTCCTATGCAGAAGACAAAATACACACGTTTAACTACGTACCTTCACATGCGTTCTGAACGTAACGGTTTACGGCATGAACTATCCAATCAGAGAACGTCCTGACTGACGTAAAATGCATGGGTTGTTTTTGATTGCGACAATACTAGAAAGATACGGCATATTGTGCCTGGGTTGTCACTAGTTACCACAACCACAAAGTCAGAATTGGCTATATCGTAGAGATTCATGAAAACAAGAATTAGCTTTTTGTGTTAATTTAAGGTTAGCGTTAGGTATACGATTAGTAGTGTGGTTAAGGTTAGGGTTAAGGTTTGGGTTAGGTTTAAATTCACATGTGAAGAAGAACATTTGTAGAAATGGGCGGGGTTTACGACTTTGTGGATGTGGTAACTAGTGACGACACATGGGTGGGTAGTACAATTTGGGATCATTGGGACGTTCCTACCGTAACCCTAACAGCTTTTGTCAAAATTGACTTTTCGTAGCAGGTTTAGGAGAATTTACACAGCAAATTAGGATAATTCACGTAGCGGTTAGGATAATTTGGTTAAGGTTAGAGTTAGGGTTAGCTAAAATGCAAAAAAAACTAATCGTAAATTTGACAAAAGCAAGCTGAAATCCATCTAGACATGACCCGGTGCCTGTTTTTGTCATTATATTATATTACATTTATGATATCTATGTGTTTACAGAAAAAAACGGTGATACTTACTGTAGTGGCTAAGTAGCGTAAGTAATGTATAGTCATGGCTCAATCTATCCCCTGAATAGCCAAAGAAAGTCACTCATCACCACCATGTTGTTTTCACCTGTCCCTTCAAATCAATTATTTTCAAATCCAAGTAAGAGCTAACGAGCCAGTGACCGAAATGGAACCAGATATTAGTTGATTAGAGAAGTAATAAAGAGGTTATTGTTATGGATAACACAAGTTTATTGGTTTTGGGTTACAGGTTTACAATACATACACTTGTATCTCTCTCTCTTAATTGCATTGATATTGTAGATCCACTTATTTCCACTTGGTGTCCCTGTACACTATAATAAATGAACTGTAGCTTTGGCTATATGATTATACAAAATAAAAACATATTAATGTACATTCAAAGTTCTTTCATGGACAGTTTTATAGCGAAGGACATGAAGGCTCCTGGAACTTGATTGGTGATCATCACTTCAGGCATACCTTTGGAAAGAAAATGCATTTTTAACCAAACAAACAAAGTCAAACTCCTGTTGGATGGAACAATGTACTTTCCTAAAAAGGGGATATGTCATGGACTACACTACTGACCCTGCAGGGCAGTTCAGGTGTACTTTACCTAGCCTATAGTCCCAGGGCTTGTGCCACAGTGGCACAGACTCTACTCTGTAAAGGGTCTGTCCACACTCTTTGCTCCTGCATTGTCTGGAGGTTCTTACACCAGCAGCCAACTGTGTACCCTAAACAGGCAGACAGACAGAGGTGTAGTCCAGGCACACTACAGAGCACATTAAGCAAGTAGGAAACAATACTACCATATCTACTCGCTTCTACCAAAAGCTGTATTTATTGAAAGGATATGAAGATAATTTTAGCCTCTGCTATGGACCTGGTATGGAGCAACATTATAGACGTCTCCATACAGAGAAGAATAAGAGATCATTGAATCTCACTGTGCACCCAAACAGCAGCTGCTCACCTGAAGAAAGGATTCTTTAGATCCAAACTGTTGCCAGATTTGAAGCCGGACTGATCAACAACTGCTGTGATGTGAATGTCATAGCTCTGCCTGGTAGAGATGAAGAGCAAAAAGCATACAATATAATCTCTGTATAATATTGTTTCCATTCCCCAAATGTCCCCCATTCCATTTCTATAGTACAGGCACTGTCCTTCTCCTTCTCTGGCTTACCTTGTGTTGGCTATGAACTGGACAGATCCGGACAGAGTCTGTCCCACCTTGCCAAACAGAGGGGTCTGGAAGAGACAGCGGACCTGGTACCAGTGAGTCAGAGGTTCACTAGGAGCAGTGGACAGCCACACTGTCATCCTGCAGAGCGAAAGGACTCACTGTGATTTCAAATGAACAGAGTATCTCTACTATACCCCCTGGAGCCTGAGATAAAACTATTTTTTTAATATTTTTTTTTTTACAATGAAAATAATTGAAAAACATCACTCCAAGAGGTCTTACTTGGATCCTACAAATGCTACGTCAAACCAGAAGGCCAGCCCATGGATCAATCCCGACTGGAGCAGTTTAAACACAAATGGAATCTCCATCCTGCAAAACACAGTGAAATGGAATGTTTATTCGAGCGAAATTATGTCAGTATGAAAAATGTATGCACTCACTAACTGTAAGTCGCTCTGGATAAGAGCGTCTGCTACAGTGGGGGAAAAAAGTATTTAGTCAGCCACCAATTGTGCAAGTTCTCCCACTTAAAAAGATGAGAGGCCTGTAATTTTCATCATAGGTACACGTCAACTATGACAGACAAAATGAGAAAAAATATCCAGAAAATCACATTGTATGATTTTTTATGAATTTATTTGCAAATTATGGTGGAAAATAAGTATTTGGTCAATAACAAAAGTTTCTCAATACTTTGTTATATACCCTTTGTTGGCAATGACACAGGTCAAACGTTTTCTGTAAGTCTTCACAAGGTTTTCACACACTGTTGCTGGTATTTTGGCCCATTCCTCCATGCAGATCTCCTCTAGAGCAGTGGTGTTTTGGGGCTGTCGCTGGGCAACACGGACTTTCAACTCCTTCCAAAGATTTTCTATGGGGTTGAGATCTGGAGACTGGCTAGGCCACTCCAGGACCTTGAAATGCTTCTTACGAAGCCACTCCTTCATTGCCCGGGCGGTGTGTTTGGGATCATTGTCATGCTGAAAGACCCAGCCACGTTTCATCTTCAATGCCCTTGCTGATGGAAGGAGGTTTTCACTCAAAATCCCCATTCATTCTTTCCTTTACACGGATCAGTCGTCCTGGTCCCTTTGCAGAAAAACAGCCCCAAAGCATGATGTTTCCACCCCCATGCTTCACAGTAGGTATGGTGTTCTTTGGATGCAACTCAGCATTCTTTGTCCTCCAAACACGACGAGTTGAGTTTTTACCAAAAAGTTATATTTTGGTTTCATCTGACCATATGACATTCTCACAATCCTCTTCTGGATCATCCAAATGCACTCTAGCAAACTTCAGACGGGCCTGGACATGTACTGGCTTAAGCAGGGGGACACGTCTGGCACTGCAGGATTTGAGTCCCTGGCGGTGTAGTGTGTTACTGATGGTAGGCTTTGTTACTTTGGTCCCAGCTCTCTGCAGGTCATTCACTAGGTCCCCCTGTGTGGTTCTGGGATTTTTGCTCACCGTTCTTGTGATCATTTTGACCCCACAGGGTGAGATCTTGCGTGGAGCCCCAGATCGAGGGAGATTATCAGTGGTCTTGTATGTCTTCCATTTCCTAATAATTGCTCCCACAGTTGATTTCTTCAAACCAAGCTGCTTACCTATTGCAGATTCAGTCTTCCCAGCCTGGTGCAGGTCTACAATTTTGTTTCTGGTGTCCTTTGACAGCTCTTTGGTCTTGGCCATAGTGGAGTTTGGAGTGTGACTGTTTGAGGTTGTGGACAGGTGTCTTTTATACTGATAACAAGTTCAAACAGGTGCCATTAATACAGGTAACGAGTGGAGGACAGAGGAGCCTCTTAAAGAAGAAGTTACAGGTCTGTGAGAGCCAGAAATCTTGCTTGTTTGTAGGTGACCAAATACTTATTTTCCACCATCATTTGCAAATAAATTCATAAAAAATCCTACAATGTGATTTTCTGGATTTTTCTTCCTCAATTTGTCTGTCATAGTTGACGTGTACCTATGATGAAAATTACAGGCCTCTCTCATTTAAGTTGGAGAACTTGCACAATTGGTGGCTGACTAAATACTTTTTTCCCCCACTGTAAATGACTAAAATGTAAAAATAATGTAAAAGTTGTCATAGATTTTCTCTTATCTGTCATTACAGTATCATAGCTCAAAATAAGAGCCGTCCAATTTGAAAAACAGATTTTAAAAATGACTTAGACAATCACCTGTGTAAGTCCTCTTCTTTAGCCTCCATGAAATTGATGCAGTGCTTGACAGATTTTGCCATTAGAATCGACATCTCAAATGTATCCTACAACAAAATGAGGACAGTGGCAAATTGAACATCTTTGGATTATTTCACAGTATATATCAGCATGAATGCAATGGCAGCCTCATTGAACCGAGGTACTCACAACTATGGGCTGTTTGAAAAACTCATCAACTGCAGAACTGTGAAGACCGCTCAGGTTAACCCCGTAGAAACAGGTCTGGTGCCTGCAAACCGAGTGTGGCAGAACAACAAGGCACATAATGTATTAGATCAGAAGATTCTGCACTTAAGTCTAACTTGTCCAGGCAGACACAACTAAAATTCATGCTGTAAAATGTATGAGCACCAGGTTAAGAATGATTTATACATTCCTAAAAACTGAAAAGGCTTATCATCCCCTCATAGTGGAGCAAAGACTGACACTACACTATAGCCCTTTTGCTGGAAAAGGCATGCAGACCACTATCTTGTAACTTTATACAGCTTCAAGGGGAAACGTGAAGTGTATATATAACACCGTTGATTTCATTGCACGTCCCATCTTGGTGAAGTGTCTTTGGTCCCATATTGTTATAAATGGGTGGTGTAAAAGACTTGCATGTGAAACCCAAGATGTGTGTGAGATTAAGTTAATTAGATAGCCCACTAATAAACTGTTCAGTATGTTCAAGCTTGAGTGAGGATGCTGTCAGCACTAGTGAACTGGTGCGGAAGAGATACACTATAAATACAAAAGTATGTGGACACCCCTTCAAATTAATGTATTAGGTTATTTCAGACACACCCGTTGCTGGCAGGTGCATAAAATCGAGCACACAGCCATGCATTCTCCATAGACAAACAATGGCAGTAGAATGGCCTTACCGAAGACCTCAGTGACCTTCAACGTGGCACCGTCATAGTCAGTTCGTCACATTTTTGCCCTGCTAGAGCTGCCTCGGTCAACTGTAAGTGCTGTTATTGTGAAGTGGAAACGTCTAGGAGCAACAACGGCTCCGAAACGAAGTGGTAGGCCACACAAGCTCACAGAACGGGACCGCCGGGTGCTGAAGCGCGTAGAACCTTAGAAATCGTCTGTCCTCGGTTGCAACACTCACTACGGAGTTCCAAACTGCCTCTGGAAGCAACGTCAGCACAAGAACTGTTCGTCGGGAGCTTCATGAAATGGGTTTCCATGGCCGAGCAGCCGCATACAAGCCTAAGATTACCATGCACATTGCCAAGTGTCGCCTGGAGTGGTGTAAAGCTCGCCGCCATTGGACTCTGGAGCAGTGGAAATGCGTTGTCTGGAGTGATGAATCGCGCTTCACCATCTGTCAGTCCGACGAACGAATCTGGGTTTGGCGGATGCCAGGAGAACGCTACCTGCCTCAATGCATAGTGTCAACTGTAAAGTTTGGTGGAGGAGGAATAATGGTCTGGGGCTGTTTTCATGGTTCGGGCTAGGCCCCTTAGTTCCAGTGAAGGGAAATCTTAACGCTACAGCATTTAATGAAATTCTAGACATTTCTGTGCTTCCAACTTTGTGGCAACAGTTTGGGGAAGGCTCTTTCCTGTATCAGCATGACAATGTCCCTGTGAACAAAGCGAGGTCCATACAGAAATGGTTTGTCGAGATCGGTGTGGAAGAACTTGACAGGCTTGCACAGAGCCCTTACCTCAACCCCATCGAACACCTTTGGGGTGAATTAGAATGCCGACTGCGAGCCAGGCCTAATCGCCCAACGTGCCCGACCTCACTAATGCTCTTGTGGCTGAATGGAAGCAAATCCCCGCAGCAATGTTTCAACATCTAGTGGAAAGCCAAACTTCATATTAATGCCCAAGATTTTGGAATGAGATGTTCGATGAGCAGGTGTCCAGATACTTTTGGTCATGTAGTGTAGGTGTGTAAGTGAGGGGGAAGGCAGAGGATTCACAGAGGAGCATTGCAACATCTAGCCGGTATCTCCATGTAAGCATGGCATCTGAGCTCATGTGTTGAATGTAGTGAGGGACGAAAACTACAGGCAAAGACATGACTGCACAGTCCATATTGCACTCTAACCAACAATATTTGAGCAGCAGATATTTTCTTTACATCTCTCTCTATGTCTCTGTGTCTTCTGCCACTGGCAGTGTGAGGACAGTTATCTGAGTAGAGGGGGTTCGAGAGGGTATGTGTGAGTCAGGTTTGGACTGAACTGGAGCGTTTTACGTTGACAGGAAACCCGCTTGACTGGGGTCACGGCCCAGTGCCAGTCGGACCTGGAGCTGTGGGTGGGTGGGGTGCCGATTAGCCTCTACTGGCATGTTGCATTGCCCCGCAGCCTGCCCGGGCCCCTGTGGGGGGATGTCAAATAAACCCTCATGGACACAGCTGTAAACAGTCACAGAGACCCGTGGAGATGGAGGAGAGAGGAGGGGAGGGGAGCGTCAGGCAGGGCCAGGCCCAGACTGAGAGGCTTTGTGGGGGTGTGAGGCGGGGTCAATCATGGTCTGTTAACGCACTGGCATCCTGCTCTGCTCTGCTCTGCTTCCCCCCAGAAGGAGAGGAGAGAGGGGGAGGAGAGCACTATGATCTCATCCCATACAGCAGTTCACTGTGTTTTCATGGCATCCACACACACTGCTGTCACAGTTAAGTACGACTTAAGTTAGCACTGATGCCAACTGTGAAACCCCCTATGGAAAGCAGCACTAATACAGAATATAACTCTAAAAATAACGTTTATTTGAGTTCAGCCTCCACCTTGTGGTGCTGGAATGACACATGGCAGATTCTGAAACCAGAAGCTCACCAGAAGCTAGAGCGTCCATAGTGCTCGATGTAGAGCTGCTCGTCAGTGAAGGGAGCGAGGTGCATGTCACTGCAGGTTGGGAACATCATACCTGAATAGGTAGAAGAGAGACATGTTTTGTGTAACATTAGCTGAACAAAACTATCAACAGATCAATCACAGCATGGAAAATTGCCTCTGTTGGAACTAAACTGACCCTTGGGTTTGAGCCACTTCCTGGAGTGGAGGTAGCTCTCCAGCATCCTCTCGTTCAGCAGCATGTAGCCAATGGGCTCTGAGATGATCACGTCCACCTGCTCAGGGCACGACACCTCCTCAATCTTTCCAGCCAGGACTATGATCCTATCTGACAGATGATTGCTCTTTACAAGCATCTGAAGGGAAAACACAAAACATTGCTGTCCCCCCAAAAAATGACATTTGTTGTTTGAGTCAGATAGGGTCTGATCTTACTGATGCACCACTGCACGTCTGAGGTTTTGATGAAGACATCCTGTGTAGTACATGTGAGAGCAGCTGTCTTGGATCAAGGATATTTGTAGCTTGTTTCTTTACCTGAAATTACATTAATCTGCTGTCTAAAATTAGAGGGAAAGAATTAGCTGTTGACAAATTGTGTTTTGGTAAAACCTCATGCATGCAAACGCTCCCATGAAGTGCTCTGGTACAGTCCACTTCCCTGCTGTGTAAACAGGGAGTTCTACTTTAATGATGCGACAGCTGCTGTGCTGCTGCTCCAGGGCAATTCCATGGTAACGGAACTATGCTTTGACTCCGACTTTTCACTTTAAAATGTATGCCAAACAAAAACCATTGATTTAAACATTTAACAAACTATACAACTTTGTGCACAATAACTACTTTGAACAATTTGCACAGAAAAGCTCACAAAAACACATTTATTGGAAGAACTGTGCAGATGCAAAGTTTGGAACAGAATTACGATAAAATCTCCCTCAGTTTTTTATGCGACCACGTCCAATGTCGGTCTGTGCTCAGTGGGTGAGGATGCTTGTTACAGTAAATGGAAAGAGGGTAGGTGGTAGGTGTCATGGTAGATGTCAGTAAGATCATCAGAGAGAGGGAGGGGTTGTCCAGACTGTTTTCACACTCTTGCTTTGACCACCAGACGACAGAAAGAGAAAGAAAACAGTTATCAGTTGAACATAACAGAATGCCAGTGGAAGGGAGGACAGTAGCAGGTGACCCAACTGTGGTTTGTGACTACTATGATTTCCCATTGTAGACAATTTAATTGCAGTAATTCTAATTTGGTAACAGAATTATGAGTTTTTATCACTTAATAATTCATAAACAAACTTGATATTAGTAAAAACACTATACAGTAACTAATTGGTAAGTCTACCTTTACTTGTTACTTCTGTGAACTTTCATTATCCTCCCTCCTCATGAGAGAAAGTCATTTTTGGTAATGGAATTACAAGGCACAAAGTTTCTTAAACTTACAAAAAGTAAATAATTAATCCAAAACCAAATATTAGTATTGATATTAGTTGGCAGGGGTCTTTACTTCAACATTATTGTGTTCTTATGTATTTCTAATACCCCTTTTCTGGTAGATGTTGTGGTCTAAGACCCATTTTCCATCTGTTTGCTTATTCCAGATTTTTAGGATGGAAAATGGTAGAAAAATGTACACTACCGGTCCAAAGTTTTAAAACACCTGCTCATTCAAGTGTTTTTCTTAATTAACATTGTAGAATAATAGTGAATACATCAAAACTATGAAATAACACATATGGAATCATGTAGTAACCAAAAAAGTGTTAAACAAATTAAAATATATTTTATATTTGAGATTGTTCAAATAGCCACCCTTTGCCTTGATGACAGCTTTTCACACTCTTGGCATTCTCTTAACCAGCTTCATGAGGTAATCACCTGGAATGCATTTCAATTAACTGGTGTGCCTGCTTAAAAGTTAATTTGTGGAATTTCTTTCCTTCTTAATGCGTTTCAGCCAATCAGTTGTGTTGTGACAAGGTAGGGGTATACAGAAGATAGCCCTATTTGGTAAAAGACCAAGTCCATATTATGGCAAGAACAGCTCAAATAAGCAAAGAGAAACGACAGTCCATCATTTCTTTAAGACATGAAAGTCAGTCAATACGGAACATTTCAAGAACTTTGAAAGTTTCTTCAAGTGCAGTTGCAAAAACCATCAAGCGCTATGATGAAACTGGCTCTCATGAGGACCGCCACAGGAATGGAAGACCCAGAGTTACCTCTGCTGCAGAGGATAAGTTCAACATCAGCTGTTCAGAGGAGACTGTGTGAATCAGGCCTTCATGGTCGAATTGCTGAAAAAACCCCACTACTAAAGGACACCAATAATGAGAAGAGACTTGCTTGGGCCAAGAAACACGAGCACCGGTGGAAATGTGTCCTTTGGTCTGGAGTCCAAATTGGAGATTTTTGGTTCCAACTGCCGTGTCTTTGTGAGACGTGGTGTGGGTGAACGGATGATCTCCGCATATGTATTTCCCACCGTAAAGCATGGAGGAGGAGGTGTTATGGTGTGGGGGTGCTTTGCTGGTGACACTGTCTGTGATTTGTTTAGAATTCAAGGCACACTTAACCAGCATGGCTACCACAGCATTCTGCAGCGATACGCCATCCCATCTGGTTTGGGCTTAGTGGGGCTATCAACAGGACAATGACCCAACACACCTCCAGGCTGTGAAAGGGCCATTTGACCAAGAAGGAGAGTGATGGAGTGCTGCGTCAGATGACCTGGCCTCACAATTCCCCCGACCTCAACCAAATTGAGATGGTTTGGGATGAGTTGGACGGCAGAGTGAAGGAAAAGCAGCCGACAAGTGCTCAGCATATTTGGGAACTCCTTCAAGACTGTTGGAAAAGCATTCCAGGTGAAGCTGTTTGAGAGAATGCCAAGAGTGTGCAAAGCTGTCATCAAGGCAAAGGGTGGCTATTTGAAGCATTTCAAATATAAAATATAGTTTGATTTGTTTAACACTTTATTGGTTACTACATGATTCCATATGTGTTATTTCAAAGTGTAAAATAGTAAAAATATAGAAAAACCCTTGAATGAGTAGGTGTTCTAAAACTTTGGACCGGTGGTGTATATATGCCTTAATTTCTCAAAAATATAGACTCTTAGCTTTCATTTGACACAGAATTTGACATGCTCCTATGAACTTCACATGTTGGTGCTCATGGGTCCTTTTAGATGGAAATGCTCTCCATGCACACTGAGTGAGAGGGACAGACTCCTGGGTCTTGGATTACTGAGAGGCTGAAGCATATGTTGTATTATAGACATAAACCAGGTAAAGCTGGCCAGGCAAGATCCTCTGACTGGGAGTGTGAGGGAGCCTCTCATTATATTGTTTCAATAGGACATTGTCCACACTGGTTGGTTCTCTCTTGCTGTCTGTGTAGGTCATCATCCCAGACCGTGGCAGAGTAGCCTTCCTGTTTAATCCAGACCTTGGCATGTGGAGCGTTCTTGTGAGGCAGTGACCCATGCACATGCACGTGCACACTGACGCTGGCCAAGCGTCCACAGGGGTGGTCCCAGGCTCTGGTTCACACTATTTATATAGACCTCAGTGTAGGCCTACAGTATGATAGGGATTCAGCCTGCTCAGAGAAACCATGCAACCACCCCAACAGGAATACATTATGGAGGTCCGCCATTGTTTTATATAGCTTTTGTCAAACTGAGTATAGGGTTCGACTATTGGCAGATAAGCTGCAATGTGGAAGAAAATAAATATGAAGAGACACATCTGGTTGCAGTCTAGAAATGAATACCAGTAAAGCAGTAGAAATAGAGCAGGGTGAACTATGCCTGACTGTTAAGCTAGAGGCCATCCATCCATGAAAATATGTTTCCTTCACCCCCAAGCTGGTTTCTGGGCCAAGAGTGGCCTCAAGTCATTACACCCTTAGAATGTCATGCTCTGTGTGTGAAGCACGAGGTCCATTTATGGGGGATGTTCTGTTCTGGAGGTGTGACTCTCTCTGAGATAGCATTTCCAGGGTTGTGCGGTTTTCATCAAGAGTTTGTTCTTGGCTCCATGTAGACAGCATGAGGTTTGAGCTAGATGCATTGACAACATAGGTGATTAGGACTGTGATAAGTGATTCATCATCTTTACCCGGGGTGTTTTGGGCCAAGCAATACAAATGACTTTATTCACTGGTCAAAGCCGTAAGATTTTCCTTCTCTTTCTAGGCGTAAGTGGTTAAAGCTGCTAAAACAGCAGAAACATAAATCAGATTTCAAAGCAGCATAGAACGTTCAATCATCTCAACAGACCAATGACGTTATTAAAGTAACCACCTATTCATCATACAATACACACATTTGAGCAATTATTAAGAATTCTGGTGCTATAGGTTGAAAATGCCAGATAGTGCATGCTAAAGTGCAAAAGGATGCTCGTTTAACATTAACTTTCACATTTCCTGGAAGGTTGATAGGAAAAAAATCTGATGCTGCCAGAGCAGCAGTAAGGTTGAAAGGTAAAACAGATGCCTTTACCTCTGCAAATTTGGCTACAGGGCTGGCCTCCACAGCATATACCCTCTTCGCTCCTGCCTGGATGGCGAAAAAAGACAGGATCCCTGATCCACTGCCAACATCAAGTACTATCTGGGTACAGGAAGCAGCCAGACATTACATCTACATGTAGTAACAGACAAAATGTAAGACATGATCAGGTTCTGTGGTTATGTGTGGTTCTGGTTATGTGGTTCCATTCTTACCTTGTCCTTGAAATCCGTCTCGTTTAGCAGAATGGCCTTTTGATACGTGGCTGTCCTCAAATAATCCTGCAGCATATTCTGTTGTTGTGATAAACAGCCATAAAACTACAGAGGAAGGGACGAAGAGGTTCAGTCACAACCAAGTACACCACCAGTTGGTCTCTCTGAGGGTCTAGTTGACTGGTACAGTAAAACTACCTGGAAGTACTGCAGGGCTGAGGAGTCTTCAGTTCTCTGGTCAAACACTGCTGGCTTATCTTCTCTTCTCAGCTGTCTGTGGAACTCCTGAAACTCTGGGGTCAGAAAACAACAGACTTTATGCATGAAAACTATTTTTGACTGTGTAAAGTAGGCTTCCATTTTAGCCAACGTGCGTAGTTTTATGTGTGCCCTTACCACTCTGTGTTCTGAACTGCAAGAGAACACTCAGGCAGCCAACGGTTATGAGGAAAGATTGGGTGCCCACCCGACAACAGTCTGTTTCCCTGGTGACTGTGAATTTGAATACACAGGCCCCATCACCTGTAAAGGAAAAAAACCCAACAGATAGTTAATTAAAATACACCTAAATACAAGATTTCTGTATTCTCACTGTTTTCTGTCTTGTACATTGTCCAGAGGGCTGATCCTGTGTGTTATCTGCCCTGAATCCATTTCATTTGTTCTTGGCCTTTTGTAAATGTATCAGTAAAGGAACCATAAATAACAATGTCAGCCCTTAACCTAAGATAACCTTCAGCATACTCTGGCAGTGAACTGTGGCACGAGGCTACTAATGTGTAGTGGCACTATCTGATCCTGTGCACCAGCAGGCAGAGAGCTATGGTGGCTAGGCCCACTGTACCGTATAGTATACGAAAACACAGTTTAGGTGCATACTGTCCAACAGAGTCAGACACACACACACACACAAACACACATGCATGCATATTGACGCCACACAGACACATACATACATTCACACTCTCCACATACGCTGCTGCTACAATTATCTATCCTGATTGGATAGTCACTTTTACCCCTACCTACATGTACATATTACCTCAACTACCTTGTGCCCCTGCACATTGACTCGGTACTGGGACTCCTTGTATATAGCCTTGTTATTGTTATTTATTGTGTTACTCTTTTCTATTTTTATTAGCACATTTTCTTACTTTTTAACTCTGCATTGTTGGGAAAGGGCTCGTAAGTAAGCATTTCACAGTAAAGTCTACACTTGTTGTATTCGGCACGTGTGACAAATACAATTAGATTAGATTAGATTTTACACATACACACACACACAGGGTGCACACAACTGGGTAGTAAATCTCACAGACCTGTCAGCACAGCAGGTCCAGCGACCACACAGAGAGAAGTACAATTGCCATATGGGAAACACTGTAGGAAAATGTCATACAATCGCACACACATACACATACCTGGACTTCTCATAGACCAGAGAGAGGACAATACAATTTCTTTGTTTGTCTTCAGAAAAAAAAGTAATTGGCAATTTTATTCAGAAATAAAGAGAGCATCATGACTTACGTATTATGTTCACTATTTCTTCTTGATTGTCCTCATACGGAAAGAGGTAGTATGAAGTATAAAAATATCAAGACATATTTGCTTGTTCTTGTTTCTTGCATGCGTACTTACCATCCTGAATAGTGAGCTCTGTCTCCTCCAGCCCTGTGCTCAACTGTAGAGAAAGGCCTTGGTGTTGCCTCTGTTTGGCCACCTGTATCTCTCCCTGTACCTGGTCCTCATTCACAGAGAACAGATTGATGGAGAAACAGGTTGCTTCTGAACTCCTATCCATGGTCTCCATGGTCGCAGCTGTAGTATCTTCTGTAGTAAGGTTTTACAGATGTATCTGAGTTTGGTGGAGGTGGGAGGGGGAGGAGCTCTGGTAGGACTCAAGGGGCGGGGACAGACTGTGTATAAGAATATGATTTGAATAAAAAAAGAAGTTACAATACATACTGTATATATATAAATCATGGTTAGATTAAGTTAATCTAATACAGCAATTTAGGCTAAGGCATTGAAGAATCTGAACAGATAAACGTTTTTTTATGTATAAAGAAAAAGAAAACAAACACATTTTATTAAGAATTTTGCTAATACGTACTTGTATCATCAATGCTTTGATGACTTCCAAATTCAGCGCGAAAAACACCTTTTTTTATAACATTATAATGAACTCACTTTAACTTTATTGAAACTCACTTTCACTCATGTTCTATTTTGTTCACCTTTTATTATGTTGAATGACAATAAAGAGGACAGTTTAGACTATTGATATAATTGAAAACCTAGCAGCGTTAAATAAAACAGGACTAAGTCCTGTTGAATGTGGAATCCATCCAGCTTGTTACTGAACTACCTGATTTAGAAGCTGGCTGGAGTGACGTCACCACTTCCCTGCAGTGTGTCACCCAGTGGAGAACTGTGGCAATGACAGGAAAGTTCCTGAAGACATTGGAGCTCCAAGGGGCAGGATATAAAAGCTGTGAAACTCCCACTGCTAAGACAGAAACCAATACAACCAACACTGAACACACAGTGCCATCTCAGAGCAAGAAGACTCAACATTGACTGAAGATGCTGTGCTCCCGAAGATTCCAGTCTTCCCTCAGCCCATTGAAGGACTTCTACTGGCCTGTGCGCAGTCTATGGCCAGAGGTCCGACCTCTTCTCGGCCAGCGGGATCTACTGCAGAGAAACCTGCTGGAGATCAAGAGCAGTCTGGAGCTGATGGAGAAACTCCAGCAGCACATCTTTGAAGAGTTGGACCATGTCCCAGCCTCTGTGGCCATCCAACCAGTCTCATTCAAGCTGGAGAAAGAGGGAGAGCGCTTTGCCCTGACACTGGACACTAAAGACTTTTCCCCAGATGAGCTGTCTGTCAAGCAGGTGGGCAGGAAGCTGAAAGTCAGTGGGAAGACAGAGAAGAAGCTAGATGATGGGGAAGGCTCCTGCTCATACAGATGCCAAGAGTTCAGACAAGAGTTTGATCTGCCTGAAGGGGTGAATCCTGAGACAGTCACCTGCTCCCTGGCTCATGACGGGAAGCTCCACATCGAGGCACCAAAGAATCCACTATCTGCTGAGGAGGAGGTGGCAGAGAGAGTTGTACACATCAACTGTAGCCTGGATGTGAAAACCCCACAATTCCTCTCAAAGACAGAGGGCAGCATCACTGACACACAGAAGAAACAAGAGAACACTACTTCACATGAGGACTGATTATATTTATTATGCTATTTTTTTATTTCAAAGGATGTTTAATTTTCTAATACATATTTTTCATTTCATGAAACTCAATTCATTTACATTTCATATCTTGTAACAATCAATATGAGATGCTATTTCAGTTAATCAATAAAATACAAACTTTTACACAATATTGCAGTCGTTATGATCTCTTCAAGGAATGTCAACATAATGATTATTATTTCTCATCAAAAGTTAACTTGGCTTGATATTTTTCAATGATCAGTTTCAGTAAATTCAATTTTCTAAAAGCTCTACTAAAAATGTTCTTATTCTAACATGTTCATTACATCTTTAAAAACCTGACTTTTGAAAACAAATGTTATGTGGTGTCACGCCCTGGCTCTGGGGACTATGTTATGTTGAGCCAGGGTGTGTAGTCTATGTTTGTATATCTATGTTGGCCTGAGTGACTCCCAATCAGAGGCAACGAGTGTCAGCTGGTTGTCTCTGATTGGGAGCCATATTTAACTATCGGTCTTTTCACTTTGTGTTGTGGTTTCTTGTTCTCATTTTGGTTTGTTTATGTAACCAGAGACATCACGTTTTCGTCAGTTATTTTGATTGTGTGATCAGTCTAATAAATACTATGTTCACTTTCAACGCTGCGCCTTGGTCCTCCTCATTAGACGATCGTGACAGAAGAAACCACCAAAACCAGACCAAGCAGCGTGACGAGGAGAAAGGCTGGAATTACGAGAAGTGGAGAGAGAATTGGACGAGAACCATGGAGGCCTGGTCCACGGGGGAGAGACAAGCCCAGAAAATTTCTAGGGGGGGGCTCACGCCGTGGACGACGGGGCAGCAGGAGTACGGGATAGAGTGGTGCAGAGGGTTGGCAGAGAAGGCCGCCAGGTTAAGGGGGCCACTGGTCACAGAGGAGAGGGAAAGTGTGGAGGCACGGCGAGAGGTACTGGGGTGTGTTACCAGTCCGGTCCGGCCCGTTCCTGATCCCTGCGTAGGGCCAGTGGTGTGTGTCCCCAGTACGGTCCGGCCTGTTCCTGTTCCTCGCATCGAGCCTGTGGTGCGTGTTGTCAGCCCGGCGCGGCCCGTTCCTGCTCCCCGCCCCAAGTCAGTGGTGCGCGTCGTCAGCCCGGTCCGGCCCATTCCTGCTCCCCGCACCAAGTCAGTGGTGCGCGTCGTCAGCCCGGTCCGGCCCATTCCTGCTCCCCGCACCAAGTCAGTGGTGCGCGTCGTCAGCCCGGTCTGGCCCGTTCCTGCTCTCCGCACCAAGTCGGTGGTGCGCGTCGCCAGCCCAGTCCGGCCCATCCAAGCTCCCCGCACCAAGTCAGTGGTGCGCGTCGTCAGCCCGGTTCGGCTCATTCCTGCTCCCCGCACCAAGTCTGTGGTGCGTTTCGTCAGCCCTGTCCGGCCCGTTCCTGCTCTCCGCACCAAGTCGGTGGTGCGCGTCGCCAGCCCAGTCCGGCCCATCCAAGCTCCCCGCATCAAGTCTGTGGTGCGCGTCGTCAGCCCGGTCCGGCTCATTCCTGCTCCCCGCACCAAGTCAGGGGTGCGCTTCGTCAGCCCGGTCCGGCCCGTTCCTGCTCCCCGCACCAAGTCAGTGGTGTGCTTCGTCAGCCCAGTCCGGCCGGTCCCTGCTCCACGCACCAAGCCTACGGTGGGCGTCGTCAGCCTGGTAAGGCCCGTTCCTCCTCCACGCACCAAGCCAGGGGTGCGCGTCGTCAGTCCAGCACAACCCGTGCCTGGGTCATGTCCGGAGCCGGATCCGCCGCAGAGGCGGAGTGCCCACCCGGTCCCTCCCCTGTTGTGGTTGTTTGGCGCGGTCGGAGTCCGCACCTTTGGGGGGGGGTACTGTCACGCCCTGGCTCTGGGGACTATGTTATGTTGAGCCAGGGTGTGTAGTCTATGTTTGTATATCTATGTTGGCCTGAGTGACTCCCAATCAGAGGCAACGAGTGTCAGCTGGTTGTCTCTGATTGGGAGCCATATTTAACTATCGGTCTTTTCACTTTGTGTTGTGGTTTCTTGTTCTCATTTTGGTTTGTTTATGTAACCAGAGACATCACGTTTTCGTCAGTTATTTTGATCGTGTGATCAGTCTAATAAATACTATGTTCACTTTCAACGCTGCGCCTTGGTCCTCCTCATTAGACGATCGTGACATGTGGACTTGTCAGGATTTGCAATGTAGGCCTTTTTGAGTATGTGTTCTGTTCTAGATCATTGAATATGAAAGAACGGTTTTCACACCATGTAAAAAATAGTATTTTGAGTAATTAAAAAACAGAGATAAATATAAGGCAAACATAATGCCAGAGAAACATTTATTCCGTTTTCAACAATATTAAAATAACATCAAATCGACACAACACCAATTTCATAATGTTGTACAATACGCATTTATGTTCTCAGTGGATTATTTTAGAATGTGTTCAATTACATTTGACCTCTCTATCAATGACTCCTGTGGTGAAAACTCTCTTTAAAACGTAGCTTGTGATCTTTTGTCCAATTTTGATCTGCTTTGCTCATTCTATTGCACTGCACAGAAGATGCGTCGCTAATGATCCATCAATACTGTAAATGTGAAAAGGAATATGGTTCAAAATACTTTTTAAAGTCATAATTATATTTAAGTAAAGTAAATCAATCATCAGTGAAAGCATTAAAATGTGAGTTGCTTGAAGTACAGCACCACTGATATCTCAGGAATGTGGAATCCATCCAGCTTGTTACTGAACTACCTGATTTAGAAGCTGGCTGGAGTGACGTCACCACTTCCCTGCAGTGTGTCACCCAGTGGAGAACTGTGGCAATGACAGGAAAGTTCCTGAAGACATTGGAGCTCCAAGGGGCAGGATATAAAAGCTGTGAAACTCCTACTGCTGAGACAGAAACCAATACAACCAACACTGAACACACAGTGCCATCTCAGAGCAAGAAGACTAAACATTGACTGAAGATGCTGTGCTCCCGAGGATTCAAGTCTTCCCTCAGCCCATTGATGGACTTCTACTGGCCTGTGCGCAGTCTATGGCCAGAGGTCCGACCTCTTCTCGGCCAGCGGGATCTACTGCAGAGAAACCTGCTGGAGATCAAGAGCAGTCTGGAGCTGATGGAGAAACTCCAGCATCACATCTTTGAAGAGTTGGACCATGTCCCAGCCTCTGTGGCCATCCAACCAGTCTCCTTCAAGCTGGAGAAAGAGGGAGAGCGCTTTGCCCTGACACTGGACACTAAAGACTTTTCCCCAGATGAGCTGTCTGTCAAGCAGGTGGGCAGGAAGCTGAAAGTCAGTGGGAAGACAGAGAAGAAGCTAGATGATGGGGAAGGATCCTACTCTTACAGATGCCAAGAGTTCAGACAAGAGTTTGATCTGCCTGAAGGGGTGAATCCTGAGACAGTCACCTGCTCCCTGGCTCATGACGGGAAGCTCCACATCGAGGCACCAAAGAATCCACTATCTGCTGAGGAGGAGGTGGCAGAGAGAGTTGTGCCCATCAACTGTAGCCTGGATGTGAAAACCCCACAATTCCTCAAAGACAGAGGGCAACACCACTGACACACAGAAGAAACAAGAGAACACTATTTCACATGAGGACTGATCATATTTATTATGCTATTTTTTTATTTCAAAGGATGTTTAATTTTCTAATACATATTTTTCATGTCATGAAACTCAATTCATTTACATTTCATATCTTGTAACGATCAATATGAGATGCTATTTAATTTAATCAAATTTAATACAAACTTTTACACAATATTGCAGTCGTTATGATCTCTTCAATGAATATCAACATAATGACTATTATATCTCATCAAAAGTTAACTTTCCAATAAGCTCAATGGCTTTATATTTTTCAATGATCAGTTTCAATAAATTCAATTTTCTAAAAGCTCTACTAAAAATGTTCTCATTCTAACATGTTCATTACATGTTTAAAAACCGGACTTTTGAAAACAAATGTCACGTGGTGTCACGGATTCAGCCGAGGCTGCTCCTCCTCCTTGCTCGGGCAGGCTTCTGCGTTCGTTGTCACCTGAGTACTAGCTGCTACCGATCTATGTTTCTGTGTTCTACTTGTCTTGTCTTGATTGTTCACACCTGTTTCCCATTATCATTGATCACTGCCCTATTTAACCCTCTGGCTCCCACTGTATGTTGTGCGTGTTTGTTCATGTTTGGTTGTCATCTGGTGAGCGGGTTTGTTTCCTCCCTGCATGGAGGTTATGTTATTTGACGTTACCTATGAGTAAAGTACGTTTTCGATAAGCTCTGTGTCCTGCGCCTGACTTCGTCCTACCGCATCATACTGACATCCTGACACGTGGACTTGTCAGGATTTACAATGTAGGCCTTTTTGAGCATGTGTCCTGTTTTAGATCATTGAATATGAGTGAACGGTTTTCACACCATGTAGAAAATAGTATTTTGGGTAATTAAAAAACAGAGGTAAATATAAGGCAAACATAATGCCAGAGAAACATTTATTCAGATTTCAACAATATTAAAATAACATAAAATCGACACCACCAATTTCATAATGTTGTACAATATGCATTTATGTTCTCAGTGGATTATTTTAGAATGTGTTCAATTACATTTGACCTTTCTATCAATGACTCCTGTGGTGAAAACTCTCTTTAAAACGTAGCTTGTGATCTTTTGTCCAATTTTGATCTGCTTTGCTCATTCTATTGCACTGCACAGAAGATGCGTCGCTAATGATCCATCAATACTGTAAATGTGAAAAGGAATATGCTTCAAAATACTTTTATAAGTCATCATTATATTTAAGTAAAGTAAACCAATCATCAGTGAAAGCATTAAAAGGTGAGTTGCTTGAAGTACAGCACCACTAATATCTCAGGAATGTGGAATCCATCCAGCTTGTTACTGAACTACCTGATTTAGAAGCTGGCTGGAGTGACGTCACCACTTCCCTGCATTGTGTCACCCAGTGGAGAACTGTGGCAATGACAGGAAAGTTCCTGAAGACATTGGAGCTCCAAGGGGCAGGATATAAAAGCTGTGAAACTCCTACTGCTGAGACAGAAACCAATACAACCAACACTGAACACACAGTGCCATCTCAGAGCAAGAAGACTAAACATTGACTGAAGATGCTGTGCTCCCGAGGATTCCAGTCTTCCCTTAGCCCATTGATGGACTTCTACTGGCCTGTGCGCAGTCTATGGCCAGAGGTCCGACCTCTTCTCGGCCAGCGGGATCTACTGCAGAGAAACCTGCTGGAGATCAAGAGCAGTCTGGAGCTGATGGAGAAACTCCAGCAGCACATCTTTGAAGAGTTGGACCATGTCCCAGCCTCTGTGGCCATCCAACCAGTCTCCTTCAAGCTGGAGAAAGAGGGAGAGCGCTTTGCCCTGACACTGGACACTAAAGACTTTTCCCCAGATGAGCTGTCTGTCAAGCAGGTGGGCAGGAAGCTGAAAGTCAGTGGGAAGACAGAGAAGAAGCTAGATGATGGGGAAGGCTCCTACTCTTACAGATGCCAAGAGTTCAGACAAGAGTTTGATCTGCCTGAAGGGGTGAATCCTGAGACAGTCACCTGCTCCCTGGCTCATGACGGGAAGCTCCACATCGAGGCACCAAAGAATCCACTATCTGCTGAGGAGGAGGTGGCAGAGAGAGTTGTACACATCAACTGTAGCCTGGATGTGAAAACCCCACAATTCCTCTCAAAGACAGAGGGCAGCATCACTGACACACAGAAGAAACAAGAGAACACTACTTCACATGAGGACTGATTATATTTATTATGCTATTTTTTTATTTCAAAGGATGTTTAATTTTCTAATACATATTTTTCATTTCATGAAACTCAATTCATTTACATTTCATATCTTGTAACGATCAATATGAGATGCTATTTAATTTAATCAAATTTTAATACAAACTTTTACACAATATTGCAGTCGTTATGATCTCTTCAATGAATATCAACATAATGACTATTATATCTCATCAAAAGTTAACTTTCCAATAAGCTCAATGGCTTTATATTTTTCAATGATCAGTTTCAATAAATTCAATTTTCTAAAAGCTCTACTAAAAATGTTCTCATTCTAACATGTTCATTACATGTTTAAAAACCTGACTTTTGAAAACAAATGTTACGTGGTGTCACGGATTCAGCCGAGGCTGCTCCTCCTCCTTGCTCGGGCAGGCTTCTGCGTTCGTTGTCACCTGAGTACTAGCTGCTACCGATCTATGTTTCTGTGTTCTACTTGTCTTGTCTTGATTGTTCACACCTGTTTCCCATTATCATTGATCACTGCCCTATTTAACCCTCTGGCTCCCATTGTATGTTGTGCGTGTTTGTTCATGTTTGGTTGTCATCTGGTGAGCGGGTTTGTTTCCTCCCTGCATGGAGGTTATGTTATTTGACGTTACCTATGAGTAAAGTACGTTTTCGATAAGCTCTGTGTCCTGCGCCTGACTTCGTCCTACCGCATCATACTGACATCCTGACACGTGGACTTGTCAGGATTTACAATGTAGGCCTTTTTGAGCATGTGTCCTGTTTTAGATCATTGAATATGAGTGAATGGTTTTCACACCATGTAGAAAATAGTATTTTGGGTAATTAAAAAACAGAGGTAAATATAAGGCAAACATAATGCCAGAGAAACATTTATTCAGTTTTCAACAATATTAAAATAACATCAAATCGACACCACCAATTTCATAATGTTGTACAATACGCATTTATGTTCTCAGTGGATTATTTTAGAATGTGTTCAATTACATTTGACCTCTCTATCAATGACTCCTGTGGTGAAAACTCTCTTTAAAACGTAGCTTGTGATCTTTTGTCCAATTTTGATCTGCTTTGCTCATTCTATTGCACTGCACAGAAGATGCGTCGCTAATGATCCATCAATACTGTAAATGTGAAAAGGAATATGGTTCAAAATACTTTTTAAAGTCATAATTATATTTAAGTAAAGTAAATCAATCATCAGTGAAAGCATTAAAAGGTGAGTTGCTTGAAGTACAGCACCACTAATATCTCAGGAATGTGGAATCCATCCAGCTTGTTACTGAACTACCTGATTTAGAAGCTGGCTGGAGTGACATCACCACTTCCCTGCAGTGTGTCACCCAGTGGAGAACTGTGGCAATGACAGGAAAGTTCCTGAAGACATTGGAGCTCCAAGGGGCAGGATATAAAAGCTGTGAAACTCCCACTGCTGAGACAGAAACAAATACAACCAACACTGAACACACAGTGCCATCTCAGAGCAAGAAGACTAAACATTGACTGAAGATGCTGTGCTCCCGAGGATTCCAGTCTTCCCTCAGCCCATTGATGGACTTCTACTGGCCTGTGCGCAATCTATGGCCAGAGGTCCGACCTCTTCTCGGCCAGCGGGATCTACTGCAGAGAAACCTGCTGGAGATCAAGAGCAGTCTGGAGCTGATGGAGAAACTCCAGCAGCACATCTTTGAAGAGTTGGACCATGTCCCAGCCTCTGTGGCCATCCAACCAGTCTCATTCAAGCTGGAAAAAGAGGGAGAGCGCTTTGCCCTGACACTGGACACTAAAGACTTTTCCCCAGATGAGCTGCCTGTCAAGCAGGTGGGCAGGAAGCTGAAAGTCAGTGGGAAGACAGAGAAGAAGCTAGATGATGGGAAAGGCTCCTACTCTTACAGATGCCAAGAGTTCAGACAAGAGTTTGATCTGCCTGAAGGGGTGAATCCTGAGACAGTCACCTGCTCCCTGGCTCATGACGGGAAGCTCCACATCGAGACACCAAAGAATCCACTATCTGCTGAGGAGGAGGTGGCAGAGAGAGTTGTACACATCAACTGTAGCCTGGATGTGAAAACCCCACAATTCCTCTCAAAGACAGAGGGCAGCACCACTGACACACAGAAGAAACAAGAGAACACTACTTCACATGAGGACTGATCATATTTATTATGCAATTTTTTTATTTCAAAGGATGTTTAATTTTCTAATACATATTTTTCATTTCATGAAACTCAATTCATTTACATTTCATATCTTGTAACGATCAATATGAGATGCTATTTAATTTAATCAAATTTAATACAAACTTTTACACAATATTGCAGTCGTTATGATCTCTTCAATGAATATCAACATAATGACTATTATATCTCATCAAAAGTTAACTTTCCAATAAGCTCAATGGCTTTATATTTTTCAATGATCAGTTTCAATAAATTCAATTTTCTAAAAGCTCTACTAAAAATGTTCTCATTCTAACATGTTCATTACATGTTTAAAAACCTGACTTTTGAAAACAAATGTTACGTGGTGTCACGGATTCAGCCGAGGCTGCTCCTCCTCCTTGCTCGGGCAGGCTTCTGCGTTCGTTGTCACCTGAGTACTAGCTGCTACCGATCTATGTTTCTGTGTTCTACTTGTCTTGTCTTGATTGTTCACACCTGTTTCCCATTATCATTGATCACTGCCCTATTTAACCCTCTGGCTCCCATTGTATGTTGTGCGTGTTTGTTCATGTTTGGTTGTCATCTGGTGAGCGGGTTTGTTTCCTCCCTGCGTGGAGGTTATGTTATTTGACGTTACCTATGAGTAAAGTACGTTTTCGATAAGCTCTGTGTCCTGCGCCTGACTTCGTCCTACCGCATCATACTGACATCCTGACACGTGGACTTGTCAGGATTTACAATGTAGGCCTTTTTGAGCATGTGTCCTGTTTTAGATCATTGAATATGAGTGAATGGTTTTCACACCATGTAGAAAATAGTATTTTGGGTAATTAAAAAACAGAGGTAAATATAAGGCAAACATAATGCCAGAGAAACATTTATTCAGTTTTCAACAATATTAAAATAACATCAAATCGACACCACCAATTTCATAATGTTGTACAATACGCATTTATGTTCTCAGTGGATTATTTTAGAATGTGTTCAATTACATTTGACCTCTCTATCAATGACTCCTGTGGTGAAAACTCTCTTTAAAACGTAGCTTGTGATCTTTTGTCCAATTTTGATCTGCTTTGCTCATTCTATTGCACTGCACAGAAGATGCGTCGCTAATGATCCATCAATACTGTAAATGTGAAAAGGAATATGGTTCAAAATACTTTTTAAAGTCATAATTATATTTAAGTAAAGTAAATCAATCATCAGTGAAAGCATTAAAAGGTGAGTTGCTTGAAGTACAGCACCACTAATATCTCAGGAATGTGGAATCCATCCAGCTTGTTACTGAACTACCTGATTTAGAAGCTGGCTGGAGTGACGTCACCACTTCCCTGCATTGTGTCACCCAGTGGAGAACTGTGGCAATGACAGGAAAGTTCCTGAAGACATTGGAGCTCCAAGGGGCAGGATATAAAAGCTGTGAAACTCCTGCTGCTGAGACAGAAACCAATACAACCAACACTGAACACACAGTGCCATCTCAGAGCAAGAAGACTAAACATTGACTGAAGATGCTGTGCTCCCGAGGATTCCAGTCTTCCCTCAGCCCATTGATGGACTTCTACTGGCCTGTGCGCAATCTATGGCCAGAGGTCCGACCTCTTCTCGGCCAGCGGGATCTACTGCAGAGAAACCTGCTGGAGATCAAGAGCAGTCTGGAGCTGATGGAGAAACTCCAGCAGCACATCTTTGAAGAGTTGGACCATGTCCCAGCCTCTGTGGCCATCCAACCAGTCTCCTTCAAGCTGGAGAAAGAGGGAGAGCGCTTTGCCCTGACACTGGACACTAAAGACTTTTCCCCAGATGAGCTGTCTGTCAAGCAGGTGGGCAGGAAGCTGAAAGTCAGTGGGAAGACAGAGAAGAAGCTAGATGATGGGGAAGGCTCCTACTCTTACAGATGCCAAGAGTTCAGACAAGAGTTTGATCTGCCTGAAGGGGTGAATCCTGAGACAGTCACCTGCTCCCTGGCTCATGACGGGAAGCTCCACATCGAGACACCAAAGAATCCACTATCTGCTGAGGAGGAGGTGGCAGAGAGAGTTGTGCCCATCAACTGTAGCCTGGATGTGAAAACCCCACAATTCCTCTCAAAGACAGAGGGCAGCACCACTGACACACAGAAGAAACAAGAGAACACTACTTCACATGAGGACTGATCATATTTATTATGCAATTTTTTTATTTCAAAGGATGTTTAATTTTCTAATACATATTTTTCATGTCATGAAACTCAATTCATTTACATTTCATATCTTGTAACGATCAATATGAGATGCTATTTAATTTAATCAATAAAATACAAACTTTTACACAATATTGCAGTCGTTATGATCTCTTCAAGGAATATCAACATAATGATTATTATTTCTCATCAAAAGTTAACTTGGCTTGATATTTTTCAATGATCAGTTTCAGTAAATTAAAATTTCTAAAAGCTCTACTAAAAATGTTCTTATTCTAACATGTTCATTACATCTTTAAAAACCTGACTTTTGAAAACAAATGTTATGGGGACTTGTCAGGATTTGCAATGTAGGCCTTTTTGAGTATGTGTTCTGTTCTAGATCATTGAATATGAAAGAACGGTTTTCACACCATGTAAAAATAGTATTTTGAGTAATTAAAAAACAGAGATAAATATAAGGCAAACATAATGCCAGAGAAACATTTATTCAGTTTTCAACAATATTAAAATAACATCAAATCGACACAACACCAATTTCATAATGTTGTACAATACGCATTTATGTTCTCAGTGGATTATTTTAGAATGTGTTCAATTACATTTGACCTCTCTATCAATGACTCCTGTGGTGAAAACTCTCTTTAAAACGTTTTCACCACAGGAGTTTTCACTCCTGTGGTGAAAACTCTCTTTAAAACGTAGCTTGTGATCTTTTGTCCAATTTTGATCTGCTTTGCTCATTCTATTGCACTGCACAGAAGATGCGTCGCTAATGATCCATCAATACTGTAAATGTGAAAAGGAATATGGTTCAAAATACTTTTTAAAGTCATAATTATATTTAAGTAAAGTAAATCAATCATCAGTGAAAGCATTAAAAGGTGAGTTGCTTGAAGTACAGCACCACTAATATCTCAGGAATGTGGAATCCATCCAGCTTGTTACTGAACTACCTGATTTAGAAGCTGGCTGGAGTGACGTCACCACTTCCCTGCAGTGTGTCACCCAGTGGAGAACTGTGGCAATGACAGGAAAGTTCCTGAAGACATTGGAGCTCCAAGGGGCAGGATATAAAAGCTGTGAAACTCCCACTGCTGAGACAGAAACAAATACAACCAACACTGAACACACAGTGCCATCTCAGAGCAAGAAGACTAAACATTGACTGAAGATGCTGTGCTCCCGAGGATTCAAGTCTTCCCTCAGCCCATTGATGGACTTCTACTGGCCTGTGCGCAGTCTATGGCCAGAGGTCCGACCTCTTCTCGGCCAGCGGGATCTACTGCAGAGAAACCTGCTGGAGATCAAGAGCAGTCTGGAGCTGATGGAGAAACTCCAGCAGCACATCTTTGAAGAGTTGGACCATGTCCCAGCCTCTGTGGCCATCCAACCAGTCTCATTCAAGCTGGAAAAAGAGGGAGAGCGCTTTGCCCTGACACTGGACACTAAAGACTTTTCCCCAGATGAGCTGTCTGTCAAGCAGGTGGGCAGGAAGCTGAAAGTCAGTGGGAAGACAGAGAAGAAGCTAGATGATGGGAAAGGCTCCTACTCTTACAGATGCCAAGAGTTCAGACAAGAGTTTGATCTGCCTGAAGGGGTGAATCCTGAGACAGTCACCTGCTCCCTGGCTCATGACGGGAAGCTCCACATCGAGGCACCAAAAAATCCACTATCTGCTGAGGAGGAGGTGGCAGAGAGAGTTGTGCCCATCAACTGTAGCCTGGATGTGAAAACCCCACAATTCCTCTCAAAGACAGAGGGCAACACCACTGACACACAGAAGAAACAAGAGAACACTACTTCACATGAGGACTGATCATATTTATTATGCAAATTTTTTATTTCAAAGGATGTTTAATTTTCTAATACATATTTTTCATGTCATGAAACTCAATTCATTTACATTTCATATCTTGTAACAATCAACATGAGATGCTATTTCATTTAATCAATAAAATACAAACTTTTACACAATATTGCAGTCGTTATGATCTCTTCAATGAATATCAACATAATGACTATTATATCTCATCAAAAGTTAACTTTCCAATAAGCTCAATGGCTTTATATTTTTCAATGATCAGTTTCAGTAAATTAAAATTTCTAAAAGCTCTACTAAAAATGTTCTTATTCTAACATGTTCATTACATCTTTAAAACCTGACTTTTGAAAACAAATGTTATGGGGACTTGTCAGGATTTGCAATGTAGGCCTTTTTGAGCATGTGTTCTGTTCTAGATCATTGAATATGAAAGAACGGTTTTCACACCATGTAAAAAATAGTATTTTGAATAATTAAAAAACAGAGGTAAATATAAGGCAAACATAATGCCAGAGAAACATTTATTCAGTTTTCAACAATATTAAAATAACATAAAATCGACACAACACCAATTTCATAATGTTGTACAATATGCATTTATTTTCTCAGTGGATTATTTTAGAATGTGTTCAATTACATTTGACCTCTCTATCAATGACTCCTGTGGTGAAAACTCTCTTTAAAACGTAGCTTGTGATCTTTTGTCCAATTTTGATCTGCTTTGCTCATTCTATTGCATGACACAGAAGATGTGTCGCTAATGATCCATCAATACTGTAAATGTGAAAAGGAATATGGTTCAAAATACTTTTTAAAGTCATAATTATATTTAAGTAAAGTAAATCAATCATCAGTGAAAGCATTAAAAGGTGAGTTGCTTGAAGTACAGCACCACTAATATCTCAGGAATGTGGAATCCATCCAGCTTGTTACTGAACTACCTGATTTAGAAGCTGGCTGGAGTGACGTAACCACTTTTCCTGCAGTGTGTCACCCAGTGGAGAACTGTGGCAATGACAGGAAAGTTCCTGAATACATTGGAGCTCCAAGTGGCAGGATATAAAAGCTGTGAAACTCCCACTGCTGAGACATAAACCAATATAACCAACACTGAACACACAGTGCCATCTCAGAGGAAGAAGACTCAACATTGACTGAAGATGCTGTGCTCCCGAGGATTCCAGTCTTCCCTCAGCCCATTGATGGACTTCTACTGGCCTGTGCGCAGTCTATGGCCAGAGGTCCGACCTCTTCTCGGCCAGCGGGATCTACTGCAGAGAAACCTGCTGGAGATCAAGAGCAGTCTGGAGCTGATGGAGAAACTCCAGCAGCACATCTTTGAAGAGTTGGACCATGTCCCAGCCTCTGTGGCCATCCAACCAGTCTCATTCAAGCTGGAAAAAGAGGGAGAGCGCTTTGCCCTGACACTGGACACTAAAGACTTTTCCCCAGATGAGCTGCCTGTCAAGCAGGTGGGCAGGAAGCTGAAAGTCAGTGGGAAGACAGAGAAGAAGCTAGATGATGGGAAAGGCTCCTACTCTTACAGATGCCAAGAGTTCAGACAAGAGTTTGATCTGCCTGAAGGGGTGAATCCTGAGACAGTCACCTGCTCCCTGGCTCATGACGGGAAGCTCCACATCGAGGCACCAAAAAATCCACTATCTGCTGAGGAGGAGGTGGCAGAGAGAGTTGTGCCCATCAACTGTAGCCTGGATGTGAAAACCCCACAATTCCTCTCAAATACAGAGGGCAGCACCACTGACACACAGAAGAAACAAGAGAACACTACTTCACATGAGGACTGATCATATTTATTATGCTATTTTTTTTTTTTCAAAGGATGTTTAATTTTCTAATACATATATTTCATGTCATGAAACTCAATTCATTTACATTTCATATCTTGTAACGATCAATATGAGATGCTATTTAATTTAATCAATAAAATACAAACTTTTACACAATATTGCAGTCGTTATGATCTCTTCAAGGAATATCAACATAATGATTATTATTTCTCATCAAAAGTTAACTTGGCTTGATATTTTTCAATGATCAGTTTCAGTAAATTCAAATTTCTAAAAGCTCTACTAAAAATGTTCTTATTCTAACATGTTCATTACATCTTTAAAAACCTGACTTTTGAAAACAAATGTTATGTGGACTTGTCAGGATTTGCAATGTAGGCCTTTTTGAGTATGTGTTCTGTTCTAGATCATTGAATATGAAAGAACGGTTTTCACACCATGTAAAAAATAGTATTTTGAGTAATTAAAAAACAGAGATAAATATAAGGCAAACATAATGCCAGAGAAACATTTATTCAGTTTTCAACAATATTAAAATAACATAAAATCGACACAACACCAATTTCATAATGTTGTACAATATGCATTTATTTTCTCAGTGGATTATTTTAGAATGTGTTCAATTACATTTGACCTCTCTATCAATGACTCCTGTGGTGAAAACTCTCTTTAAAACGTTTTCACCACAGGAGTTTTCACTCCTGTGGTGAAAACTCTCTTTAAAACGTAGCTTGTGATCTTTTGTCCAATTTTGATCTGCTTTGCTCATTCTATTGCACTGCACAGAAGATGCGTCGCTAATGATCCATCAATACTGTAAATGTGAAAAGGAATATGGTTCAAAATACTTTTTAAAGTCATAATTATATTTAAGTAAAGTAAATCAATCATCAGTGAAAGCATTAAAAGGTGAGTTGCTTGAAGTACAGCACCACTAATATCTCAGGAATGTGGAATCCATCCAGCTTGTTACTGAACTACCTGATTTAGAAGCTGGCTGGAGTGACGTCACCACTTCCCTGCAGTGTGTCACCCAGTGGAGAACTGTGGCAATGACAGGAAAGTTCCTGAAGACATTGGAGCTCCAAGGGGCAGGATATAAAAGCTGTGAAACTCCCACTGCTGAGACAGAAACCAATACAACCAACACTGAACACACAGTGCCATCTCAGAGGAAGAAGACTCAACATTGACTGAAGATGCTGTGCTCCCGAGGATTCCAGTCTTCCCTCAGCCCATTGATGGACTTCTACTGGCCTGTGCGCAGTCTATGGCCAGAGGTCCGACCTCTTCTCGGCCAGCGGGATCTACTGCAGAGAAACCTGCTGGAGATCAAGAGCAGTCTGGAGCTGATGGAGAAACTCCAGCAGCACATCTTAGAAGAGTTGGACCATGTCCCAGCCTCTGTGGCCATCCAACCAGTCTCCTTCAAGCTGGAGAAAGAGGGAGAGCGCTTTGCCCTGACACTGGACACTAAAGACTTTTCCCCAGATGAGCTGTCTGTCAAGCAGGTGGGCAGGAAGCTGAAAGTCAGTGGGAAGACAGAGAAGAAGCTAGATGATGGGGAAGGCTCCTGCTCATACAGATGCCAAGAGTTCAGACAAGAGTTTGATCTGCCTGAAGGGGTGAATCCTGAGACAGTCACCTGCTCCCTGGCTCATGACGGGAAGCTCCACATCGAGGCACCAAAGAATCCACTATCTGCTGAGGAGGAGGTGGCAGAGAGAGTTGTGCCCATCAACTGTAGCCTGGATGTGAAAACCCCACAATTCCTCTCAAATACAGAGGGCAGCACCACTGACACACAGAAGAAACAAGAGAACACTCCTTCACATGAGGACTGATCATATTTATTATGCTATTTTTTTATTTCAAAGGATGTTTAATTTTCTAATACATATTTTTCATGTCATGAAACTCAATTCATTTACATTTCATATCTTGTAACGATCAATATGAGATGCTATTTAATTTAATCAATAAAATACAAACTTTTACACAATATTGCAGTCGTTATGATCTCTTCAAGGAATATCAACATAATGATTATTATTTCTCATCAAAAGTTAACTTGCTTGATATTTTTCAATGATCAGTTTCAGTAAATTCAAATTTCTAAAAGCTCTACTAAAAATGTTCTTATTCTAACATGTTCATTACATCTTTAAAAACCTGACTTTTGAAAACAAATGTTATGGGGACTTGTCAGGATTTGCAATGTAGGCCTTTTTGAGTATGTGTTCTGTTCTAGATCATTGAATATGAAAGAACGGTTTTCACACCATGTAAAAAATAGTATTTTGAGTAATTAAAAAACAGAGATAAATATAAGGCAAACATAATGCCAGAGAAACATTTATTCAGTTTTCAACAATATTAAAATAACATAAAATCGACACAACACCAATTTCATAATGTTGTACAATATGCATTTATTTTCTCAGTGGATTATTTTAGAATGTGTTCAATTACATTTGACCTCTCTATCAATGACTCCTGTGGTGAAAACTCTCTTTAAAACGTAGCTTGTGATCTTTTGTCCAATGTTGATCTGCTTTGCTCATTCTATTGCATGACACAGAAGATGCGTCGCTAATGATCCATCAATACTGTAAATGTGAAAAGGAATATGGTTCAAAATACTTTTTAAAGTCATCATTATATTTAAGTAAAGTAAACCAATCATCAGTGAAAGCATTAAAAGGTGAGTTGCTTGAAGTACAGCACCACTAATATCTCAGGAATGTGGAATCCATCCAGCTTGTTACTGAACTACCTGATTTAAAATTCCAAGATGGCGTAGCAGTGCGGTCGCTTTTATTTTTCGTCCTTTGTAAATATCCCGTTTCTTGTTTTTTTGTCTATATTTCTCAATTTTTTACTTTCATTCTTTAACTAAATATACTTTCCTGCAACCCGCCTCACCCAACGTGGAAAGGATTCTATTATTTCTTTATAACTTTCATCAAGAACCGTAAGCTGAAAATAGTGGCTACCTGTTATTAGTCACCGTTAGCGTCTTCACCATTGTCCGTGGCCTACACTATCCACCAGCCAGCTCTAGCTCTAGCCTGGACAATTCGTCGGCCAGTCTGCACAGCGTGCTATCGACCCAGCGTGCTATCGACCCAGAGCTTATTGGACTTTCTGCCGGAATCACTGGACCCTAGCGCCGGATCATCACAACCAGCTAGCTAGCTGCAACCTGTTGTTGGCTGATTACCATTACCATTGCCCTATAGCAAGCACCAGTTAGCCTTGAGCTAGCCTCAGGCCCATCTCCCGGCTATCTACCTCTCTGTCAACCGGACGGGACCTCCTAGTGTTGACACTGAGCCCCGCCGATCCAACACGACTGGTTTGCCGACGAAATAGTCTGATGTGGTTTCAACAGGCTTCCCTATGCGACGACCACGAAGATCCATCTGCCAGCCCCGGCCCGCTAGCACACGCAAACTACAACTGTGCTCCCTGCTAGCTGTGCTGAAGCACCAATTTGAACTGCTCTCGGACTCACATATTGCTGTTCACTGGACCTTATGATCACTCAGCTGCACAGCTGATGCCTGCTGGACTGTTCCTTTACACGGTACTCTGTCCTGTTTATTCTGTTTAGTCTTAGCCCAAACGTTATCGCTATTTCCAGTTGTGTCTTAGCTCTCTCTAATAACACATGTGACTGCTTTATGCCTCTCTCCCATGTCAATTATGCCTTGCCTATTGCTGTTTGGGTTAGTTCTTATTATACAATTTCAATGTAGAACCCCTAGTCCCTCTCAAACTGCCTCATATAGTTCCTTTGTTCCTCCCCCCATACACGCCGAGACCGGCTCAATCGATGCCTCCAATGACGCTACAGTGGGGAAAAAAAGTATTTAGTCAGCCACCAATTGTGCAAGTTCTCCCACTTAAAAAGATGAGAGAGGCCTGTAATTTTCATCATAGGTACACGTCAACTATGACAGATAAAACGAGAAAATAAATCCAGAAAATCACATTGTAGGATTTTTAATGAATTTATTTGCAAATTATGGTAGAAAATAAGTATTTGGTCAATAACAAAAGTTTCTCAATACTTTGTTATATACCCTTTGTTGGCAATGACACAGGTCAAACGTTTTCTGTAAGGCTTCACAAGGTTTTCACACACTGTTGCTGGTATTTTGGCCCATTCCTCCATGCAGATCTCCTCTAGAGCAGTGATGTTTTGGGGCTGTCGCTGGGCAACACGGACTTTCAACTCCCTCCAAAGATTTTCTATGGGGTTGAGATCTGGAGACTGGCTAGGCCACTCCAGGACCTTGAAATGCTTCTTACGAAGCCACTCCTTCGTTGCCCGGGCGGTGTGTTTGGGATCATTGTCATGCTGAAAGACCCAGCCACGTTTCATCTTCAATGCCCTTGCTGATGGAAGGAGGTTTTCACTCAAAATCTCACGATACATGGCCCCATTCATTCTTTCCTTTACATGGATCAGTCGTCCTGGTCCCTTTGCAGAAAAACAGCCCCAAAGCATGATGTTTCCACCCCCATGCTTCACAGTAGGTATGGTGTTCTTTGGATGCAACTCAGCATTTTTTGTCCGCCAAACACGACGAGTTGAGTTTTTACCAAAAAGTTATATTTTGGTTTCATCTGACCATATGACATTCTCCCAATCCTCTTCTGGATCATCCAAATGCACTCTAGCAAACTTCAGACGGGCCTGGACATGTACTGACTTAAGCAGGGGGACTCGTCTGGCACTGCAGGATTTGAGTCCCTGGCGGCGTAGTGTGTTACTGATGGTAGGCTTTGTTACTTTGGTCCCAGCTCTCTGCAGGTCATTCACTAGGTCCCCCCGTGTGGTTCTGGGATTTTTGCTCACCGTTCTTGTGATCATTTTGACCCCACGGGGTGAGATCTTGCGTGGATCCCCAAATCGAGGGAGATTATCAGTGGTCTTGTATGTCTTCCATTTCCTAATATTTGCTCCCACAGTTGATTTCTTCAAACCA